CAATGCATTGATAACAGTTTCGCTCTTGTTGGAAAATTTCCCTCAGCCCCTTGAAATAAATGAGCTCCAAGTGGGACAACAATTGCAAAGAAGCAGAGTAGTAGCTTAGCTTCTTGCGAACAAAAGTGACTGCAACGTCAAACCTGGGAAGTTAAAGTGCTGTCGTGATGTGGTAGTCGAAGAGGGCTGAGCAGCTTTGAGATTGCCTTTGAAAGAGGGAACCACTTGTTCAGAATTCTACATTCTCTTAGGATCTGTCCATCATCAAAAGACTTCGGGAGTAGTATTCTTCAAAGCCATGCGGTACGACATCTTCAAGCACACGCTGTAAATTTATGTGGCATTGACTCAGCCCACTAGCTCTGGGCGCACAACGATTCAAGGAAATACAAGGTCTTAGGCTAGCCCGGCAGCCTGGTAAGACTGAAGGTATACAAGCAATGCTGAATCGCAGGAGTAAACTTAAGTGAACATGCGATGGAATTCTGATCCTCAGCCTGACGACTGAAGTTGCGATGAACAGCATATACGACGTAGACATCCATATTAATAGCTTGAAACGAAATGGGTTGATCGAATATGGGAAACGGCACTGAAGATCTGTTCGTGTGGTATGGTGTGGTTTTCCCGGGATATGATTCCCGAATCCTTCACGACGGTGGGTTGGGCTGGGTTGGAATTCATACCCTGTGGCAGGTTCTGCCGCGATTTGTTCTTGCTACGGTACTTAAAGAGGTGTCGCACACGTACTGAAATAATCTTGTGTGCGAGTGTCCTCCCCTTCTTTTCCGAGGGATTCTCAGGTTCGGATTTTACTCCCGACAGAGGATGAGGAAAGGAGATGTCCATTTGAAGAGATCTGGGCCGCATAGAAGCGTCCGGCTCTCCAAATCATGAAGCGGTGGTAACACAAAAGTGTACTCATCTGCAACGTTGGCGAATTGTGTGTACTACCAACATCCGCCCTGCCTCACTGAAGACTCAAAGCCTAGACCAGACAATATGAATCAATATATAAAAACACACATCTCACGCAATGACATACAGTAAGATCAACCCTCCCTCCATTATGCCCTGCCCGGTAAATGTAACCCCGCATGTCAGCGGTTCCTTCCCTCACACCAAAGTGACTCTGCGGCACAAGCACGAGGTGATTTGCATCTCGGTGCTGCAATGCAAGAACAGATCCATTGATCTACCGCAGGCAAAACCAAAATCTTCAACGCAACGCAGACAATTCAAAAAAAGCGAAGTGCATATGATAGATATCTAGCCCGCGTTCTCGACTTCGAGTATTGGAGTGGGGGCTGAGGTCGTGATACAGTGCTGTACTGTGACAATGCAATAGAAGGATCGGATGAGTGGAGTGGCTCATCAGCAACGAAAATATAACCCACGTGCTGTATGACTTCAAATCCGCGGAAGCATCCTCTTCCATGTACCGGCCGTCCAAGATATATCCTCATCCCTTCTCCCTTTTCTCTCACGCCGTACGAAGATAAGAATTCCCAACTGCACTGCACGACGACGATGACAATTTATTGCTTTCTATATTTACACTTGGTGTGGGTGACACTCAGCTAGCTATAAATGGACATGTATGTGTAATGGAGGGTGGCAGAGTCGAAGCGATGTGAGTGGATGAGAGCCAGATCCAGTGACTGAATTCCCAACTGCGAATTGCAACAAAAGCGAGAAAGAGGAAGGAGCTGGGTTGTGTCTTGCATATTTATTATATGTACCTTCGTACAGTACGGAGAGGCTTTTTATGCACAGCATTGTTTGCAGAACTTTTGTGTAACTGGGCACGTGCTATGGTCATGTGATACATGCGAGCCCCTTTATCTCGGAGAAGATGAGGGAGGGGAATCTGGAATGATGTCCAATTTACGGATGCAATGCACTGGTGATAGCCTCATTAAAATTGTTTCCATGACTTGTTTCTAGGGCTGCAGATTGGCTATTCAGCTGAAAATGCCGCCCCTTTCATCTTGGCACACAGTCATCTCCACACGTTGGCACTTGAATTTGGGCTTTCTATCTGCCGGCCTTAGGTTCAAGGCTAAATCAAGCAATATTACATGAAACACACTTGGTGTTCTGCTTCGTAGATAGTGGTGAAACGGGAACGGCTTGGAGCCAAGGTCCGAAAACACTGACGTGGGAAATGCCCGGGATCATGCTGGTGGTGATGGCTGGGTCTTTTGTTTTTTGAAAACGCTGTGGTTAGGGAGTCGACGTAAAGGAGAGGTGGGGTTTAGGAAAAGGGGTACCAAGTACAGTAACGAAGGGGAAGGGTTCGTGGTATACGAAGCCTGACAGAGTACCATCAGAGTGTCGTTAGCTTTTACTCAAGCTTGGGACGGGAAGTGGATTTTTGTAAGCTCTTCGTATTCCGAAAGGGCAGCGCACCGAACCCCTAAAATCCAGAAGAGACGCGCTGCGGTCCCGGCATATTGGAATTCAATGTGCTGTAAACTCAACTGCGATCGATTGAATTTTAGACTTTTATGATATTTAAGCATCGTCTACTCTGTACAGACGGTCTAGACTTGGAGAATCCTCAGATACCAGGCCTAGGGAGCATTATCATTAGGGGCGCAAAGTTGCAAAGCCTGTTGGAAGGAGAAAACCCCGTCAGCGATCAACGAGTCTGAAGCATGAGGCTCTCGGATGCTCGTATCCCAAATGGTGTGCAATAGCGGGTGGTGTCTTTGTTCGTCGATAAACAAGGGTCCACGCTCTACGAAGCTGCCGTAGTTCGTGCTTCGTCGTGATGGTAAATTTATCAAGCTTGTGTGTTAGCGAAACGTCGACTTCGATCGTATCCCGAGTTGTGATAGATAGGAAAGCGTATTATGGGGTTATTATCCAGAGGAGGAAAAACTTCAGATGACTTGCACAGATCTGTAACGTACATCTGTACACTGCGAGCATTTATGACTATCATTTGTGGCTGGTGACCACTCAACAAAGCCATTTATTTCAGGCTCATCCCGGGCAAATACGTGCATACAGGTAGCCCACCTTCTTGCGCGTCTTTGCAACCACGACCATGCCAGCTCTAAATCTTGGTTTCGGGGCTCCAACACAGCAAGAAAGAAGCTGTACAAAGGGCTGACCCGTCTCGTTCGTCTCCTTTATCTCGGGCTCCTCGACTTGGGAAGTGTTTTGTAGGTGAAGCCTCGGATCAAACAAAGAGGGCGAGAGAGAAGAGAGAGAGAGAGAGAGAAAGGTTTTGTTTGTGACTTGCCTAGGGTCTTTACCCCTGACAATATGTGGAGCAAGCGCGCGTGTCTGTGCTCATTAGTGGTTGACTAAGTATACGGGACGGAGATGAAAGGCCTCTTCAGGCTAAGAACGGGCACACTCTAAAACGTGTCGGCTTATAGAGGGGTGAGCTGATTCGGTGGCTAAGGGGATGGCGTAGCATCGCTCAAGGGGAAGAGCAAGGGGCAGCCCGATACCCTTACTAGACCCTCAATGCGGCATTACTACTGTCCCGCATCGTCCCCACTCGCATCACCAACATGTCAGGCACTACTGTACTGTAAGATGGACGGGCAGAAAGAGGAGAGGCCATTTTCATTTAGCCGCTTACTCCTGGACTGGAGAGACGAGAACTTCACGCCCAGGCGAGGGAATTGGAAGAACAAAGAGGGAATCGTCTTGTAAATCATCGCGGGGACCTGGCGCGAGTTAAGGAAGGCCGGTCGGCGGGTTTCCCGAGCCCCTTCCCTTTGTATGGGGTTGTAAATATATCTCGAATGATTTCCCGACTCCGTGCTTGTCGTGCTCTTTATCGCGGGCAGGGAAGAAAGAATGCGCCATTGATACAAGGCAACACGGACGGCCCTCTTGAGACTTTTCCCTAGAAGCTACTTCGTAGGTTACTTCGTAGAACTGCAAACACGCGCTTTCCTCTTGTATTATACAGTACGGCCTCCATCCAACAAGAGGCAGTTTTTCTATTTCGACTGGTCAAGCATAACTAAGTGCATGAATGCTTGAGCCTCGACGGAGTATTATTATAACTCCAACTATACTTTTCAATACTCTACCGGTGTTATTCTCCGTATGCACGCGCCAATACTCACGCTTACCCTCTTTGCGCCCATTCTGCCCCCCTCCCCTGCCCCCCTCCCCTGTCGTCCTCACCCACCTAGCACCACCAACACCTGCCGTCCAAGGCACGCACGACTGCAACTGTAACTAAACTGCGCTGCCCTGCCCAGCAAATCTCCCCCACCACCCAGGCCAGGCTTAAACTAAGGTAACGCCTTACCCTCTCGTCTTGCTTCGCTTCTATCCACTCCTACTACTCACCACCTCCTCCACCTCCTCACCTCTTTCTCCATCCTCTCCTCTCCTCGTCATCTCAACTCACCTCTTCACTCCCAGTGATCTCGCCCTAGAAAAACGTGCAGCTTGCTTGCACGCTTTCCACGAGACGGGCAACTATACGCAATCGCGAGCGCCTCGGGAGGCCTCTGGATAATGGTGGCTGGTTCATGATCAAAAACCGCAATCACTTTTAAGAAACGACCCCAGACCCCTTTCGACGATTTCTCGTCACCACACTCATTTGAGACCCGCGATTTCGAATTACGACCGATACTTAATCTGATAAAGTGAGTGAATCTCATTTGTTTGATGGCGACGGAAGGAAACTGGATTCGATTTGTTTCACCGCAAAAGCTCGTTGCGCGCGTGTTGTTCGGTCGGTGGAGGAGATCTTCGTGGATCTTTCATGCGAACAGCAATTTACGATTCATTAGGCGTATACTGACTTGAATCATCGATAGACACACTCGTTGACATCTTTGTCAAGTACACTCGTTCATCAATCTGCCCTGACAGTCAGTCTCACCGACGTGCCAGCAATCGACATTGCGGTCGCTGACTCCCAAATTAGATCTCAAAAAACACAACTCAATTTCATTTCACCTCACTTTCTCGTCCAGAACATCATCGCATAGAAAACATACACGATCGCCAATATGCATACGTCTTCTCTTCTTGTGGTTTCGGTGGCTTTGCTCTCAACGCTGGCTACTGCGGAACAGGACCGACCACGGTTTTATTTCCCACGGCAAATCAAGCGCGCAATATATGTCAATTCGACAATCACTTCTAATAGCGCTCCAGAAACTTCTTCCACAGAGTTGATCACGTCGTCATCGTCGCTCACGTCCTCTTCATCGTCGACACGTTCGTTGTTGACACGTTCGTTGTCAGATATATTTAATGGGCTAGATTCATCGACAGGTTCAACCACTGGGTCGAGTTCGAGCGCTGCAGGAACAACAGGAGGTTTATTAGACAGCCTCGTAAACCCTCTCAAGCCTACGGTATCTACTTCAAGTTCAGCTTCTAGCGTGAGCAGTACGTCTTCAGCGGCAGCATCAGGGACAAGCATCAGCTCTACTACACCAGTATCGGACTCGAACACGGCTTCAACTGGAACAGGAACAAGTTCAGGCCTCGGGGCTGCGGTTACCAGCATTTTGGACCCTATAGTGGGATCTACTGGACTACTTCCCGCGACGGTGCTTCTGCCAACAACCACCAGTTCTGCTATTGATGCTAGTGCTTCTAGTGAAGCTAGTTCTTCCAGCCCTGTGGATACTGCAGTAGGATCTACTGGGACCCTTCCCGCGACAGTGTTTCAACCCACAGTCACCAGCTCTTCCGCTGAAGCTGTGGTTCCCAGCATTCTTGACCCTATTGTAGGATCTACTGGAGTGCTTCCGTTGACAGTGCTTCAGCCGACAAGCACCAGTGCTGCTGTTGATGCTAGTTCTTCCAACATTCTGGACTCAATCATAGGATCTACCGGAGTTCTTCCCTTGACAGCACTTCAACCCACGATCACCTCTTCTGCTAGCGACACTTCCGCTCCAACCTCAGCTTCGGCAGCATCCTCAAGTAACGGTGCCATTACTTTTGGCCCAGGAGGAGTCGTAACAGCATCAACGGCTTCGACGGCCGCTGCCACTTCAACTCCAGATGCCGTCACGTCCGGTGTCTCCTTTTCGGGTACTGGAGGGTCAACCGCTGCTGCAGCATCTTCGACGGACACAGGGCTTCTGCCTGGTGTTGGTTCTCTCCTCAGCTCTGTGGTGTCAGGGCTGACGACCGCTCTTGGAAGCGCCCCAACGACAACCTCAAGTGATTCCGTACTGAGCAACTCAGCCGCGGTCCCGACTCTATCCGGCACGGCTCCTGTCACGGCTGCTTCCGCATCTGCATCTGATAGTGGGATTTTGCCATCGCTCGTCGGTGGACTCAGTTCAGTTCTTTTACCAACAACTGTTTCCAGTGTTACCGGATCTGGTAGCTCAATTGTCGATTCTGCAGGGGCCTCAACATCATCTGCGATAACTGGCTCAAGCACAGGATCCACTGCTCTTGCAAGCATTATTTCCAGCATTCTTGCATCGCCCACCAGTAATCTCTTGCCTACAGGATCTTCATTGACCAATACTGGGTCGATTTTGACTGGAGGTAGTAGTACTGCCAACGATACATCAGTATCCGTAACTGGAACTGCAAGTTTAACATCACCTCCTGGCTCGATCACACCTACCGCAAGTGGAAGTGCAGCATCAGCATCGGGCATCACATTTTCATCAGGATCCCCATCAGGTGTTACAGCCTCATCGGCCTCCCTCCCTACTGTTCTTTCTGGTTCTTCCACTGCCAATGCTACAGAGACCGGATCAGTCTCAGGAAGTCAAACTGTTCTTTCTGCTCCCAGCAGCTCGGGCAAGGACACAAATACAGTCACCAGCAGTCTGTCAGCGATTATTGGCTCAGGATCCTCTGCATCTGCATCAATCTCTGACGCCTCTACTGCCAATACTTCAACTCCTGCGTCAATTGCAACGGCACCAACGACGACTGCCTCTGCCCCCGCGATCACCAGTGCCGCTGGCAGCAGTGTCTCTGCTACAGCTCCGCTCAGCCCAACTGTTGCTGCTTCAACTACTGCCTTTGCGTCTCCATCATCTAAAGCACCGGAGACCATCCTTCCAGCTAGCACGAACAGTCTCACATCTATGTGGCTTCCCCAAACAATCATTGCACAATCTTCCGAAAGCGCGAGCTCCAGTGGCCAAGCACCACTTCCAACTGGTATCCCCTCTCAGTTGCCCAGGATCATCACAAACCCCAATGCCACTGCAACAGCTCCTGAAGGCATGACTGCGGTACAACTAGGGTTCCTTTTCGAGTTGAACTATGAATTCGTTGTTAGCAACCCTTTGTCTTCTGCTCAAATTTTTATGTTCTTGCCGACAGGTGTAGCGGACGGATTGGAGCTTGATCAAGAACATGTCATCTTGCACAGCTTGTACCCACTTGATACGACTGAGAAATTGGGATTTGTTACCACTGCTGCAATGGCATATATTCCTTCTAACCTGGTTGATACCCTACGCCTTAACCTCGGGAGTCCCTCGGCGTTACTGTACAACAATGCAGACGCTACCGTGAACACGCTTATCAACTATCTGAACCCGACAATTCCTCTGATTCCTGGCGAAGGTGCTGGAGATGGTTCGGCATCAGGGACTGGGCCTGGTAGCTCTCCAACGAACACAGCTGGCAACAACAACAACGATGTATTCAACACTAATTCTCAAAATACCTCGTCCAGTGTCAAGGGGACGACTGCCGGTATTGCGATGGCCTGCGTTGGGGGCGCTTCTGCTTATGGAGCTGCCATGTTCTTGCTTGCACGCAGATACAAGAAGCGCAAGCAAGCACACCGCCGATCGAGTTCTGTTGCAAGCCACTCGGAAATGCGGCAATCAACCACCCCTGGGATGCTGGGCAGCGGAGATCTGTTCATGTCTGGCGGGCGCCTGTCGCCTGGTGGAACAACCAATGATCGGCACAGTAGAGGCAGTGGTGGAGGCAACTCTGCACGAACGCAACAGATCTCGGCACCCATGATGGCGGAGAACTCACTCGGCTGGAACTGAGTCCAATCTCTACCAGCTAATATTTCTCGCACCTCCTGTACCCATCATCGTCTGCCGATCTTTGTTTGCTTCTTGTATAGATACCCATCCATATCAGAGATATGCCTGCCGGGCCTTCACTTTTAGAAATGTCTCATTTTGAGCCATTGTTTTGAAATTTTACCGACGAAAGTCGAAGCATAAACTACTTACACATTTTTTTTCTTGGCCCTTCGTCTTGGCGTTGGGGAGCGCTATAATACCCCCTCATGTATCAACATGGATCTCTTGCCACTTTTCGGCAGAGACCTTGAACGGAGGTTTATGTTTTATTGAAGAGATATAAAGATTTGCGGATGTATGGAAGGAGGTTGGGGGATATAAGGCATGTGACTGGCAGCAGGCTATGTGTATATTTACGATCCCATGAACAAGGATTTTCAAAAGCTCGATGCACGCCTGTATGCTTATGAGGATATTGATAAGACGTGAGATTTCTATGTATATTGAATAGAATAATAATTTGATACTATAAACTGATTGGCGCGATTTTATAGGCGTAATTTGAATCATCACTTGAACATCCTCTTGAATAAATCTAGTAAACTTTAGGCATATTTGTTGGTACCGTAACGGTCGAAATCACAGGGTTTCCAGAGAATTAGAGAAAAGGTCCTCTTCTTCAATTCTTATTTTAATTCATAAGTGCGAAATCCCGGAAAGTACGGAGGAAAGACAAAGTCGGCTGCCAAGTGAAAGTACGCCGTATATAAATCACATGCGCAGCAGCGTTGTCAAGGTAACCGCCTGGAAGGTAATCCGTAAACAATCCATTTACAAAGGCATAGCGCCTGTCTCTCAACATTGCAGTGCTAAACATTTGAATACCATTCCATTGTTCTTTTACAAGCACGGCTATTTGTCGCAGTTGAGGAAAGTATTGTTATCCACAATCTGCAATCCGCAATCCGCAACGACATCGCATTCCAGCTCGAGTCAATGATCTGAAGTAAACACAACCACCGCATTCCAGGCGCAATTGCAATTGCTGGCGCATCAAATGGCGAGCCAACATACTCCCTCGGGCCCTCCGAGCTACTCTGAGCCTCCATATTACGAAGAAGACGAAAACAGTTCAATCCTCACAGGTCAACCTTCAGATGGCTCGCAAATCCGATTGTTGACATCACAAGATGATGCAAACAGTCGACCGTATGTACCACCAAATATGTTGCCGCGTCCTCTGCCAGTCTATCCAAATAGATTGCCAAAGTCAACTCCTGAGCACCTTGATTCTCTGAAAGAACAAGAGGAAATAATCTCAACCTGCAAGCTGCAGAGAAAGAAGAAGCCAATGCCAGCTGTAGATTTACCAGATCTACCTGATGGGCCTTCGAAGCGGAGATCTCTCAGGCAGCCTGTCAAGTCACCTCTTTCAAAACTTGAATATCAGTTGAAAAATACAACAAGCTTACGCAATAGTACAAATAGACCATATACACCTCGCAGATCCTACCAACCATCCGTCACATCATCCCACTCGCGAGCCCCATCCATTATCGATACAGCCCCTCCAATGGCGCCTCTAGACTCACAATACCTACCATACTCCGCAAATGGAAGGCAATCACCCACCAGGTCTTGGAGTCCTGGAGGCACAACAGAATTCGGAAGGCCTCCACCGACAAACATACAATTCGAGCCCCCAGAGTTGAATGGCAGCCCAAGACCAGGCACACCTTCTTCGCGATATGGCGGGAGTCCAAGGCGGCCACTGCCTCCAGCTCCTCTCTTCTCCGGCCCTGGTGCATCAGCCCGCAATTCTGTTTTCGCCGACGATGCCACAATTTCAATCCCTCTGGAGAACGATATAGGAGATGGGGACGATGTTTTTGGCCCCGACAGTCCCCTCAAATCCGAAGCCAGACACAGCTTGAAGACGAGAGAATCTTACATGTCGAATGAGACCCTTACGGAAGATGTGGATGAGGAGGAGTATGTCGAACATCGCGGGCCAGCACCAGATGGAAAACAAGAGCGACGAGGAGCACGACAGGCACAGATGGCCAAGAAAGAAGTCCGGCTGATCAATGGAGAGCTTATTCTTGAGTGTAAGATTCCGACTATATTATATAGTTTCCTACCCCGACGGGACGAGATCGAATTCACACATATGCGATATACTGCTGTTACATGCGATCCCGATGATTTCGTGTCGAAAGGTTACAAACTGCGTCAGAATATTGGAACTACAGCGAGAGAGACGGAGCTGTTCATTTGTGTCACGATGTACAACGAGAATGAAATCGATTTCACGAGAACTATGCACGCAGTTATGAAGAATATTTCGCATTTCTGCTCTCGATCAAAGTCGAGAACTTGGGGAGAGCATGGGTGGCAGAAGATTGTTGTTTGCATTATCTCCGATGGACGACAGAAGGTTCATCCTCGAACATTGGACGCTTTGGCAGCTATGGGTGTTTACCAGGACGGCATTGCCAAAAACTTGGTCAATCAGAAGGAGGTGCAAGCCCATGTTTACGAATACACGACACAAGTTTCTCTCGATTCGGATCTCAAATTCAAAGGAGCCGAAAAAGGAATTGTCCCTGTCCAAATGATCTTTTGTATGAAGGAGAGGAACGCTAAGAAGCTGAACTCGCATAGATGGTTCTTCAACGCTTTTGGACGAGCTCTCACACCAAATATCTGCATCCTCTTGGATGTTGGGACGAAACCGGGGGGCAATTCCCTCTACCATCTGTGGAAGGCCTTTGACACTGATTCCAATGTGGCTGGTGCTTGTGGTGAGATCAAAGCTATGAAAGGCAAATTCGGGCTTTCTCTATTAAACCCTTTGGTTGCCTCGCAAAATTTCGAGTATAAGATGTCTAATATTTTGGACAAGCCGTTGGAGAGTGTATTCGGCTATATTACCGTGTTGCCTGGTGCTTTGAGTGCTTACCGATACCATGCTCTTCAGAATGACCACACTGGCCATGGCCCCTTGAGTCAATATTTCAAGGGAGAGACTTTAGCAGGTCAGAATGCCGATGTTTTTACAGCCAATATGTATCTGGCAGAAGATCGTATTTTATGTTGGGAGTTGGTGGCTAAGAGAGATGAGAGATGGGTCTTGAAATTTGTTAAGAGCTGTACCGGAGAGACTGATGTGCCTGGTAAGTGGTTTGACTTCCATAATGGGATCATACTAATTGTCTAGATTCCGTTCCCGAATTTATCTCACAACGTAGAAGATGGCTTAATGGAGCCTTCTTCGCCGCTGTTTACTCGCTTGTCCATTTCAGACAAATCTGGAAGACAGACCATACTATCGCCCGAAAAATCCTCCTCCATATCGAATTCGTATATCAATTCGTCAGCTTGCTGTTCACCTACTTCTCTCTCGCCAACTTCTATCTCACTTTCTACTTCGTAGCTGGCTCACTTGCCGATCCTCTGGTCGATCCCTTCGGCCACCATATAGGTCTTTATCTGTTTACCATTCTCCGCTACATTATTGTTCTTCTCACCTGCACACAATTCATCTTGTCCATGGGCAACAGACCTCAAGGTGCCAAACGCCTCTACTTCTCATCCATGGTAATATACGGTATAATCATGACCTACAACACCTTCGCATGCGTCTGGATCGTAGTCCGGCAACTCACACAATCAGACTCAGACCTCCACCTCGGTAACAATGTCTTCACTAACCTCATCATCTCTACCGCCTCTACAGTAGGCCTCTACTTCCTCATGTCCTTCCTCTACCTCGACCCCTGGCACATGTTCACTTCTGCCGCTCAATACTTTATGCTCCTCCCCTCCTATATCTGTACCTTACAAGTCTACGCCTTCTGCAACACGCACGATATATCCTGGGGCACAAAGGGCGACAATATAATACATACGGATCTTGGCGCCGCTATGGGCCACGGCAAAGGCACAACGGTAGAGCTCGAGATGCCTTCTGAACAGCTCGACATCGACTCCGGCTACGATGAAGCCTTACGCAACCTCCGCGACCGCATCGAAGTCCCTGTGCCAGAAATATCCGAATCCCAGCAGCAAGAAGATTACTACAAGTCCGTGCGCACATACATGGTCGTATCCTGGATGGTAGCAAACGCCATCTTGGCTATGGCTGTGAGTGAAGCTTATAGCGGCACGGAAATCGGCAGTAATTTCTACTTGAGCTTTATCCTCTGGAGTGTGGCGATCTTGGCGTTCTTCAGGGCCCTAGGCAGTAGTGCGTTTGGCATTATCAATGCCGTAGAGGCTATTGTTGAAGGGAGGGTGCGGATGACAATGAAGATGCCCAAGTGGCTGGGTGGTATGAACTTGGGGGAGAAGTTTAGGGATGGAATTAGTAGTTTTGGGGGTAGTGTTAAGAGCTGAATGTTTGATCGAGCTTTTACGAGAAGAGAGTATTTTTGGTTGTCTTTTTCTAATGCAGGATTTTGAGCGGTATGGCTAGGAAAGAAAGCTTGGGTGTTTTATTGGAAGAATGGAATGCAATGGAATGGAATGTTTCTTGGATGGGAAACATAGGGATGCGCTGGGACCGGGTAATGAAATGGTACGTGCTATTGTTTGTATATGATGATGGATGGATACCTTTGGGGCTTCAATGTTTGGCGTTTTGTTCGTGTAGAATAGGAGTATATTTCGGTTCGGTTCATTAGATCAAAATCTTTTCCGGTTTATATCAGACGGGCACCAAAACCTGTGTACTCCGTAAGGTGTCGTTAGTCCGTCCGTTAGTTAGGCGGCTTGCTTCAAGTGAAGAATGTCCAAGTGAATTTTTTGAATGGTTTGTACTATACAAGGCACCTAGGGAGCGTCCATAAACCCATTTCGTCCTTTCCATTCAACGACGACAAGCTCCTCTCCAAGCTCGGAAGTCATGGCGCTCGCTGCAGCCAGTTCTAGCTTCCTCTGCCATAAATAAACCCTTGCGTATTTTTCTTCTTCTAGGTTGCTTGTTTATGGATATAATATTAACTAAACGAACTCCCTAGTGAATGTAATGGATCTGGAGTGTTTATATTTGCTGTCAAGGAAATCTTGGCTGTCGGTGGTGTTTTTCGTTTGTTTGTTTGTTCGTTCATTCGTTTATTCGTTTATTTATTTGCGGGTTCCAGTTAATCCAGTGTAACTAGTGGTTGAATTACCACTATGCTGTCCGCATCAGCCATGTCTGTTGATAGACTCGGCAAGCGCCCGTGTTCTTCGTATCAAAGGAATGTGGTGGTGTTATAGATGGGGGTATTGGTTTGGTTGTTTACTATATAAAGCCTATTTTCATACGGTAATCTCATCGAATCTAAACCTCCCTTCCTTCCCACGCGGTTAGTCACCATCGTCGCTCTGCTCAGGTGCTACTCACCCTCGTCTCACCCTCTGCTTATGTTGCTTAGTCACGTTCCTGCTCTCCTTCCAGTGACTAATCATGCTTTACTAGGCGTTAATATAAGCACTTTAGGTGACTCAGGAACATCGGCAGAAATGAGTTCAGACCGGACGCGGACGGAGTTCGCGCCGAGGGTGGCATAGCAAAGCATGTACATATACCGACCGCTCCTCGAAGTGAGGGAGTTCCGTCTCCTTCATCTGCTGCCAGGCAGATTTGAAGAAACCATTCAGTGTACGCTTGCCCATAAGTCTCTGACGGAACTCCCACACTACTTCGCTGTCTCGTACACATGGGGGGCTCCAGAACTAGCTCGGGAGGTAGAGGTTGACGGGATTACGATTCCGGCTCGGGAAAACCTCTTCCAGCTTTTGCGACATCTCCGTCAGCCGCATTCGAGTCTCGTTCTCTGGATCGATGCTCTCTGCATCGACCAGAGCAGTATTCCGGAAAAGAACATCCAAGTTCCTCTCATGGGACAAATATACTCTTCCGCCAAATCGGTGTTCGTCTGGCTTGGTCTGCATGCCGATGGAAGCGAACGCTTTTTTGACTCTGGTCCCGTTGATAATCACTTACAACTGAAGTATGGAGGTGACACTCCGGGGCTCTCGACCTCGATTTCGACTGCGGTCGCTACAGACGCATCTAGATCTCTCTATAGCCGAGCGTACTGGACTCGGACATGGATAGTACAAGAAATTGTGCTGGCCTCGAGGGTCGACGTCTTCTGTGGCGACCAATTCTGTCACTGGAACTTCTTCATCAATCACACTCGTGAAAAGAGCGAGTATGACCGAACGGCTTCAGATCATACAATACGCAACATCATGGCTTTCAGGAGCATGGGCCAGAAAATGCCCCTACGACGTCTACTGTTTCGATTTCACATAACGCGGTGTTTTGACCCTCGAGACCTCGTTTATAGCCTCCTTAATATTGCCGCGGACACTCGAGATCAAGATCACGGTATCATCGTCGACTACTCCTCTTCCATCGAGACGCTGTTCATCCAGACACTTGCTTTCTGTTCAGCGCTGAGTTCTGTGACTGCATTTGGGCAAGCAGGTGGCCGTGCAATCGAATGTCTACGCTTCTGCGATACTTTGGCGACACGCCTAGGGGCAGGACTAGAATCAAGTATTGATTTTGCAGAGGATGCGCTGGGAACTCGGTCAAACCCAGTCCTGACCGCGAGGTTGAGCTGCAAGTCTTACTTTGTGCGCTTAAAGCGATTTGCACGGATCGGCTTTTCAGACACGCCGCATTCTGGAGGAGGACGACGAGATTCTGCGGTGACTCTGAAGAGTTCCATTCCTCCGCGACCGGACAACTCGGAACCGCGGCAGGTTCTGACGAGATATAACATCCGCAGGATTCCAGGAAAAGAGCCATGGAGCATGTGGAGCCTCGAGGCTTGTCTGACGCTCTCGGATCTGGTCTTCGCCGTGGATTTCGATAGTCCGAACGAACAGAGCCACGAGCTCTGCTGTGTCTGTAGCCCGACTCTCTACGACACAGACTCGGATGGCGTGAAGTCCTACCAATACTATATTGTCGGCATGGGAGTGAGCCGACGGCAGACGGTGGTGGTCGACGACGGTGGCACAGATCAGAGTACTGATGAACTTGACCATTGTGCATTCCTGGGCGGCCGGCTGCGATCATTGAACGGTCGTGAAGTAATTGACGGCCTTCCGCGTTATGTCCTGGAGTTGACACTGCAAGAACTGGTTGGCATGTGCCAGTTTGGCCGCGCCACTGGGGCATACCAGCCTTGGAGTCTTGAGCGAGTCTCTACAGTAACGCACTGGAGGGAGGATCAAGGGCCATTCGGAAACTAATTCCTTACAATAGCGAATTTCAACCTGTCTTGATACAGCTACTTTGTACAGAATTTCAGATTGAGGAACACAGGTTGTTAGAAATTGAATAGTGTATTGATGAGATACGCTTTGGGGAGCGTTCCGAAGGGAGCATGGGGGAGGAAAGAGGGTGGGGAAGATGAACTATAAGATATGGAGGGAGAAAATGGAGGTAGAGATGGGGAAGCGGGTTGTGAGGTATGGTAGCAACGTTGATGTGGTGGAGGGGAGGTTTATATAAGTACTTGGGTGCTATCTAGGACTTGATATTGCATTTTGAGCACCTGTAGGACGAATGATATAATATGAGATAAATGCGAAGATGTTTGAATGATCTGCTCTGCAAATGAGGAAGAGAGGGTAAATACGGTGCTAGTACTGTGGTATTAAAGTCCTTGACATGGCATTCTAATTTCCAGTTGGATATTGAGTGAGAAGAAAAACGTCCGCGAAGTTTCTATGTAGTATAAGGTAGCTAGCAGACTGCACTTGCAATCTAATGCTGAACCATAACCAAGTCACACTTGTAACTGCTCACCTTGCCTCAAACGATTACGTGCAAGAAAAGTGTTTATTATACCGCATTCCTCTATCAATTGTCTAGCATACGAGCTCCACGTCAGACACCGGGTTCGTATCTCATTGTATAGTACCTACAGCATCTTGTAGGGACGTTCTTCCAGGATGTATTATACGTCGTATACCAGGGGTGAATGCCACGTGATGCGGGTTTCAAAGAGAAGTCCGAGGGCCAAAGTCCGCGGAGTTTACCACCAAACCCGGCCCGAGCCGAGCCAAGTCAGAAAGGCAGTCCGGCGAGATGTTGTTTCAAGTCTCTGGTCTGTACTTGGTCGCAATTCAAGCTTTGTCTTGACGTGATGAGATATTTGACTCTAGAAGCTAGTTCCTTAGTTATCATTAGGTTGGAGAAGGTGGTTTATAGGGGTAGTTTATGGTATGGTACTGTACCTTACTCCGTATATAAGCTTATTCCTCGTTAGTTGAGGCGCAAAAGCTTATATTTTGAAGACAAGCTAGAGAAAGAAAGGTAAAGAAAGGTACGAGTAAACACCACGTCGTACAGCTTTCAACTTACCGGTAGACTAGTATATCCGTAATACGTCCATGTGTGCTCACTCCGTCTTACAACGAACAACTACTCTGTCGCACCCATCGCATCATTTTAAATCCGATCAAACGCGAGTGCGAGTTTTAGCCTCTATAGGCACAATATACCTAGGCCTAGGTAGGTGCCTAGGCTCCGTCATCCGACGCGCTTCTCCTTTCTCATTGGCTGTATCTTGGACACAGATCAAATGACGATCCGTGCACGAACGATAATGGTTGCAGTCATTCTATGCGAGATTCCTGACTTCGACTTCTCGGCCTCGCGTTTTGGATGCGCCGATATATATCAGCCATAAACGCCATAAGCATGGTAATCATGGTAAAGGGGCTGCATACATAAAGGTAGGCGTCGCCCGCCACAGGCAAAAGTAAACAAGTGTTTCTCGTACTACTTACTCAAACTCGAGTACGCCAAGATTTCAGCCCTCAAGGACAAAGCTGTTGCTATAACTAACAGTTTGGCATACCCCACGATGTCTTCACCTACAGTACGTTTCCCCCCCGCCCTCAACGCCAGGCAGGACCAGAACCAGAATCTAACATTGCCCTGCTACAGAAAATGCCTTCCAAAGGCCCTTATCTTCCAACAATGGCTGGTCTGGGAGGCACACCTACCACAACCCTCGACGACCCTATAACCGCCGTCTTCCTCTTCCTATTTGTATGCGGCGCTATCACACATATGACAATCCTACAAATCAACCTGAGGAGGGGCACAAAATTCGTCATGAGCGGCATGACATTTGGTTTCTGCAGTAAGCTTCCTCAATTTCTCTTCTACAAAAATTAAAGTACTAACTCCTGCAGTGGCCAGAATAACAGCTTGTACCATGCGTTTAGTCTGGAGCACCCACCCACACAATATATCCGTCGCCATCGCCGCCCAAATCTTCATCGCGGCCGGCGTCATCCTCCTCTTCATCATAAACCTAATCTTCACCCAACGAGTTCTGCGAGCCTGTCATCCTCACTGGGCATGGACGAAATGGTTCTCTATGGCATTCAAGCTCTACTACGCATCCATCGTCATCATGCTCATCGCCCTCATAACATGTACCGTGCAGTCCTTCTACACGCTCTCCCACAACACGCGACGCATCGACCGAGACGTGCAGCTCGTCGGCAGCACGTACTTCGCCACCGCGGCCTTCATGCCCCTCCCGCTGCTCTTGCTCGTCGGCGTCCTGCCCAAGCAATCGCGCGTCGAGAAGTTCGGCCAGGGCCGCTTCAGGACCAAGGTCTACGTCCTGGTCTTCTCATCCCTGCTGCTGACGCTTGGCGCGGCGTTCAGATGCGGCATTGCGTATGTGCCGAAGCCATTGGCGCACCCGGCTTGGTATCATAGCAAAGCGTGCTTCTATCTCTTTAACTTCACGATCGAGTTTACGATCGTGGCGTTGTATGCAATTATTAGGGTTGATAAGCGCTTTCATGTCCCGAATGGCAGCCATAAGCCTGGGGATTATAGTGGGGGGCTGCAGAGGAAGGTGAGTTTGGCGGATCGTGTTATGAGTGAGGAGATGGTTTTTAGTGACGAGCCGAGTTCTGATACACCGGAAGCGGAGAAGAGGAATGGGCATGTGTAGGCTGGTACTGAGGCCCGGGCAGTGGAAAATAAGTCGCAGTGATGGTCCCATAGGCCATAACGAGGTGTAAATCATTGGGATAGGTGGGTGCATAGCGCAAGGCGTTTCGGATAGACTTATACCCGTAAGATAGTATTGTGTGTAATAATAATAACAATGGAGAGAATTCATCCTTGAAGATATATCACAATACAATACAATATTTCCTATCCTCCCCAGACTTCCACATCTGTTCCTTCCCCTCCACCACCTCCGCCGCATTTTAACCATCCTTCCTTCTTGACAATGTTCCATACAATACACATATCTGCGTTTGCTTATACGTACGATATAAAGTCTTGAATATTCTTGGCTTTGAGGCGCTGAAGGGAAGGAAAAGGGGCAGTGGATGTTCTAAGCGAACCCCCTTATCAGTATGGGAAGGGACTCAACAAATTTGCAAAGTATTAAGTTTAGCGCTGCAGGTGACTACTTGTGAGAGACAAGGATTGATTTGAGTACGCTTAGTAGACCTCTAGAGTCTCGCTGGGAGGTTTCGAGGGATTTTATAAGTAGAGAATGCTAGTATGGCTGAGGCAAGAGCGATGTGAGCGGTGGGGCTTTGGCTGTGACTGGTTTAGGAAGATGAATGCTTCTCTCAAGTAAAGAAAAACAGGACTGTTCACAAGAAAGAACTCTTGCAAAATATCTCCTGCTTGGAAGCCTGCCCAAATTTTATCTGTTATCTTTCGTGACTTCACTGAAGGTCGAATCTTATAGTACTTTAATTTAAGTCACTATAACTACGCATACATACATACCCTTCATCATGTTGATAGCGCAATGTCAACTTTTCAAAAGTAGCTCATATTGGCAGGTATTATACGTCGATGCAACTGCACTAAGCATATAACATTCGAAGGTGATTTTGTGGTGGATATAAAACATTGCGGGAGGAAGAGAGAGACAACGTATATGCCTCGCTTATTACATAATCAGCCGCACTGTCCACCAGACCAGGTCCCTGCCCTGCCTCTTAAAGACACTCCCTTCTCTTCCTGCTTCATTGCAATTGATACGTCTGCACCCATCCAAGCACCCCCGCAACGATAACATGTCGTTGACTCCGCAAGACAATTCGAGGTCAACCTTCTCGCAATCACAACCGCCGCGCAACGCATTTCAAGCTCAGCCAAATCTGCCAGCCCCCTTACCGTCGCAACAACAGCAGCAGCAGCAACAACAACAACAGCAGCAGCGTGCTTCCTTTCCTCGTCCAACCCAAGGAGGCATTCGCCCGCAGCACAAATCTCCATATACTACACCCTATACCCCGGCCAATGTCCAGGGTCAAGCAGGAGCTCCCCGGCAGAATGGCGTTCAGAATGGAGGCCTTGGTGTCTCTGCAGAGCAGCAAATCGCCCAAGGTGTCTTGAGTAACCCGTCATCAGCCTCCGGATCCAACACCCCGCAGCGAAGACCTCCCCCGCTAGGCACAACAATTCATATGCCTCCCCATGGCACTCCACAGAACCCACCGATGAACATCCAAACCGTCCAGAACCAATCTATGAGCGTCAATCATGCTATGAACCCTACGTCATCTATGAACCAGAATCAAAGATCTCAAAATGGGTCTCCGCTACTTTCGGGCATGGGAGCTCAGCGACCGGTCATGAATGCTTCCCCAGCCAGCTCCTCCATGTCTCGAACTCAAGATGGTTCTCCACACGATACGCAAGATCTCTCTATGATTGATCCTCAGCTAGCTATTGATCAGCAGCTTACGGCCGACCCCGACGATTCCATGAATGATTCGATGCTCGTCCAGCAACCAAGCGAGGACACCCCGCCAATTATTCAAGGTGACATGCTTTCAGCTCCACCTGGAGGTAGCTATCCAACATTCGATGCACTGTTCGCACATGCTCAATCTCATGCTCTCGCTCACGGTTATGCATTTGTCATCGGAAGATCTAAGCGGGATAATCGAGGTTTGAAGAAGGTCTTCTTAATCTGCGATCGAGGTGGAACAAACAAGGAGAAGGTCCCAGGCGAGCAGCGTCAACGAAAGACCAAGTCCCGGAAGTGTGGTTGCGAGTTTGGAGTTTTCGGTTTAGAGACTAAGACGGCTTGGATCTTGAGAGGACGAATCGACGGCGAGCACTTAACGCACAACCATCCTCCCAGTGAGAGTCCTACAGAGCATCCAGGAGCACGCAAACTTGATCCAAAGGCTATTGCTGCTGTGAAGGCTCTTGAAGAAAATGGTAAAGGTTTCACTCCCACTCTATAACTAATACTAACATCATCTAGGCGTCTCCGTAAAAGAAACCCTCGAAATCCTGCACCGCGAGAATCCCACGGTACGCTACCTTCCCCGCGATATTTACAATGCACGCGCAGCCATCAAGCGCGACCCCTCCCGCGTCGAAGCCACTGCCATGGAACAGCTCCCCACGTTCTACAAGAAGCCACCCATGACATTCGAAGAGAAGCTTCGCGCAGAACTTAGGACCGAAGTAGCGAACGCACAAGCAGAGATCGAGAAGACAAAGGAGGAAAGCCGGAAGGAGATTGAAGATTTAAAGGAGCAGTTGAGGGACAAGGATAAGATGATTCGGAAGTTTGAGATGTTTATTGATATTTGTAATGAGAGGGTTATGGTGCAGAGGGTGAGGTTGGAGGGGGAGCCGAGTGATAGTGTTCCTAGCTAGTTCGGTTGATTATTTAGGGAAGGCGGGACAGTTGAGGCATTGCATTTACTTGGGTTGGCGTATTCAGGAGGGATGGACACAGCTGGGGAGTTGAAGGATTAGGGTCACTGCATATCTGCTTAGACCTGCATTTATTTCTTGCTCCGTGTTAGACATTCGCTAACTCACAAGAAAAACATTACTTTCGCTCAAAGCTGTCCTTTGAAATATTGTCATGCATTTATTCAACCATCATATCTCAACCAACTTCCCTTCCTCTCCCTTTTCCCCCACCTCCTTCAGCGGCACCTTATTCTTGCCCTTCCTATACACCCTCTCATCCCTCGGATCGAACCCCCCCTGTCCCCACGTAGCCCACTCCGGCGTCTCCTCGCCCATATAATCCTCAGGCCTAAAAGGCTTCCCACTCTCCAAACACCTGAAAAACGCCTCATAATCAATACGCGTACACCACTTGCCCCGCTCGTTCCTAAACCGCTCACTCGCAATCAGCACACAGCAGCTATGCGCATGCTCGGCCGCAATGCCGTAGCCCAGTCCGCGCTTCTCTAGCGCCGTGTTCAGCGCGACGACGAAGGCTTGGATCTCGCTGTAGAAAGGCACGTTTTGCATGGTGAGGCCGGCTCCTGCCGACGACGAGGTCCCGCAGTACGTCACGCCTTTTATCTCGACGAAGCAGGGCAGGCCTTGCTCGACGAGCTTGGCGTAGCCCTCGACCTCGTCGTCGATGTTGAAGCCCTTGACGAGCGTGAGTCGGAACACGGTGCGTTGCTCGAAGCGGCGCGCGCGCAGGATGTCCAGACAGCGGTTGAAGCGCTCCCAGAAATCCCGGTGCAGGGGCCGGTCGATCTTGCGCAGCGATTCCCGGTTCGAGGCGTCGATCGAGACGTAAAGCTGGGTTACGGGGGCCAGGGCGGCTAGTTGGTCCGGGTGCTGCGCGTTGCAGACCAGGAAGGAGGAGATGTGCTCGGCGTGCAACATGGCGGTGAACTCGTTGATGTGCGGGTAGAAGATCGGCTCGCCGACCAGAGACAGCGCACAATGTCTGATCCGCATTGCTTCTGCGAATCGCTCGGCGCGCACGCCGGGCACGCCCCGCAGCATTTTGATCTTCTGGTAGTGGCCTGCCTTGACGCCGGAGAAGATGAGGTCCGGGGGGTCGACGGTCCAGCGCCAGGTTGTGCCCACTGGATTTGTGCCGTGGCGCCAGCAGAAGACACATTTGTTGGAGCAGGAGAGAGATGGTGTTGTCTCCATGCATTGGTGGGAGGCGATGCCGTAGAAGGAATATTTATAGCAAGATCCGCGGCCACGCAGGGCGGATTTTGTCCAGCGACAGATTTTGACGCCGCTGTGGGAGCCGACTATTGTGTAGCCTTGTTTTGTGAGGGAGTTGTAGGTGGGGGAGTTTTTAGGGACCATTTCTTTGATGATGGGCGTAGTTGTGGAGGGCTTTTTGCTGTAGGTTGTGAAATCTACCTCCAGGGTTTCGTCTTCGGCCTTTGGTATTGAGCCACCAAGATCTTCAAGATCGTTTAGATCGCCTTTCTTCTCCTTGTTTTTCCTTTTGGCGAGTTTTTGCTCTTCGAATAGAACGTCGTCCTCGTCGTCCACATCTTCGACATCGCTTTCCACAGCATCTCCGCTACCAGCAACCCCTTCTCCCAGACTTCCGGTTTCTGCAATGTGACGCAGTGTATCTTCAACTCCTTCCTTCCATTCTCTTAGTCGTTCGACGGCATCTGTCTTTGGATCTCCCATTCCAAGAGGGAATGCTCTCTTCCTCCCCGTCAACTTGGCCATCCACTTATCAACATCTCTAGCTTGTGAACAGAACCCCTCTTCCTCCGATGGCCAGCCCTCTCGGTCGCCAAATCCAAAAACGGAGTATCCAAGTAATGGCGATAGTGGCGCAGTATCTATCCTGAAATCATTATGCGTTTCTTGCAAATGCTCTAGGTAATTGTCGAGCACCGTATCTATATTATATGTCGGTATGAGTATAAGGTAAAAGTATTGGACTTCTGGATCGGATTTTGGTGGATTGATAAAATATTCATCATAGTCTATGTAGGAAAGATCCAGGATTTCGGGTTCCAGGAAAATAGTAGAGGTCGAGCTTGCAATATCTTTCGCGCATTGCGCCAGTCCTTCTGTAAAAACTTTGGCAGTCTTCTCGGTGGTAGTTGTCAATGATGAGAAGAAGACCAGAACTTGAATCTTCTTCTCTCTAGGGACTATATTCTCTTCTGAGGACTTCCTCTTTTTGAGGCCTCCTACAATTCTTCGAGGAACTTTCTCGCCATTTGTCTTCTTTTCGAGATATTCAACGGCACCTTTATCTTTCGCAGCCTGCAATGTCGGAGACAGCGGAGGAGGTGTGTCTGAGATTTTCTCTCGGTTCACTCGCAGGTGTAGGATCGTTCGGATGATTATGAGAACTGCGAATGTCGACAAGATTATGGGAATGCGATATGTATGCCACAATGCGAATATATCTTTCTTGCAGTCAGTATTCAAGTCTCGCATGAGTCATTGGATAATTGCAGAAGTATAACAAACCTGTAGCATATACGTTCCATAGCGCCCTTAGGCTCCAAGTATCGTGATACATCGCGATAGTTGGATGGTGTTGTTGTCCTGGAGTGAGTGGACATGAGATTTTGATAGAGGGGAATTTAAGGCTGCGGTGGGGTCACCCCAAGACGCGGACGCTAGCGGGATTAGCTTCAATTTTAATATCCTCACTCCCCTTTTCTATTAACTCCCTTAAACCTCCTTGAACTCTTCATTATGCTTCCTCGTCCTAGATACAAAGAGCCGCAATTGTGACTTTTGATGTCATACGTTGCCTATCACATTATAAACTGGTGCCACCTTTCTATCCACCGCGAGGCTTCTCCGAGTCCGAGTAGACATTCTCTTGTGGAGGCCGTAAAACACTGCAGGGGTCAATGTGAAAGGGCCCCTTTTTCTACCAATTAAAAGAGACAAGACTACTTCTGTCTTGAAATGTGTTTCCGGCAAGTGCTCTGGTAAATGGAGAGTCCGGTAAATGGACTGCAGTTAGTATCTCAGTTCCAGAAACCTAAATTTTGATACGGTACATCACACCCCAACCCCACACCTTGTCTTGTCACTCATTCATCAAAGCAGGACTCAGCAAGTTCTGTAACATGAGTATATGGATTTTTTGTATGACTAGCTCTTCGCAATAAGTAATGGATAGTACTCAGCCCTTGTATCATCACCATTCGGCAACTTCAGCAGTACTAAATGGGGCTGCAGGATATAATACAGCATTCGTACGTGTGGGTGAAGTATTTCTGGGGGCAAGGCAACGATTCTGTGTACCTAGACCGCTTCAGATAGAGTTGGAAACGCCGTGATAGCGTGGCCTTCAAGAATTGGGTGTTGCAGCTGCTGGGATTCTCTATCATACCACGCGGTACGTGAGAGATGTTCATGGATTATCCCAACGCTTCAATAATCAGGATCAAAATCCTCGAAATTGACGGCATTATAACACTGCTTAGCTCATCGACTTCCTTGCGATTTGTGCCCTCTGATCTCAGAACCTATGATTCACCCATCCGCCGTAATCATTTCCCCATGCACTGTGAAGACTTGAGCATCCGTTACTATTTATCCATTCGCGACGCCCCTGCCCACTTTGCCAGTGAGCAGAATGCCTGGGAATTCTGCACTTGCCACCACAGGTGCCGTACTCAGCCTGGCATTCAATACCGCAATACCTCTCATAGATGAACTCTGGAGAAGTGGACGCGCTTGGTTCTGGCGTCGGAGCTGTCTTGGTGGATGTCGTTGTTGAGCTTGTGTTTGGTTCTGCAGAAGAGCTGGCTGCTTCCACCGGACTTGGGATCCCTGGCATAAGGACTTTGTTCTTCTGTGGCGGGCCGTTGAAGTTCCCTGCATTGCAAGCATCGCGTACTCCGTTACATTTCGCTTCCCATAATCTACATCCCTTTGAACCAGTCGGCGGAGCACTGTTATAGCATTCACTGGTCAGGTCGAAACAGACCTTCGAGGCCTGTTGAAGATAGTAAGTATGAGTTTGTAACATGGAAGGAGAGTACGAAACCACTTACATTTTTGCATCCATCGGATGTTGAATATGATTCTAGTTCGAGGGCCCACCAATTGGCATTTGTTACGACTACATTGAATTTGTATGGCAAAAGCCCCTCATTTTGCCTGTCGACTGGCTTGACTTCGACACTGCTGCTTCCGTCCTTGTATAAAGCGGGTCCCAGAGCTGGGTGCGGCCATTTCGGGATATAGATGTTGAAGAGAACAGCGGGGTCAGTGGATTCAACATAACCTGGGATTTTGACAGTGTCCTTAAGCAACGAGGTCGCAGTCGAGTTCAGAAATATCTGCGCACATCCAAGATAGAATTGCGGATTCGGAGGATTCTTATCCGCTTGATGGAGAGCGAGCAGCTCCGGCCTCACAAGATAATATCCACCGGCGAGGTCTTCAGGGACTTTGACGGACAGCATGCCGTCGTTTTTCATTAGCTTCTCGGTACACCACTGCGATGTTCCGGCATCGTAAGTGTCTTCCCATATCTTGAACCAGCCATCTCCGATTGCTTTGTCCTGGATGACAGACTCAACGCGCTTTATGTAAACTGCACAAGGCCCCTTGTGGGATATATCGATGGCACCGGGTTGAGAGTTATCAGCGTATTCAACAAACAGGAAGTCCAGTTTCGCCGCTTGCGGAATCGAGCAGACACGTCCGACACCTGCAGTTCCTCCGTACCCTGCCTCTTGTTAGTCAATCATGCCAGAATGCTTGAGTTTGACGTACCGCATGCCATGTCATCACTCTTCAGGTCATTGATGGGAAATGTGGCATTGTTTGAGGTCGTCGGCATCCGCACGCAGGTAGCGGGGCTTTGGTTGACGTCGTTAATGAAAAGAGTTGTAAAGACAGTATGTGCAGTACCCATTTGCAATGCGGCTAGCACGTAGGAGAATGTAAGAATCCTCATCGTGGCTTTGAGTCGGGTATTCGGTTTCTGGTGTTTATTTGATTTCTCAAGATGCCAAAGCGGATTATGAAGAAAAAAGATTGCGGCAAATAAATATAACAACCAATAATACCCGCAGGTTTGCAAGCCAATTTCCATTCACGGGCTAGAAACCACTCTGTGGATGTGATCCCGACTGACTTTAGTGAGATTCCTGTGGTTGATTCCCACAAACTTTGATTGTCATTCGCAAAGGAGGTGTGTTCGGTTATTATTGTGCTGCTGGCCTGTGAATATTAACTTAGATTCAATGAACCTGACAATAGGCTTGTGAATAGGTGTGAAAGAGGACAATAGTAAGCAAAGGCCCGGCAACCCTTATTTTGAGAATTGAGAATCTCACCAGAATCAAAACCAGAATAACTCCAGTGTTGACAGCCTTCTGATAATAGATACATTCCGTCTCTCGAACTTGACACAAAAACTTACATATGTTAGTGTTTCGAATTAAGAAGCTCTAGTCCAATACCCAACCATCGGGCTACACCTGGACGCGCCTACGGGAAGCTGCAGGTTGCACAACCTTTGAAGAAGCAGGAACAGTCCCGAAATTTCAAACCGCGCTGAAGCTCATGGGTAATAGACTCCAGAAATTGTATTTGCCTTGAATGCGTTGTTGTCCGCTGTATTGTGTAGTCCTATGGTGTCTAACGCAAACTTGAGTGTTCTATCAAACCAAGGCTGTAAGTACCACCTCGAAGGTGCTTGCTTCATGATGGTACACCAATATATAAGAATCTCCAAGGCTGGAGGGCAACATTCTTGGAGACGAGCCATAAAAGCTGATGGGACCGTGCAAGGCCAAGTCATGAACTGCTTCCATAAGAAGGGTAAACCCGAAAGAGAGTCTATCCACGCCTCAAGAGCATCAATGGCTTTATAGTCTGCAGAGGCCGCTGCGTATAAGTTACGATCAGTTTCACGCGCCTCCGCGAGGCGTCGTTTCAGAACTTTGAGGCTATCCAATGTTTGGTTCTTGACTATGCTAAACTCGGGGCTAGCAAAAGGCTCCAGTGGGAGAGGAAGGGCCACCCAAGCCCCTTTCACCTTGACGGATCGGTCATTCATGGGGAACAGCCTTCCAGTGTGTCTCAATATTGACAACATGTCGTAAGGATTAAATGGAGGTAGTAATTCGTTGCTGAGAGCTCCCCGCTCTACAACCAAAGGAAGGCTGAGTCCAATGATACCAACGCTAGCTGCGAACGCTATCGCTACCAGCAGATTGTCTTGCGAGATCTCTTGGACTGATGTTCTGAACTGACGAGAAGCTTCAATGTGGTATCGGCACGCCAACATAGAGTATTTCAGTGTATTGGGGGAACCAAGATAACACAAATGAATCGCTGATACTGCCAAGATGCTGTGTCGAATGAAAAGACATCTCCTTGCCAGCGTAGGCAAGGCGATGGGCCAAACTCTGCATTCTTCCGGGTCCTGGCCGAGGGCAAGAGTAAAGCACGCGTTCGACAGAAAGTGGTGCATGAGTTCCCTCTCCGGTTCTCCCAGAGTAGCCACGAAATCGAGGGAATCGGATAGAGGCGGCTGAAATTCCCAGTACTGCTCGAATTGGGCAGCGGCTGCAGCAGTGTCCGGAGATTTGGTCAATTGGACTCTCGTAGCCATGCTCTGGTAACTGCAAGCTTCCTTGCGTCTCCGACAGCTTGAACAAATAGGACCAACACATTCACACTATTTGCATCAAGTCAGATGGATTCTGTCCTTCCATGGGGGTCGGGGCTGAGCTTACCTTGACCCGGCGCGTCTGAGGATAAACAGAGATCAGCAACTGTTCATCCAGGGAGGTTACAGATTTGAAGGAGCAGGAAGTGCCTCATCAATTAGGAAAATTTGGATCCAAGAAATACGTTCTTAGAGTCTAGACAAACTCCATGTAAGAGACGAATTATCACACCTTGCATTGGCGGCATCCATTCCTCGTCTTTGCGTGATATGCCCGGAGACCGCTCATTGTTGTTATAGTAAGATGCAAATCCAGTGCCAGTGATGGGTGAAAATATTGAAAAAAGCCTTTCGATTCGAAGCCATTGTAGCAACAACGTCGCGGCTTGGTGTATCGCCCCGCGTCGCCTGGAGGAACTAACCCCTCAGCTACAGTACTGGTATGCCCCTATTTCTTCCTGGCGGCCTGGGCACTCTTTAGACAGGGATAATCATTGTATTTGTGGCTGTGTATCGTATCCCCGATTTCTGATATACTTCGTATTAGAATCCAAGAGCCTAAAGCTTCTCAATTAGGTTTAGTGTACGAGGTACAATTGCCGGGTTAAGCTTAGATTATAGTAAAATAGGCTTAGTCTATACTCACGTGACACCGTATAATACGCGTATTCAGACCTGTTTTGGGTTGTAACATTAAAACCTGATCGATTGAAGTTTTTAATAATACCTTAATAATACCTTAATCACACAATTATTCACGCTCTAGATCATCTCCTCTCCACAAACGCCGTCTTCCACCTCGTAACCTTCAACAAGTCCCCATCTAATATAATGGCGCCTCCTTCCTCGCAACCCCCTAGAAACCCGTTCACAACCGGCTACAACAAAGCCTCGCTGGATCGTTATGCTTACCGCACGGCAGATACCTGCTGCTCTTACCTCCTCCCCCATTTATCATCCTCCCTCCAAACTTCACCTTCCTAGACGTCGGATGCGGACCAGGCTCAATCACCACAGATCTCGCATCTCGCTTCCCACAAGCCAGATTCACCGGTGTTGAACCCGGCAAACTGTTTGTTGATAAAGCCACTACTTTGGCAGAAGAGAGAGGTGTCAGTACTAGAACTAATTTTGTCATTGGAGATGCGGAGAATTTAGAAGCGGGTTTGGAAAGGGAATTCGGGACTTTTGATGTCGTGCATTGCCATCAAGTTTTGAACCATGTTAATGACCCCGTCTTGGCGCTGAGAACAATGAAAGGGGCTGCGAAAAAGTAAGGGTGGGATTGTGGCGGCTAGAGAGGCTATAAGCAAGAACGGCGACTCTTTCTACCCACTGCTTCCGGGCTTTGAAAAATGGCAGAAGCTCACGAATTCTATGGCGGGTGTGCAGCAGGGTGGTTCTCTTCCTGGTTTTGGGTCTAAATTGTTGGAGGCGGCACTGAAGGCTGGATGGTCGAGAGATCAGATCAAGACGGGTGCTAGTAATTGGGTATACAGTGAGCCGGCTGAGAAGAAATTGTGGGTGGAAAGTATGGTGGGGATGTTGGAGAATCAGGATAGTGAGTGGTATAAGAAAGCTGTTGGGGTAGGGGCTACACAAGAAGAACTGCAAGAGATCGCAGAAGGATGGAAAGAGTGGGAGAGGAGGGATGAAAGTTGGAGTGCTTTTGTTAGTGCTGAGCTTGTCTGCCTACATTGCTAAGTGTATCGATTATTTTCCCCCACCCAACTCCAAAACAGCTTCTGCAATAGTGCCTAGCGCATCATATTCCTCCATCTTCCTCTTCATCGCCTCAATGTTATGCTTGAAACTCCCATCACCCAAAATCTTCACCACAGCATCTTCCAGAGCCTCCTCACTCGGCGTTCCAGTCTTCAAATTTATCCCAATTCCGGCCCAAGCAACGCGACAAGCATTCTCCGGCTTTTCCTCCGTGTTCCCAGCGACAACCATCGGTACTCCATTCGTGATAGCATGCTGTATCGCTCCATAGCCTCCATTCGTGACGAAGACATCACAGCAAGGAAGCAGCTCATCGAAGGGGATAAAATCCGCAACCCTTACATTCCCAAGAACAGAGATAGAAGGAGAAAGGGTGGCATTGCGAGCGCCCAGGGCAGCGACAACAAGAACATCGTCATGCTTCGCCAGAGCATTGATGGTTGGAAGGAGAAGCTGGGTAGGCGAGTTGGAGAACGTGCCTTGCGAAACGGCTACTACTTTCTTTCCCTTGCCATTTCCGCTTTCCTTCGCTGCTTCGTTCGCGATGAGCTCGTGCCAGAAGTCTGGGAATGACTGTGCGGGGTCGCGGGAACCATGGGGTAGGCCACCAGCGAAACGGACGGTAGATGGGAGGTCAGAACGGGGGTATTCGATCTCCGGGATGCACATCTGGATGTAGCGATCTGGCAAGACGACGGCTGCATCAGTGTGTAAATGATCTGTCGTCTTTGCTCCCGTCGAAGCTAAGAGAGAGAGGAAAATCGTGTGAAGCTCCTGGGAGTCATTACGGTTCTTCTGGTTGATAATAGCGTTTCTTTCGCGACCTGAGGGTGACGAATCTGGCGGGATGCAGGTGCCGAAAGGAGCAGTGTCGATGCTTGACAGTTGGAGAGGAAGCACGCTGATTGTGATATGGGCATCTGGCTTGATACCTGGCGCTCCCAATATACTAGGAATGATTCCGAGACAGCCATTCTCAACCATCAGGACGACCTTCCTTTCTGGCTCTCTTTCCTTCAAGTCTTTTAATGCAAGCTGAATGCTCTGGTATTGACTAGGCATAGCCCGTACAAAAATATGCTCAATATCATAAGCTGCTAGCTCTTCCCCAGCGAGGGCAACCCGACCCGGGAAACGCGTATTGACTGTAGCTTCTGAAATATCCGAATAGCCGGAATAAGGATGAAAACGTGCGCCGATTGCCTCGATAGGTTCTCGGAAATGTGAACCGGTAACGAATGTAATTTCAAAACCACGCTCGATGAGTCCTCGTGCAATAGCCCGCAAAGGCATGGTATGCCCGTAGATTGGCGTCGCGCCCATGAGAATCAGTGGTTTCTCCATGGCGCGCAAGGCCGGAAAAAGGGGGGTAAGCGAGAGTGAAAGAGGGAGAAGTTTGGTGTTAAGCGAGATCGATAAGACAAAGGGGTGTATCTAACTATATGCGGAAAGGGTGTAAGTGCTTCTGAGTAGGTCTGGGACAAAAGATACAGGAGAGGTTCAGAGATCTACTTTCCCCTACGTCCGAGAAAAAGTATGCGGAATGAAATCACGTGTATGTACCAAAAGTCGCCAAAAAGTTGCCTGTGCACGCCTTTTCATTCCGCACACTTTTTCTCGGACGTAGAGCTTCCTTACCAGATATTTGAAGGCGAGCGATCCCGACCGACACTTAAACGCGGCTTGAGACGGTCTGCGCACTCACAATTCATATATACGATCGTGGAAGCTCTAAGGGGTTGTAGCTCTTGGCGTATCAAAGAAAGCTAGGAGTGGGATATTCTTGAGGATCGATCCTGAGCGGATTTTCAAACGATCCGCATTAGGCTTTAGCGTTTATGCGTTTATCGCTTACCATTCGCTGTATCTGGTATTTTCCCCACAGCTCTATCCTGTCTTGTATACTTATATATTTGATATTTCATTTATATAATTTCACACTATAGATCTGCTCTTTTGTGTGATGTTATTGTAATTTGATTAATTGAAATCTGTAGGGTGATTATTGATTTATCAAATCTTCGCCTATGCGCTTAGACGAGATATATCATCCCGCGTATCAATTGACTTGTCTTTCATCCATACCTGCATTCTTAGACACTCCTTCCTACTCGAATAATTTTCTTATAAGTTCGAACGTGACTACCTCAATCTATTACAAATACAACTTACAGATTCCGACTTTACATTCACTACATGATTGTCTACAAACTGCGATATACAACAAAAATGTACCAACTATGCTTTTTATAAGTAAACTTCAGATTTCTAGGACTCTAAATAAGTTATATTGAATATTACTATGTTGACTGGAAAGTACGACATGCAACAAAACTCGTAAAAAGTCAAAAAGCAGGTCAATATTGAATATGTATTTGTAATTGGAAAAATACGACTTGCAACGAAAACTGAAATTTCCTAGTATGGTAAGTTTTCTATTATATTCAATGTGCCATTGAAATCTCGGAAATCCGACATGCAACAGAAGATTTTCTGACATAGACAGACTAGGCTAAATAGCATTGCCCAAAACCCTAGTCTTCATCTGATAATCAGAGCATTAAATAGACTTTGGTATTAATCGTAGTAGAGGACTAGCTTCTTATATGGAGATCTCATTTGTCATTAATCAATCATTTCCTATTTTTCAAACACTTATCAATATCCTCAGTTCCAAAACCTATATAACATAAAAGATACTAACTTCCTAGAGTAGGAATATGCATATGTGATGAGTGTGCAAATCTGAGAGGAATCCGGGGACAATTCTTATTCATTTCATTATGCCGCTTTTGATTAACTATAATTTGGCGCTCAATGGCGCGACCTCTGCCATGATCGTCTCCCGTGTCCTTCCCACGTCCTGCTCAACATAATTTTTATACAACTCTGCAATACTCCTCGTCACTGGCCCCGGCCCTTCCTCATCCCGCTCTCCAATCTTCCTCCCATCAACACTCACTACACATATATGACTCGGGAAGGTCCCAGTACAAAAGGCTTCATCAGCGCCGTACGTCTCCGTAAGCGTGAAGTCGCACTCACGTACCGGGATGCCATTCTCCCTACATATCGCCAGTGTTTTCTCTCGCGTAATTCCTTGCATCTGGTATGCTCTCGTCGGCGCCCATACTTCGCCACCAGGCCGCACGATGAAAAAGTTGGTGCTGTTGCAAGTCTTGACATGGCCATTTGGATCTAGCATCAGTGCTTCGTCGGCTCCCACGACATTAGCACCTATACAGGCTTGCACATCAGTTGCTTTGGAAATGTGGTTCCACATCTCATCTTTAACATCTGGTGTTCCGCGTCGGATGTGTGAAGTGATGAGACGAAGTCCACGTGATTTTGCTACGGGGTCTGCAACTTTGATCTCGGGTATGATCACAATCAAAGGGAGCCCGATATTGACAGATGGATTCTGGTACGGTGTTGACTTCAGGCCTCGACTGACCACGAGGCGGATGTGGATTCCATCGGAGTCTTGCATGCCGTTTGCGTCCACTGTGTCGTGAATGAGTTTCAGTAACGCGCCTCGAGAGAGACCAAGATTCATGTCCATGGCTTTTGCTGATTGGAATAGTCTATCGATGTGGGCTTTTGCGAATTGGACTCTACCACGACAGACACGAACACCTTCCCAGATCCCGTCGCCGATGAGGAAGTTTGAGTCAAAGACTGATACGACAGCTTCATTTCGAGGACGAAGTGAGAATTTCCCCGTCACGCCATCACGCATTCCAATCTAGGAGATTCAAGTTAGTCATTACTACAAAGTGAGTTGACAGATTCTCACTCACCAGAATAGACTCATTCTTCGTGTTTGGTACAACTTTATGCGTAGCCATCTTGGAGTTTTGCTGTAATCAAGATTCTATACCTCATAAACAAGGTCAAAACTCTATATGAGGACTTGAAAAGAGAGAGTCAGCTGAGAACCGGAGAGAACTCTATATATCATATCCTAGTAGTTACGCTTGTGTGCGGCCGGTCTAGCATCTTTCATGCCGAAGCTTGAGAGAATTCGTCAAAGTCGGCATCACTAAGCACAAAAGATGGGATATCCATGTTTGGGATGCCGAGCAGCTCCGTCGTCTTCAATATCTCCGTTCGGACTGGTCCGAGGCGCTCGCTCCCCTATAGCGCCGTCTGTTGGGGGTAGTACTTCGATACGGCAGTTATCGCGGACACTACTGAGGAGACCCACTAAAAAATATAAGTATCACGGACCAGTCCGTTGTAATCAACCAAAAGTTCCAACTCTTGTGGATCCTATCGTGGGTACGTAGGTATCGAGGTTCTTATGTTATAATTGAGAATATTGCGTGATAACAAAGACGCCACAAGTGTCCTGGAGTGGCTTCAATGTTGATTCTTTCAAGATGCATACAAAACGAGGGTGACCTCCCTGTTCACCCTCACGATTCTGTTCAGTCTTCAAGTATCAAATTTTCATTGGCTCAATTGCAAAAATGGCAGATAGGGCCTCGAAATCCTCCTTATCGGCGGATATCCCAGTGATCGCCGAAGATGCCCAGTCAGAAATGTTAACAGCAGCTCTCAATAACAGACTTCGGTGGAAAACGGATCTTGTAGTCCTCCCACTCATCGTCCTAACTTCAACTCTAGCTTTCTTGGACAAGGTAACATTGCCCTTTAATACAATCCCACCTCAGGAAGCCAGTCGACTAATGTCCTCCAGAATGGCATGGCCTACGCAGCAGTTTACGGCATGAAAAAAGATGCACATCTCGTCGGCCAAGAATATAGCTGGCTTGGTTCAATCTTCTACTTTGGCTACCTAGCCATGGAGTTCCCCATCCTCTGGCTCCTAACTAAAGTCCCCATTGGGAAATTCGTCGGCATCACTGTCTTCATCTGGGGCGGCATTCTATGTTGCATGGCTGCTTGTCATAGCTTTGCTGGCTTGGCTACTGTACGCTTTTTCCTTGGTGTGTTCGAGGCTGGTATTTTGCCCTCGTTGATGATTATGAACTCCATGTGGTATAGGCGCGAGGAGCAGCCATTGAGAACTGCATTGTGGTATAACACGCTTGCTGGGGTAAGACACGTGGTTCGGTACACATTTGACCTGGAAGTTAACTTTGTAAGATTTTCGGTGGTATATTGAGTTACGCTATCGGGAAGATGCACGCTCCGCTGGCAACATGGAAGGTATGATTATTTGCAAATCACCATGTCTGTCGGCAAGGGCCAACATTGACACCGTGCAGTATATCTTCCTTATATACGGCTCAGTAACCATGGGCGTCGGCATTCTTGTGTTCTTCGCCCTTCCAGATTCGCCCAGCAAAGCCTGGTTCTTCAATGCCGAAGAGAAAAAGGCGGCTGTGATTCGATTGGCCGAAAACCAGACTGGTGTGAATTCGCACAAGGTGCGTAGGCCTGCAAAAAGCCTGATATTTATAGACGTCTGACCTGCACCCACATTAGAACTGGAAGATGCCGCAAGTTCTCGAAGCTCTCAAGGATCCGAAGTACTGGTGTGTAGCACTATTCGTCATTGCTCAATCGATCACCAATGCTGGAATCACAAATGTGAGGCGAATATTCCCTCTTGACTGCATGGGGAATCGGGAACTAACACGATATCTCTAGTTCAACCCACTGATTATAAAGGGATACGGTTTCTCTGCTTCAAAGACGACTCTTATGGCCACTCCCCAGGCGGCCGTTGCGCTCGTGGCACAGATCTTTTGTACCACACTAACATTCTACATCCCCAACATTCGATGCATCCTGTGGGTGCTCTCCGCATTACCTGCGCTAGCTGGAGCCATTATGATTCACGGTATGCACCTTATTCCATCCGGTATTTTGAGGGTGACAAGTCGAGGAACACTGTAAGCTAACAGCAAAATAGTACTCAAGATCGCCTCTGCCCGAACGGCATCACTGGCCGGGGTGTACCTGATGGGATTCTACAACGTCTCTTGGGTTCTAATGCTAAGTCTCCAGTCATCCAATACCGCCGGGATGACCAAGAAGAGCTTTGTTTCCGTCTCGATTGCAATCTTCTACGGTAGAGCATTCCATTCCCAGCTTTCCTACTTCCGAAGACATGTGAACCAGAGCTGACGTTTCGTGAATGCAATGCAGCAGTCGGTAACATTGTTGGGCCGCAGTTCTTCCTGACTTCCCAGTCTCCAAAATACAGTCTCGGCATCGGGGCTATGCTGTGCTGTTTCGCTATCATGGCTGCTACGGGTATATTGTATGGTGTGCTGGTGTTTGCGGAGAACAGGAGGCGAGATAGGGTATTTGGGATCCCGGAGAGGGATCGCGTTGCGGTTGGTTTGGCTATTGAGGATTCGGACCAGACGGATGGACAAAACAAGGAGTTTAGATATGTATATTGAATGAGGACAAGTCTTTAAAGTATAGAATATAGATACCGTAATCTTGTTCTGTTCATGTTGGTCTCCTTGCAGAGAGAATGTCCTTGTAAGATATCTTTATATTTATAATAAGTCTTGTGGCACGTAAGCCTCGACATTAAAGTCCAGGTCAAATATAGTATTGTTATTCGGGAAGACTTCATCGAAGAAGCCTCCCATCCAGTCGATATCGGAGCTTCCCAACGGTATCTGATCAAGCGACTGCATAGCTTCCATCCTCCGCTCCCTACACTTCCTGACCGTCGCATCTTGAACAACCCTGAAGAAATGCACAAACTTCATCTTACCGGTATGCTCGCCCTTTGTGAGCAAAAGGATAGATCCACACGTGCTCGCGAGATGTTCGATTACCTGCTCTTCGACAGCATCGATCCGCCTATAATTTGATTTCGTGTAAGCAGAGATGGTGGGAGGAGAAGGAGAAGGAGAAGGAGAAGGAGAAGGAGAAGGAGAGGTGCGCACCATGCACAATACAACCATGCCAAGCCTGTCAGCAACACGTCATGAAAGGTATTCCACAGCACCGTAAGCTGTTTCCTCTCTGCCAGAGCTGCCCACGATTCAAGCGCTTCCCGCGAGGCCTCAGCACACGCTGCAACAGATTCAGTCGCGGGATTGGGAAACGACGGAGAAGGCCTATTGAGTAGTAACACCGCCATGCACAGTTCGACTTTCAGCTCCAGCGCTTCTCGTGATTCCGCAACTGTGTTTATAGCCAGTGCGGAATGCCAATTCGCGAGACGGTGACGCAGGCTGTCTGCTACTTGGATTGTCTCGGTGACGCTGGGAGTAACCTTCGTTCGAGGTCGAGCAATGTAAACAGATTCTAGGATATCACCGCAGATGCTCCGGAGACGGAAATGGTGGATTGCTGGGAGAAAGCTTTTCTGTGCCACGGTTGGTGAGAGGGCGGATTCGGCAGGCGTCAGAGTATCGTTCTCGGTTGTTTGGGGAAAGGGGGCATCGATGGCGTGGTTTCGTATTGACAAAACACGGCCAGTAGCAACAGCTATATTCCTTGAAGTATTAGCCTACAGTACGTACCTTAGTCCTTGTACTCACCTCTCCAAAGCGTATACACACCACCAGACTCTGTTTCTCATCTCTCTTTCGGCGTGTCCGAAATCCCAACTTGGATTGTTTCTATGGCAGCCTAGCTCGATGGCCATACTCATCGCGAAACGACTGATTTGCCATAGACTCGCATTATCTGAAGGCTGCGACGACCGTGTCATCCAGATGGTGAGAAGCAGTAACGCCTGTAGACTTTGCAAATTGGTGCCTAGAATGGCTTGATCTAGGAACCTGATCGCAGCAGCGAAGTATTCCTGTGCCGTGAAAATATCAGGAATTCCATGGTCTTTTGTACAACTTTGCGACTCCATGACTCCGATGGACATCACCATGAAAACAACGTATCTTTGAAAAGAGCTGCATGTCCTTGGCGAAGAATAGATGTCTTGAAACCACTGTCGAAGACTGGGTAGATGGATCATCGGCCACCAATGATGCGTCCGGGAAATGTAAACGGTCATCAGATATTGACTAACTCGCTTTGCGGGTAAGGAGGCTTGTGCAACGACAGAGGCCAGCGGGTCTTCTTGGAGCCCCATTAATATCGATGCTTGAAATCCGACCAGATTGAGGTCCAATTGCTTGAAGAATATTCTTGCAAAACTCCCGCCAGCAGCACTGCCGACTTGGGCGTCATATCAGCATCGTATATGCGAACGGACGGCTTGACTCACCATATTTCTGGGCCATGTTATTCACGTTTCCTGAAGACAAATTGCCCACTTCTTCGGCAACCGAGTCCTCTCTTCCTGTATCATATACATTCGTATTATGTGGTAGGTTAGCGGAATAGACCTCGGTACTATTCAGAGGTGCTCGGATTTCGTTGTCGTCCCCATCCTGGGAGATAGGCTTCACCTGGGAGAGACGTCTCTCCAAGTCTAGTACTTGATTTTGCAGCTCGCAAACGGTATTGTAAGAGTAAGTCACATGGCTAGTGATGTTACATTCTGAGTTGTTCTTCGAGCATGGTGTGCATGATGGGACTCGTCCGTCACACTAGGCTAGAGTTCAGAAGAAAATAAATGGTTCTGGGAAATTTTGTTACCTTAACCTTGCGGGTGTGACATCTTGAGCAGGCGCGATATGATGCAGGATGGGAAAGGTGGTTCATATTTATATAGTGTTCTTTGGATTATGGAAAGAGGTGCAGCGAAAGAGTGGGGGCATCATAATTTTACCCCCTACGGTATTAGCGCCCAGCTACTCTACTCCGTACACAATAGTAGACTGGTATCCAAACGTGATTCCTACTTATAACAAGGACCCTCTTAAATCTAAAACACTCAAATCCAAAACTAAGCTTTGAATGTACAGTCACATCAGTTCCCGGCGTCCAATTCCAATTATCACACAATTTCAACCCCCTCCCCACTCAAACCCCCAACATACCTACTCAACCTACCTACAATTTCACCTTGCCCAAATAAAGCGTCTTCACATTACCAAAGCCCTTCAACCCCTCAATTTTCAACTCAACCCCCATCCCACCCACCTTCAGGCCGCCAAACGGTACGCGCGGATCAATCTCGAAATGCGTATTCACCCAGAAGGACCCGGCTTCTAGCTGCTGCGCGATATCGTTCGCGACGGCTAGGGACTTCCACTCTCAAACATACATTCTCAAAGAGAGAGCAACCAACTCACGATGTTACTGCTGTCCTTGCCAGAAACAGTACATGCAATCCTGCCTACGATAGCGATACAGACGAGGAAATGAAGCTTGATCCCAAATCCACAACCCAACCGAATAAAGACACAAGAGCAATTATCAGACGAGAGGGACGACAGTCATTACTTACTGCTGTGGAATATACCAAGGCTTTGAAGTGCAGAGAAATGCATGCAGAGATGGACTAAACCTTGGAGTTCATATTATTGCTACACGAAACTGGGTGGGAGAGCTTTGTTTGTTATATGAGGTATCCTTGGATCCACCCAAGCAGCCAGCGACTTCTCTAAACCTCACGGAGGCTCAAGTAAAGAAACAAATAATGAGGTTAATCGAACGAACTCGTTACGCTGTTGTCATGTTCCTTTTGGCACCCTGCAAGATCGTCAAATGATCTGATGTTTGTCCGGTGTATTAGGAGTATAAGAAATTGACAAGAAACCGGAATGAAAAGGTAATTGTGCTCACTTGAGGAAGAATATCCCCGTATCACCGCTACGCTAGTCCATATATACGTAATTTCACGGCGGGCAGTGTTTTCATAAAGGACTTTGTATTCGTTATAAGTCTAATGCGTGTCTACCAACGTTCCAATTTGTTGGTTCATCGTCGCATCTTTTATCCCCTGGGAACGGATTTTCGTGGTATTTATTCTTCGTACACAAAACATAAAGGCCATTAATACCCCCGTAAACCCTCGATACCTGGTCCTCTTGGATCGTGCGATTTAAAGGAAGTAGTCAGGCGTGCGTCGTGAGACCATTGGTTCGCCTGCGCGTGGGCATGGGTCGAATTGTAGGAATGTGTATTTCAGATGTTCGTCGATTTCCATGATGGCTGCTTGATTACCGCACCTGTAGCAGTAATTTGGGGCTGGGTAGGATTAGCTTAGTTCTTGGTTTCAGGGTCTTCGAGAAGGTAAACATACCAGAGAATATGGTCACTACGTTTCTATCTTGAGACCAATTATAACCCTCCATAACCAATTGATGAGCTCTTGCAACCAGAGTCAAGCCATTATTGTGGTTGAAGGCCTCGGAAATGTCCTGGCCAAACGTATACCCAGCTCCTCTCGGCGATATTCCCCACCCGCATCTATCATCTGGATCCGACCACAGGAGATCGCACATAGGACCCTCGTGTGGTACCTCTTGTATGCGGTCGAGGGCTCTGATATTATCGAGTGTATCAATGCTGGGAGAGAGACCTCCGTGGAGGCAGAAGATCTGGTTATCAATCAGGGCTGTGAGGGGAAGGTAGTCGAAGAGGTCGGTGAAGTATTTCCAGACATTCGCGTTGCCGTACTTTCGGAGGCACTCGTCGTAGAAGCCATAGACTTGGGTAATTTGGCGGGATTCGTGATTACCACGGAGGATTGTAATGCGCTGGGGATATCTGATCTTGAGGGCCACGAGGAGGGTGACGGTTTCGACGGAGTAGTATCCTCGATCAACATAGTCGCCTGTGCTCAACAATCAGCTTTTATCTTCGTGGCGCTCAAAGAGCTTCTTACCCATGAAGAGATAATTGGTATCTGGATTTGGGCCACCAATTCTGAATAGCTCCATCAGATCATGGAATTGACCGTGAATATCTCCGCAAACCGTTACAGGGCATTTCTAGATACAAGGTCAGTTGTTGAGATGGCCCCACGGCATTCGAGATACTTACCACCGGCTGTACATTCGACTCATCCTGCAGAACCTCCCGTGCCTGGACGCGCGCTGTTAGATACCATACAATATTGACTGAGCCTGATCATCATTGTCCCAAAGGATCACGTACTTTCTCGCACAATCGCTGAACATCCACTTCTGCCAACTGTTTGCACTGCATAAGAGTCTCAATCCACCCGTCAAGTGTAGGAATGGAGGCAGGTTCTGATGCGGGCGAGAGTCTTGTAGGTTCAGGGGTGCGCCCAACATCCTCCATATTGGTGTCCATGTTCTACCTCACTTGTTGTGATGCGTTGCTGTGGTGGGGAGGGGAGCTCGAGATGACGACAAGGGCACGGAATCCAGGGTGGTCGGGCGAAGATGTCCCAGAGATTTGTAGACCTTTAAATCAAGTATGGCTGTACGGCGTCAACTTGATATTGATATTCGTGGACGCTGGTTGCAGGACGTTTTATTATGGGTATCACAAAGAGTATGGTGAGGTAGGGAGGGTAGGTACGATGGAGTAAATATGGGGGTTGATGGCTAAGGACACTCAATTTCAATATGAAGTCTCGCTTAGGTTTAGCGTAAAGTCTTTGCGGCTGAGAAACGTCACGTTTTCGTGTTCGAGGACAATGCGAATGTGTTCTATACAGTATTAAGAGAAACCTTCTCCGATGTGATGATCAGGCTAGGTACATGTAATTGGTTAATTTCATTGGTGGATATGATACGAATAGAAAGACAGGAGGGAATCTCGAAACAGGAGAATCTTCTATTCTTCTATTCGATATCGAACATTGCGGATGCCTGCATTCCCTTGAACATCACATAAATCCTAGCCCTACTGGTCCATCCTGAGCCTGCTGCCCTGCAGTACCATTATCTTGCCCGATCAGGCTCTTAAAGTCTAGACCCACCTCTGCCAGCATTCTCGAATGCTCCTTTGCCTGATCCATACATCCCATCCAAACCTGTCCTCCACGTTCAGTACTACTCAGTTGACGTGCAAGTATCGTATTGAATGCATCCACCTGCTCCTTTGCCCATTTGACACATGCACTCATCAACATGGGTGGAAAGCATGCTTGGAATGTCGAAACCGTGTTCCTTATAATCGTAAAGTACACGAATGAAAGTTCCCAGATGTATTGCGTGAGATCACCTTCAAAAATACATTGTCTATGACGGATTAGTAGACTTCACTGTAAACTTTAAATTCGACATACCTGGATCGCTTGCGGATAGTATTGCCTCGAGCCTCAAGATACGCTTCTCTCGCACGATCTTCAAATCCTAATTTCGCCAACCAACCAACGTTGCGCTTAGTCTTTTTCAGCTCATTGTGGGTATCAACAAGCTCGCGAGTAATAAGTCCGGCAAGCTTCGACGCTCTTTCGTCAGCCTTGAAGGTAATGAAGTCTTGCGCTACCACGTTGCTTTTCAGGCTCTTGGCCAAATTATTGAGCTTCTCGACCTCCTGTACGGCTGATTCGAAGCGCTGGAGAGCGATATTAATATCAAGCTCATCGACTTGACTCTCAACCCAGCGCAGATTCTGCTGTTTACCATCGACCTCGATGAGCATGTCTTTAATATCAGATAGAGTTTCCAGCAGCTCGGTTTTCTTTAGGAGACCAGGGTCTCGTGACGCAAAGTAGTTGATCGTTTCTTTGGCCTTATTGCTCGACTCCATCTCTGATCTAAGCCCCTTCCGTAGCCCTTCGACAGCCTTCCTGAAATTCATCATCAAGGACGTCTTATCATTATCATCAGGCTTTTCAGTTCGGTAAGTAAATGATTCTTGACCGACGCCCCTGACCATGATTGCATCAGCAACCTTATTTCTCCCAGTTGCGGATTCGCTTGTTCCAGCAAGGTCCACCATCTCGATGTCCAGCAATGGCCAGCAGCGATCCGCAACGAGCTTGGAGGGTGCATTTCGTTGATCTGCATTGTTTCCTTCGATTCTTCTCTTCTTTCTCGAAGCGACAAGGAGATGGTCATTCAAAAGAATGATTTGCATTGCACGCCGAGATTTCCAGGTTGCGTTGTCCAACTCGATCCAAAGACCAGCATTCTGAACGACGTGACGGCCTGGAAGAGCAGGCAGAAATTTCTGGGAACCTTCGACAGTTTTCCATAGTGCCTGAAGCTGTGAATTCCACATTGCAGTACGGTCGGCTACCGAACTCCTTTTATCCCTCTTGCTCAGAGTTGAGGGAAATCCACCATCGAAATCGTTCGAAGGTGTAGCCCCTTGTGAAGATGCGTTTCGTAGTGCCGTAGTATTGGTCTTGAGGTCCGACATTAGATTTCGTAGAGTTCGCATCTCTCCCTTTAGCTTCTCGGCCTCTTTACTGATCTTGATAAACTGTGTCCTATTCTGATAGACATTCTGCTGGAGATCGGTCGAGGCTCGATTCTTTACCCGCTTTAATGCTTGCTGGTATTCATCAATCTCTTGTTCCGAGGCATCACTTAGAAGACCAGCTATGTACTGCTCCGGTCGTAAACTCGGATCTCTCAATGCCTTGATATCCACAGCTAGTCCAGGACCCTTGGCTGGTGAAGGTCCACGTCTACGATCTTTCGAAGGGCCAGATTGGCCCGGTAAGGTCGGGATATTCGGTACGGGAGGAGCAGTAGCATCGTAATCGGCAGGGAGATTGTTGAAACGAGTAGAGTATCTTCGTTTGACGAGATCAGAAGTCTAGCTATTCGTCAGAAACGCATTTGCTGTAACATTAAATTTGGTCTTTCATTCGTACCTTTCCCCCTGCGACTGGCGGCCGCGAGGGCGGGGGAGCTTCGAAAGACGACTTCCCTCCAATGCTTCGTGGAGCACTGAGGGGAGCAGGACCAGCAGGACCAGCTCCAGGCTGGATGGGACCTGATATTTGTTTGGGAGCGCTGATTTGGGGACGTTGTTTATTGCCTCTCTTGGTCTTGGTCCTCAGGGAGATTCCCTTTGATTCTGACATCCTTGAGGACAAGTCTTGAAAAATGAGGTAATTGTCTCTGTTTCCCTAACTTAACTCATTCAGACGCGCGGGCCGTTATGCATCATTGAGCCTTAGCCCAAGGATCAAAGGTGAGGAGGTTGCGCATGTGCCTAATCCAGACTACCGTACAGTGCTAAGCCACTTCGGCCACCGCGACCCGTCACAATTTCCAAGGCTGGGCCGGTTTTAATTTTTGAAGCTTTGAGAGCTCTACAGGACAATACAATACACACCCACTTCTCAACCTTCTCCATCAACAGCCCTTATTCTCCTCATCAACAGCTTTCGCCATGGTTCAAACTTCAACAATAGTCGCTACTACGGTTGGTTCAGTAGCTGCCGGTTTAGTTGCATAGTACGTATTCCACGAAAGCTCGTCGTGCTGCTTTCTCAAGGCCTTGCGACTTGACATCTGTTGTTCAGTTCTTTTTTGAAATAAAGCATTGCTAACTTCTGCTAAAGCGCAGTATACTTTGACCACGCCGGCGTACAGACCCGAATTTCAGAAAGCAATTGAAGAAAGAGTCCAAAAAACTAGCTCGGGCCGCGAAGGAAGAGGCAGCGGCTCATACAGTCAGGCAAAGAGCTGTTATCAGGACAGCGGTTGAAGAGGCAAAGGACGAAGGCTTTCCTACAGACGTTGAGGAGAGAGAGGCATATTTCATGCAAGAGGTTGCAAGTGGCGAGGGTTTGAGTGGAGACGGTAGGAGATCCAGCGCTCTATTCAGCAGAGTGTTCACTAATTAAATATAGGGAGCAACAACATTGAGGCTGCTCTATGCTTCTACAAGGCCCTGAAGGTATACCCGCAACCAAAAGACTTGATCTCCATTTACGACAAGACGGTTCCCCGAGCCGTGCTGGATATCCTGGCCGAGATGATCGCAGCTGATGCCGAGTTGGACGTGGGGCCATTCAGTGCAACACCAGCAGGAAGTGATAGTGGCTCTAGTGGAATACCTGGCGTTGGACTGGATTGAATGGATTAAAGCGTTTTCGGCGTGCAATGGAATTCCCCTCTCTACGAACTTTTCCAGCGGACACGATTTATTGCCGGTCACAGCAATTAGCGTATACGCTCGGTTCTTCTTTGTGTCTGTACAACTGTAAATATTTTGAGGGTATGAATAATATACCGCCAGAAGCGAGACGGGGTGCGAAATGTAATGATATTGAGTCCATGCCGCAGTTGCACTGCTGGGTTATTTGTTAGAAGTTCCTATCGCTTGTGTTGAATCTGACTTAGACTTGAACGTGGCAAGAGATATATCTGCAACAGCTTATACGTATCTGGGTATCAGCAACCGTTCCTGGACTTCTAAGCCTTGCGAAGAAACATCAAAAGCCATGTGAAAGAGCGCGAATCAGGTGATCAGAAGCTCAGATATTCTTTGAACTTGTTTCATAATATGTAGTATAGTACAGTATTTCGTACAGCAATGTCTAGGAGATGATGTTTGTCCGATCAAAATCCTTTGAAAAGAATTCGTGAGACTGTATCAAAGTCAATATTTGGAGTCGATCTCGGCCTCAGGAATGGAACCCCTTTTCTGTAACTTTAACCCTACCCGGGCTCGGTAAGTCCATGCAGGGGCATCATTCGCGTCGTCTCGCGACAGCAAGATAATTACTTGTACATACAAAATCAACAGAACCTCTTCACTAACCCCGACAACAAACACATGCAGCTGTCTTCACTTTACCCCTCGTGAACTGCAATACGAACTCCTTCGACCCTACACCACCCCTTTCTGAGATGAGACGATCCTTATAGAAAACAAACACCATGATGGAGGTCACATCGCCTGGGGGCACCCCCCCCTCTGCGAACGGTCTTGCTGCAGGTGGGAACGGCGGATATCAGATCGATCCTCTGTTGATATTAGATCACCTCACTCAGGTGTGCGAAATCACGTTAGGAGCCTCGAGAAAGGAACTTGAGAACGTCGGGAGTCTCCTGTCCAAGGCAAGGGTCTCCGACACAACTCAGCGCGTTCAACGCTGGGCAGAGTCCCAAGCCGTTCTGTATTTGCAGAAGGATATTGCAGCCTCTGCAGATGTAATAGATGCACCACTTGACGGAACTGGTATGTATTTCCATGTAGGAACATAGAGGCTTGGGCTGATGGCTATATACAGGTCCTACGAGTTACAACTACAGTCTTGCAACCGATATTTCCTTCTCTGCAACAACCATAGCATCGATAGCCCTTTTGAAGCGTCCATTTCCTATAGATCCTACGATACCCATTACTTCGCAAATACAAATAATTAATCTTCCTGGTGTGGCATCGCTCACCAACAACTCTGGTGGTCAAGGTGCATCTGTTTCTCCTTTCGAAATATTACACTCTGTTGTACACCTAGCGCTGGCGCCCTACTTCGATGCATATACCAAGACGCAGCAGACGACAAATGGCACTCGAGCCAGATCAGATGTGGACGCAAAGACTGGAATTCCGGTGACAAAGAAGAGGATAGCAGAGTTGGAGTTGAGCCTGTTACATTTGCAACAAAACATCGAAATTCCGGACTTGATATTGCCCATGCACCCCATGGTTCAAAATGCTTTGGAAGAAGCCGCTGCTAGGAATACTAGGCCGACCGCTGAATTGATTCCTATGACTTTGATTCAAGACAGTACATTTCTCAACAACCTTCAGTCTATTGTGAACGGATGGATTAAGTCAATACAGACGATTACGAAGATGTCAAGAGATCCTACCAGTGGAACGGCAACACAAGAGATTAACTTCTGGCTTTCTATGGAGTCTGCTTTGGAGGGGATTGAGACTCAATTGCGCAGTGATGGTGTAACTCTTACAATGGAAATACTTCGAACCGCCAAACGTTTCCAAGCAACAGTCAGTTTCTCTGCGGATACCGGTCTGAAGGAGGCTACGGATACGGTCCAGAAGTACAACCAGCTCATGCGAGATTTTCCGCTGGACGAGCTTCTGTCCGCCACGTCTCTGTCCAAGATTCAAGATGCGCTAGGCATGATCTTCACACATCTCAATAAGAAGCTTCGAATTTGTCCGTATCCTATTCGGCGAGCCTTGCCTTTAGTCGAAGCCATTTCAGCCGATCTTGATACCCAATTACATTCGTTGTTGCACGGCCGATCTTTGATGCACCTGGACTACCGAGAGTTTAAGAGTTTGATGACGACTGCAGAATCTATCTGGAAAATCTGGGATGAGCATATCAAGGAATTCACCAATGTTGCCCGTGAGGTAACTCGCCGGAGGAACGAGAAATTCATCCCCATCAAAATTCAGCCAAAGCATGCAGCCCTTCAAGCAAGATTAAAATATGTCAGCACCTTCCGCGACAATCATGAACAGCTTCAAAAAACTATCGTCAACGTCTTGGGACCAAAGAGTGAAGATGGCGGGGATGGAGCTTCCAATGGTGTTGTACTTGTTGAAGAAATGGGTGATGTCGATGCTGTTGAAGAAGTGCAGCAAGCCTATGCAGCTTTAAACAATGTGGATTTGCTGGATGTGTCTCCCGAAGGTACGCAAATTTGGGTGCAAGCTGAAATGACCTACAATGATCGGACGTCGCGTGTCGAGAACTCAATTATTGCTCGGCTACGAGACCGTTTGGCCACAGCCAAGACTGCCAACGAGATGTTCCGGGTGTTTTCGAAGTTCAATGCGCTTTTTGTTCGACCCAAGATTCGGAGTGCTATTACAGAATACCAGACGCAGCTTATTGATAACGTTAAGCATGATATTTCTTCCCTTCACGAGCGTTTCAAGCAACAATATGGTCATTCCGAAGCTCATGCTATGGCCCAGCTTAGAGATCTTCCTCCGGTCTCTGGGGCCATCATATGGGCTCGTCAAATTGAGAGACAACTTGATGGCTATATGAAGAAGGTTGCAGATGTTCTTGGTACTGACTGGGCTCTTCATTCGGAAGGGCAGAAGCTACAGAGTGAAAGCAACCTGTTCAGAAAAAAGCTCGACACTCGGCCAATTTTCGAGGCATGGCTACATGACGTACAGAGAAAACAAGTATCTATCTCGGGCCGCCTGTTCAACATCAACAAGATCCGAGCTGCAAACAATGCCCTTGAACTAGCCGTAAATTTCGACCCTCAAGTTATCGCCCTCTTCAAAGAGACACGAAATTTGTTGTGGCTGAATTACCCAGTGCCGCATCAGATCAATAATGTCTCGAAGGAGGCCAAACGAGTATACCCGTACGCAGTCAGTCTGATGGAAAGTGTTCGTACATTCGCCCAGACCAGTCGAGGAATTGTGGAAATGGCGGGTGTTGCCATTCTCTTGAGTGGATACCAAAACGACGTACAGACTCTGATCCAAAAGGGAGTGCCGTTAAAATGGGAGTCGTTTATTCATTCTTACGACATCCATGCCAAACCCAACTACCACTCCAATGGAAGTCTCGACCATGGACTCGGCGGTCGTAGTGAGAGCAAACATGTCCAGTTTGTTCGAGAATTCGCGGCGTCTGTTTCGCTCTTGCAGGGCAAGGCTGCAACTCTCTCTTCCATCAACTCAACTGTCAGCAAAGCTCTTACTGAACTAGAAACTTGCCCTTACGACGCCGATTCGTTTCAGTCCCGTCTGGAGACCATCCAAAATGCCGTGGATCAGCTGAATTTGGAGAACTACGTGAATTTGTCTTACTGGGTCCGACAAATGAATGAGATAATCAAGGAAACCCTGCTTGTGCGACTAAGACGGGCGATCGAGGTTTGGATTGAAACGTTCGAAGACGAGGTCTCTGAAGGAGTCAATGACGATAGCCGAAAGAAGCACTTCAGCGCCATTGAAGGGCCAGAAACCGATAACAAGCCTTCACTAAAGCGACTGATGCATGAAGTGTCAATGCGGAACCAAGTTATTTATCTTGAGCCCCCATTGGAGCGTGCCAGAGCCAGTTGGTTCCAACAACTGCATGAGTGGCTTGGAGTTGTTTGCAGTCTTCGCAAAGTCAAAGCTTCACGGTACGAGATGACACTGGCAACTATAAATGATACCGAGGCTTGCTTTACAGATCTTCCTGCGGCATGTGCAGATAGTTTGTCTCAAGTATACAGCTCCATCGAAACAAAGTTACATGCAATTAGCATATACGTGGATAAATGGATGCAATTTCAGTCGCTCTGGGATTTACAGTCAGATATGGTGTATGAAATGCTTGGAGAGCAGCTCCCGAAATGGCTGCAGCTGCTTCAGGAGATTCGAAAGACACGTTCAACCTTCGATACAACAGAGGTTAGTCGGTCATTCGGTCATCTGACCATCGACTATGAGCAGGTACAGACCAAGGTCAATGCAAAATACGATCAATGGCAACACGAAATTCTCACGAAGTTTGGCGGAAGACTCGGTAACCGCATCCGCGAAGTCTATGCAGACATCGAGAAGGCACGACGAGATTTGGAAGTGCAATCCTTAGAAGCCACTTCTACAGCCCAGGCTGTACAGTTCATCACCATTGTGCAGACATGTCAGCGCAAAGTCAAGGCTTGGGGTCCAGAAGTGGACATTTTCAGGCAAGGACAGACAACCCTTGTCCGGCAACGATATCAATTTCCTGCAGATTGGCTGGGGGTAGATCAGCTTGACTCAGAGTGGACCGCGCTGAACGAAATTCTGACGAGGAAAGCCAAAATTGTGCAAGACCAGAACGATGCTTTGCGTGCCAAGATCACCGCTGAAGACAAGGTTGTTGGCGATAAGATTGCTGAGATAACTAGCCAGTGGAATGAGGAGAAGCCTGTTTCCGGTACCATTGCCCCCGAAATCGCATCTGCCACGCTGGCCTCCTTTGAAACCCGTATTACACGGCTCCATGAGGAATCTGAGATGGTGTCCAAGGCTAAGGAGGCACTGGATCTTCCTGCCAGTCCCGACACTACCCTTTCTGCCATACTGGAGGAAGTCCAGGACTTCAAGTCGGTCTGGGCCGCCCTTTCCACAATTTGGAAGAGTCTGAACGATCTTCGGGAGACCCTTTGGAACAGTGTCCAGCCCCGCAAGCTTAGATCAAGTATCGACGGTCTGATCAAGATGACGAAAGAGATGCCCAGTCGTATGAGACAGTATGCAGCTTTTGAACACATTCAGAACGTCCTCCGCCAATTCCTGAAAGTTAATCCCGTTTTGACAGACTTGAAATCTGAAGCAGTCAGAGATCGTCATTGGAATAAAATCTTCAAGTCTCTTAAGCCTGGAAAGCGATATTCGCCTATTTCCATGACTCTTGGAGAAGTATGGGATTTGAACCTTGCCGCGAGCGAGGTGGTCATTCGAGATATCATCACGCAAGCTCAAGGCGAGATGGCATTGGAAGAATTTCTGAAACAAGTCCGCGAGATTTGGTCTAATTATTCGCTTGACCTGGTCAACTACCAGAACAAATGTCGACTCATCAGAGGCTGGGATGATCTGTTCGCAAAGTGCAGTGAGAATCTGAACTCATTGCAAGCTATGCGGCACTCTCCTTACTACAAAGAATTTGAGGAAGAAGCTTCATCTTGGGAGGACAAGCTCAATCGTGTCCACGTGCTTTTCGATGTCTGGATTGACGTTCAACGACAATGGGTTTACCTAGAGGGGGTCTTCACTGGAAATGCCGATATCAAGCATCTGCTGCCCATCGAATCGTCCAGATTCCAGAATATCAACTCAGAGTTCTTTGCCGTTATGAAGAAGGTTTACAAGCAACCCTTTGTCTTGGACGTTCTTAATATTTCCGGAGTTCAAAAGTCACTCGAACGTCTAGCTGAACTACTGAACAAGATTCAAAAGGCTCTAGGAGAGTATCTAGAGCGAGAGCGTGTCTCATTCCCAAGGTTCTACTTCGTTGGCGACGAAGATCTTCTTGAAATCATTGGTAACAGCAACGACACATTGCGAATTGCGAAGCACTTCAAGAAAATGTTTGCAGGTCTCTCAGGGCTCATTATGGACGAAGAACACATCATTTCTGGTTTTACCTCTAAAGAAGGCGAAGAAGTTAGACTGAAGAAGGAGATTTCCCTCATCAAAACGCCTAAGATCAACGATTGGCTAGCGCTACTCGAAAGCAGTATGAAAGCTACCCTTGCTGAGCTGTTGGCAGAAGCAATTGAGCAGTACGAACCACTTTTTGCTGCTGAAGATGTTAACCAGGCTGCACTCAACGAATACATTGCCGCTTTTCCCAGTCAGATCGTTGTGTTGGCTACACAGGCTGTATGGACTTCGTCTGTGGAGAAGGCGCTCGAAGCAGGTGGTTCAACTCTACCAAGCCTGTTCGCCCAAGAAGTCAAGGTTCTTCGACTTCTTGCATCCACCGTACTTGGAGATCTCGACCCTATACTAAGAAAGAGATGCGAGCACTTGATCACAGAATGTGTTCATCAGCGTGATACAATTGAAAAGCTCATCAACCTCAATGCTAGCACACCCAACCACTACATGTGGCTCTTGCAAATGCGATATGTCTACAAAGCCGAGGGGGAGTTCTTACAGCGTCTTCACATCAGAATGGCCAATGCAAAATTAAACTACGGCTTCGAATACCTCGGCGTTGCGGAGCGCCTTGTCCGGACCCCTTTAACGGATCGCTGCTTCTTGACCTTGACACAAGCTCTCTGTCAACGCCTGGGTGGGTCCCCGTACGGACCTGCTGGTACTGGAAAGACGGAATCTGTCAAAGCTCTTGGTGTTCAACTTGGTCGGTTTACACTTGTCTTCTGTTGCGACGACACATTTGATTTCCAAGCTATGGGTAGAATCTTCCTGGGTATCTGCCAAGTCGGAGCATGGGGTTGTTTCGATGAGTTCAATCGACTTGAAGAACGAATCTTGTCTGCTGTGTCTCAACAGGTACAAAACATTCAACTTGGCCTAAAGCAAGGCATGGAAGATCCCAAATCTCAGATCGAACTTGTTGGCCGCCAGCTGAGTGTGAACGCCAATACCGGAATTTTCATTACCATGAATCCTGGATATGCTGGTCGTTCCAATTTGCCTGACAACCTGAAGAAACTGTTCCGCAGTGTTGCCATGTCTAAGCCGGACAAGGAACTGATTGCCGAAGTCATGCTGTACTCCCAGGGTTTCAATCAGGCTAAAGCGCTATCCAAGCAGACTGTGCCATTCTTCGATCGTTGTGCCGATAGACTGTCCAAGCAGGCTCATTACGATTTTGGACTCCGTGCTCTGAAGAGTGTTCTCGTCAGTTCTGGAGGCTTGAAGCGTGCTCGTCTTACAAATTCTGGAGGCGAACTTGGTCCAGAGGAAGAGGTCGAGCCTCAGATCATTGTTCAGAGTATCCGCGAAACAATTGCGCCGAAGCTGATCAAGAGCGACGTGGAGATCATGCGATCTATCGAAGGCGAATCTTTCCCTGGTGTCGAATACGTGCCAGCAAGTCTTGAAAAACTGCAAGAGGCAATCCACAGCATTGCCAAGGAGAGGCATCTCGTCGTGAACGAGACTTGGATGACAAAGATCCTTCAGCTCTACCAAATCCAAGGCATTCATCATGGTGTGATGATGGTTGGAAACTCTGGCTCTGGAAAATCAGTAGCATGGAAACTGCTCTTGCAAGCCCTACAGCAAGTGGAAGGTACTGAAGGTGTGTGCCACGTCATCGATTCGAAAGTTATGTCGAAAGAAGCACTCTATGGAAACCTTGATTCGACCACCCGCGAATGGACAGATGGTCTCTTTACCAGCATTCTACGTAAGATTGTCGATAACCTGCGTGGTGAAGAGGCTAAGCGACACTGGATTGTGTTTGATGGAGATGTTGACCCTGAATGGGTTGAAAACTTGAACAGTGTGCTCGACGACAACAAGCTCCTGACGCTACCAAATGGCGAGCGTTTGAACCTGCCCAACAATGTCCGAATCATGTTCGAAGTTGAGACGTTGAAGTATGCTACTCTTGCTACTGTCAGTCGTTGTGGAATGGTATGGTTCAGTGAGGATACCGTCACGCCCAGCATGATGGTTACCAACTACTTGGATACCTTGAGAACTGTGGCATTTGAGGATCTGGATGAAGATGCCGTCGCCACCGGCCAGACTGCGGCCAAAGCACTCTCTCTCCAGGCACAAGTTGCAGATCTTCTTGAAGCATTTTTAACCACGGATGACTTCATTTTGAATGCTCTGGAGCGAGCGGAGGCATTTAATCACATCATGGAGTTCACCGTTGCGAGAGTGTTGAATACCCTGTTCTCACTTTTGAACAAGAGCGTGAGGGACCTCATCGAATACAACTCACAGCATGTCGATTTCCCGCTCGACCCGGAGCAAGTTGAATTCTTTGTCGGAAAGAAGCTTCTTTTGGCTCTGGTATGGTCATTGACTGGCGACTGCCCCTTAGGCGATCGCAAAGCTTATGGAGATTGTGTGGCCGGTCTTGCTACTTTCGGATCTCCTCCGATGGGTGACAACTCCTCTCTCATTGACTACGATGTCACACTACCAAAAGCCGACTGGTCCCCGTGGCAAAATCAGGTCCCTACTATCGAAGTTAATACGCACTCAATTACCCAAACTGATGTTGTCATTCCGACACTCGACACTGTCCGCCATGAAGATGTGCTGTACTCTTGGCTCGCGGAGCATAAGCCTCTCCTTCTCTGTGGTCCTCCTGGATCTGGTAAAACTATGACATTATTCAGCGCCCTTCGAAAGTTGCCGAACATGGAAGTCGTTGGATTGAACTTTTCTAGCGCTACAACACCTGACCTGCTCATCAAAACCTTCGAGCAGTACTGTGAATACAAAAAGACACTTAATGGCGTCATTCTTTCTCCCACGCAAATCGGCCGCTGGCTTGTGCTCTTCTGCGATGAGATCAACTTACCAGCACCAGATAAGTATGGCACACAGAGAGCGATCTCTTTCTTGAGACAGCTTGTTGAGCAGAATGGTTTCTGGAGGACTTCCGATAAGACTTGGGTAACCCTCGATCGTATACAATTTGTGGGTGCTTGTAACCCCCCGACCGATGCTGGTCGTACGCCAATGGGCGCTCGATTCTTGCGACACGCACCGCTAATCATGGTCGATTACCCGGGAGAGTTGTCACTACAACAAATCTATGGCACATTCACAAACGCTGTTCTCAAGATTATTCCGTCTTTGAGAGGCTATTCTGAGTCGCTCACCAAGGCTATGGTCAAATTTTACCTCGAGTCCCAACAGCGTTTCACGCCGAAGATACAACCTCATTATGTCTACAGTCCTCGTGAACTCACCAGATGGGTAAGAGGTATCTATGAAGCTATTCGACCATTGGAGACTCTGACGGTGGAGGGATTGGTTCGAATCTGGGCCCACGAAGCTCTTCGGCTATTCCAGGATCGTCTCGTTGCCGAAGATGAGCGGAAGTGGACCGACGAAGTTGTCCACCGCATTGCCCTCGACTTCTTCCCAACTATTGAAGAAGACAAGGCTCTTGGTGGCCCGATTCTGTTCTCCAACTGGCTATCCAAGAATTATGTACCAGTTGACCGAGAGCAATTGCGCGATTTCGTCAAGGCTCGTCTCAAAACATTCTGCGAGGAAGAGGTTGATGTACCATTGATTCTCTTCAACGATGTCTTGGAGCACGTTCTTCGTATTGATCGGGTGTTCCGACAGCCACAGGGACATTTAATTTTGATTGGTGTAAGCGGCAGCGGAAAGACGACATTATCTCGATTTGTTGCTTGGATGAATGGCTTGAAGGTGTTCCAGATTAAGGTGCATGGTAAATATTCAGCAGAGGATTTTGATGATGATCTGCGTGATGTGCTGCGTAGGTGTGGTTGCAAAGGGGAGAAGATCTGTTTCATTATGGATGAATCTAACGTGCTCGACTCTGGATTCCTCGAAAGAATGAATACCCTCTTGGCAAATGCTGAGGTTCCTGGTCTCTTCGAGGGCGATGAACTTGCCTCGTTGATGACTGGTTGCAAGGAAGGTGCTCAACGTCAAGGGCTGCTTCTCGACTCGCAAGAAGAATTATACAAATGGTTCACTCAGCAGATCGTCAAAAACCTTCACGTAGTCTTCACCATGAACCCACCTGAGGACGGATTGTCATCCAAGGCTGCAACGAGTCCTGCTCTTTTCAATCGTTGCGTACTGAATTGGTTCGGAGACTGGTCCGATCAAGCACTTTTCCAGGTCGGCACTGAGTTAACACAATCGGTCGATTTGGACAAACACAACTTCTCGGCACCGGACAGTATTCCTGTTGCCTATCGAGACCTTCACCTTCCAGCTTCTCATCGCGAGGCTGTAATCAATTCAATGGTCTACATCCACTACTCTCTTCATCACTTCAATGTCAAGCTTCTGAAGCAGCAAGGCCGAATTACATATCTCACACCCAGGCACTTCTTGGATTTCGTGGCTCAATACGTCAAATTGTACAATGAAAAACGCGAGGATCTTGAGGAGCAACAACGACATCTTAATGTCGGCCTTGAAAAGTTGAGAGATACAGTCGACAAGGTTCGAGATCTTCGCGTCAGCCTTGCGGAGAAGAAGGGCCAACTGGAGCGCAAAGATGCTGAGGCAAATGAGAAACTCCAACGCATGGTTGCAGACCAACGGGAAGCCGAACAACGGAAGACCACATCTCTGGAGATTCAAGTTGCACTAGAGAAGCAGGAGTCGGAAGTCGCTGAGCGCCGAGAACTGGTGTTGAATGATCTGGCCAATGCTGAGCCAGCCGTTATTGAGGCCCAGAAGAGCGTTAGCAACATCAAAAGACAGCATCTAACAGAAGTGCGTTCCATGGGGAACCCGCCCTCGGGTGTCAAACTTGCACTCGATTCCGTTTGTACTCTGCTTGGCCATAAAGTCGACAGCTGGAAGACTGTGCAAGGTATCGTCCGTAAAGATGACTTCATCGCCAGCATTGTTAATTACGACAACGAGAGACAAATGACGCGCAATCTTCGTATTAAGATGCGAAATGAGTACCTCTCCAACGACGACTTCACTTATGAGAAAGTCAACCGCGCTAGTAAGGCCTGTGGTCCGCTCGTCCAGTGGGTCACAGCTCAAGTAAACTATTCCGAGATTCTCGATCGGGTCGGTCCATTGAGAGAAGAAGTGGGCACGCTTGAAGAGCAGGCACTCCAAACCAAGGCTGAAGCACAGGCTGTCGAGAACACAATCAATACCCTTGAGGAAAGCATCGCTACATATAAGACCGAATACGCAGCTTTGATCAGCGAAACTCAGGCTATCAAGACGGAAATGTCTCGCGTCCAATTCAAGGTTGATCGAAGTGTTCGCCTCCTCGACAGTCTTTCGTCAGAGCGTACTCGTTGGGAGGCAGGCAGCAAGTCTTTTGAGACTCAGATTGGCACTCTTGTCGGCGACGTCCTTGTCGCTGCAGCATTCTTGGCCTACAGTGGTCTCTATGATCAGCAATTCCGAAAGAACATGATGGAAGACTGGCTGCATCAGCTTCAACTCTCGGGTATCAACTACAAGCAACACAACCCGATTACTGAATACCTCTCGACCGCGGACGAGCGACTTGGATGGCAAGAAAACTCACTGCCAGTGGATGATCTTTGCACAGAGAATGCAATCATCTTGGAGCGATTCAACCGATACCCATTGATCATTGATCCCTCAGGCAGAGTTACCGAGTTCCTCCAAAAGCAAAGCAAGGACAGGCGCCTCACGGTCACAAGTTTCTTGGATGATTCGTTCACAAAGCAGCTTGAGAGTTCTCTTCGTTTCGGTAACCCAATCCTCATTCAGGACGCGGAGTACCTGGATCCTGTTCTCAACCACGTCCTCAACAAGGAATATCAGAAGACAGGTGGCCGTGTTCTCATCCAATTAGGCAAACAGGAAATTGATTTTTCGCCCGCTTTCAAGATATACTTGTCTACCAGAGATCCATCTGCGACGTTCGCTCCTGACATTTGCAGTCGAACTACATTTGTGAATTTCACGGTCACACAGAGCAGTCTGCAGACCCAGTCCCTCAATGAGGTTCTGAAGTCTGAGCGACCCGACGTTGACGAGCGCAGATCCAACTTAATCAAGTTACAGGGAGAATTCAAGGTTCATCTTCGACAATTGGAGAAACGTTTACTACAATCCTTGAACGAATCAAGAGGCAATATCCTAGATGATGACAATGTTATCGAGACGCTCGAGACGTTGAAGAAGGAGGCTGCTGAGATCTCGATCAAGATGAACAATACCGAAGGCGTAATGGCTGAGGTAGATGAGATCACGCTACAATACAACATCATCGCTCGATCTTGCAGTGCAGTATTTGCTGTTCTCGAGCAACTGCACCACCTCAATCACTTCTACCAATTCTCTCTGCAGTACTTCCTTGACATCTTCCACACAGTCTTGCACGGCAATAAGAGATTGGCTACCGAAACGAACCACAATGTCCGACGTGATATCATCATCGAAGACCTTTTCGTTACGACATACCAACGTACAGCCCTGGGGCTTCTACAGAAAGACAGAATCACATTGGCCATGCTTCTTGCTCAAGCAGCGCCTTTCAAGATGGAGAAGAGTTTCATTGATGTCTTCCTAGATGAGAGCGTGGAGGGTACCGATGTCTCAACCGAAACTGACAAGAGAGATGAGGTTTTCACACGAGCATCCAGACTGCCTGTGCTGAAGGGCAAGCTTGAAGGTGTGTCTTCTGAGGCATGGGACCGCTTCATATTTGAGGAGATTGGAGAGAACTTTGTGCCACAAGTCTGGGAAGAGGATACTGAGAAGCGCGATCAAGAACTCATCTCACTTCTGCTTGTCAAACTCTTTCGTCTTGATCGATTCGTTCCAGCCTCTGAGTGCTTTGTTACAGCTGTGTTCGGCGCCGGCCTCCTTGATACAACGGAGGATCTCAAGCAAACTGTCGATCAGGTCTCTGCAAGCCACCCAATTGCCCTATGCTCCAGTCCTGGTTTCGATGCCAGCTATAAAGTTGACAATTTGGTTGAGCGTTCTCGGGCTGCATGCACGAATATTGCTATGGGTTCCAACGAGGGTTTAGCAAGCGCCGACAAGGCTATCAGCAACGCTGCTGCAAATGGTTCTTGGGTCCTCGTCAAGAACGTCCACTTGGCTCCAACTTGGCTCCAGAGTCTCGAAAAGCGGATGGACTCCCTCAAGCCACACCCGGACTTTAGATTGTTCTTGTCGATGGAATCTAGTCCGAAGATTCCTGTGAATCTGTTGAGAGCTTCTCGGGTGTTGATGTATGAACAACCAGCTGGTGTGAGAGCCAATATGAAGGATTCGATGGCATCGCTGTCATCGAGGGCGACGAAGAATCCCGTGGAGAAGTCTAGACTTTACTTGCTGTTGTCTTTCTTACATGCTGTAGTCCAGGAGAGACTGCGATATGCACCGAACCTGGGATGGAAGGGTTTCTGGGAATTCAATGATAGCGATGTAAGTTCTGCACTGCCTCTATATTGAAGCTCATATACTAACAAGACTAGTACGAATGTTCTGCTTTCATCATTGATACCTGGGTTGAGGCTGTAGCAGCAGGTCGCACGAACGTAGCGCCCCAAAACCTGCCCTGGGACATGATCCGCACTTTAATCGTCGAGACATACGGAGGCAAAATTGACGATGAAGGTGATTTCGCGCGTCTCACTCAACTAGTAAACTCCTTCCTCACACCATCCGCCTACGAAATCGGGCACAAACTTGTGGAAGGAATTGCGGGACCTGGACAAGACGAGGGCAGTTTAACCGTACCCAATGGGACCTCACTGAGAGATTTTACCGAATGGATTCAAAAGCTCCCCGAGCGCGAACCACCAACATACCTTGGCTTGCCCGCTAACGCCGAGAAATTACTGCTGGTTGGACAAGGCAAGAGCATGATCACGAACTTGGAGAAGATTACAGAGTTGTTAGATGAGGGAGAGCAGATCATGGCTGAGGCCGCATGATGATATGTGTTTTTTCTCTCTTTTGTATTATGAGAAGAGTGTCTTCCTGTGTTTAGAGAGTTTGGGATTTTACTTTAGGCGTACTTTTGAGATTGATACATCTGCATGGCATGGCATGGGTTGCACTGCATTGGGATGGAATATCTTTGGCGATGCGATGCGCTTTTATACCCAGTCTTGCTTTGTTTGTTAGACGCACAGATTGCAATTTCCTTTTCTGCTTCTCTTTTGTAATTATTCTTGTAGCATATTTAGTTTGGAATACACCTCTCATATGGTGTTCCTATATACTTCAATCACTGAATTTCAAGTTTGTGACGCGGTATGGACTTATAGCCTTAGGACTGCTTAATATTAATCGTTTTTAACTCCGTGAGATGATAAGCCGGTGGAGTGGAAAGCCTCGTGGTCGCCATAGCGCATTCGCGCTAAAAGCAGTTTGGCCGAGTTCAAATGCAAAGTAAGTTGCAATTTACAACCTTATGAGCCGTGGAGAAAAACGTTTACTTATTTCAGTGAGGCTCACTAGCATAAAGGAGGCGGTATCACGTGTTTGTAGTCCATTTATGTGTCAGAAAGCAGAGTGAGAACACTTTCATTCCTGTTTACAGCAATGTCGCCGACTTCCCGAATCGAGGCTGTTTCAACTCCACCACTCCACCTCAAGGCAACACCTATACCAGCGCCGCTTTGCATTTCAACATAAGGCTCGGCCAGCATACAGTAAGGAGCACGACAGGGTTCAGCAAATCATTAGTCAGCCACCATAAGCTGTAACAAACAAGGTGATGATGCACCCCTCCATCACAGGTTCATATGCTTATCCAAAGTCAGCATCATGCAATTGTTTTCTTCGGACATCCCACCTTTTCAAAATGTGGGCCCGATAGGGCGAGTCAATAAACGGCGCTTTTAGCCAAGCCTTGTCAGATGAGCCGAATCGAGATTATCCTGTTGTGCGGCTGAAAAAAGTTGAAGCTTATATTGTTGCCTTGTACCCCGTTTCTTGAGCCCCTTTCCCTTGTCACGATTTCCACCTATAATCGTTGCATCTGTTCAAGCAGCGCGCCAAATATCATTCCTTCTCGATTGTTTTGTTGCCAAAGTTGAAACATTTTCGTCATATTGTCGAAGCTTGTTACCAGTATGGTGGATTACACGACCTGTCAGACTTCAGGCAAAGGGCTAGTTCACGGGGAGTCCCCTGACGATGCAGTATTGCATTATTTTGGGTGCTTGAGATTCAGCGAGCGTGCCGATTTCTTGGCCGAATTGGACGAAACAAACAGATTGAAGCTGCGAATACAAGAAGAAACCAACCGAATTCAAAAATTAAGAAACATTTTCGAAGCCGAGGGCCCGAGGACATCTTCCGGGAAAGTACTTGACAGTTTCAAAAAGACTTTATCACATTGGTCCCGCATTGAGCGGAGCTATGCCCATCTGGAAGGTGCGACCCCAGACCCAGGTGCTCTGGATGGCCCTGAGGAACGAGCGAAAGAATGGATCCTCGATGATATGAGAGCCAATGTTATCTATTTCAAGAAACAACACGAGGATGATGATCATCCTAGGCCATACGACCATCCAGATTTTGTGGATAACTTTCCCAATCAGAAGATCCCCCTAAAACAATTGCTAAGTTCCAAAAAAGAAAAGAATCCCTTGATGTGGTCTTGTGAGCCAAATATGATTCGATACTTCCACCTGCCAGCAAACAATATGGAGTGGATTGAGGTAAGATAATCTTCACAGTTTGGGGATGTGGGCTAACCGTGATTCCATCCCAGGAAGCTATGGCCAGGTTTTACAACGAGGAAACACCCGATCTAAATGGTCCCTATCGGAAGGCACGAAGGGGAGACCCGGAATCTAAAACGAGGATGCTTCTCCGCCCTCAATTTTGGAGAGGGCTTCAACACGGCGATCGAGTTGACTTGCCTACGCATACTCGCCACATGCGGCCTCGTTGTTACCGAATCTCAACAAGTAATTGCTAGTTTTACATGTGTCTTCTGGTGCTAATTGTATGTATAGATCATGATAGTACGGAAACAAGACCCAAGAATCTCGCGCTTTTTGTCAGTAATTATTCTTGATCAAAAATGATTCAGCTGAAGCGTTATTAGATGCCATACCTCCACTGGGAGACAGATCGAAGACGTGCTCGTGCAGCGAATATTATCGGTAAATACGGCCCCAACAGATGGTCTCCAATGGTCGAAGTAGTTGAGGAAGTCGGAATCCCTGTGATTAAATCAACCATCGATCGGACAACCTCTGACGGCTTCCTCGAGCATATTACAACGCGAACAGAGACCCCGAGACCTCATACTGCTACTCATAAGATAACGCATAAGACTTTTCAAGGCCAGAAGTTGCTCGGAAGATTGCTTTTCCTTGCCGCTGCGTTGTATGAGGCATTGGATGCGTATACAGATGAGAAGATTATTGAGAGATATCTGATGGGGCGGCCGCCACTGCATCCAAGGAGGACTCTGGACCAAAGTTATTATTGGACTCTCAAAGATACTTCGTAAGTACTATACTACCTCATACTTGCTCAATGTTAATCCCATCTAGGCGGCGAGACCGTGATCAAGTCGTGTATCGAGAGACAGCACCGTCACGGAAGCTCGTCAAAGCTCATCACAGTTGTACGAAGAAGGACCCTACGAAGAAAGGCACAACTTGCGACCAATGTTTAGAGAATGTTAAGAAAACACCTCGAATTGTGATGGTCGATCAGTTGTGGATGTGGGTGCTGGATGAAAGTGAGTATCCTTCCTTCTACCCACGGTTCTTTCAGCCAATTCTACGATTATCACAATGGATACATCGCCGTTCTTGCAACTTACTACTACAGATACGATTATTACATGCTTCCCCAAGAGATGGGGTAAGAACAAGCCCGACGAATCTGCGGTTCAGAAGTGCATTCGCACAAGACTGAGAGAGGCTCGTATCGATGAAGTCCGCTCTGTATACGATCTTGCCTTGATAATTATCGACCAGTGCTCACGAGTATTCTTTGATCGGACTCAACCAACAGATATGCAGCCGCAAGTAATGGATGCTTTTGCAAATGCAATTGGGAGAGTTGTAAGCTTCCATATATCACTCACAAAACACCAGTTTGAACGGTGACTAACCACCTGCAGACTAACAAACAGACCATCTCATTCGAGCACTTCTGGGAATGCACTCGTATGGCCTCAAAACGATACAACGATCGAGAAGAACCAGACAACGGTACAGCAAAGAAGTCGCAAAATGTACTACTAGACATAAATCCCGAAGGGGAGCTGCTCCGGGAAATCAGAGACATCATCGACGAGCTATTCATAATGATGCAGATAAAAACACAAGAGCAGAACGTCATTTCAACCTTCGTCAAGCACATGAAACGTCTCATAACCCCAGCACGTGGTGCTGGAGAAAATAGTATCGACAACAGAAGTGAGTACAGCCTTCCGGGAAACAGGAGACTACCTAGGCCGTCACTATCATTCCGAAATGCTCCGGCAATACAATTTGATCATGAGAGCGAGTCTGAGGATTACGACTTGACGATGACTTGTGCTGTGGAGTTATTAGATAGGATAGAGAATCAGCTTCTTGAATTGAGCTATTTGAAGGAGGCTGCGGAGAATGCGTCATTGGCTGTGAGTAAATATGTCCTTGGGAAGGAACGAAAAGGATTCTACTAACTGGAAATAGTTGAAAGATCTACTGGATCTCAAACAGCAACAAGCAGGCGTTGTGGAAGCGCGGGAAGCTGTTAAGCAAGGCGAGGAAACTTTGAAACAGGGAAGAGCCATCATGCTATTTACAATTGGTAAGTATCATATTCTCTGATCTAAAATACACTGGAGTCTTTACTAATACTAACTTAACTCTCCAGTGACTATTGTCTTTGTACGTCGCTGATCCTGCTTAATTATCATATTCACGAACAAGCAAGCAACACTAACTAACTTCATATAGCTTCCACTTTCCTTCTTCACAGGAGTCTTCGGCATGAACGCCACAAACCTGACTGGCACAGACGGTCCGAATCTCTGGCACTGGGGCGACATATTCGTCTTCATGATCCCGATATCCGTGCTCGTAACTACACTCTCCCTCCTCCTCGCCTTCAGCAAACTCATCCGCGCCCTCCTATCCTTCGCCTTCAACATCTCTTGGGTAAGTAAGCGAGCGTCTGCGGCCTAAGTTTTCCTTTTATCCTTTCTGTATCATTATATTCGACCCGGCGAGTTAATATTGTATCATGAAGGGCTTCTGGCTCTTGCTTGCTCTTCTAATAGCAGGAATTCTATTACTTACTAATCCGCCGCAGACTTACCTCATAACGCACACGCCGGCCTATATTTCGTGGCGCGAGACAAGGTTTACGAGTAAGAAGCTGCATGAGGAGCAGAAGGCAAGGGTTGGGGGGATGAAGATGAAGGCGCTGGAGAGAGCGGTGGAGAGGAGGATAGAGCAGGTGGAGGAAGCGAAACGACGGGTTGCGGAGGGTGTTGGGGATTATGGGAAGGGGAGGAGGGAGAGGGAGAGGAGTAGTCTAGGAAGTAGGCTTGAAGATGTATGAGATGGGGATGTTGAGGGGTGGGTGTGTAGATGGAGGGTAGATAGATAGGGTGGTTAATTTTGGATCTTCCTCAAGTTGCTTTGACTTAATGCGAATTGCGCCAGCCAGTCCTTCCAGCTGAGTGATGCGAGAAAGACGGTGATGTATGCAGTGGAATTCAGTGTGAAATTTCCCGCGTCGAAGTAGCGAGGAAAAGAAACATCACACACCACTTGTGGATGCGAGAATGGATATCCTATTTTCATCATCAACGACTATTTGTCTGATGACACGACGAAGTATAGAGAAGCAACTCAAGTCAAATCAAGCTTACTATACGCGGCTCTTTCTCAGATGATAGTCCGACTTCCACCGACTCTATCTGAAACTCTTGAGTATGCGAAAGCCATTCCTGACACCATGCATATGCAACCCGACCCAGAAGCAACGACATCTGCATCAATTTGACGCAGACGTCGGCTTCAGAACCCTTTTTCTAGGGAAGGAAGGAACACAAGAGGAAAGGACAAGCAAGCACCTTCCCGAATGAAATGTACGGGGATCCGGGAATTAATCCGGAGGTACGTACTGGATATACTTACTGTACCTCGTAAGACGGGGACGGGGAAGACAAATGGATGACAGAAACCCCGCAGGTACCTAGGTAGGTATCCTTCATCACGCAGCTAGCTAGCGTTGAATTGCTTGCTGTGTTGATGGTCCTATTGCCATTGTTGAAGGATTTCTTTCAGGAATTGACTATTGGTTAAGAGTGTGGAGTTGAAAGTTTAGTTTACAGTAGCTGAAGTCTAGAACTGTGGAGGTGAAGTGAGTGAGTGGGACTTTCTGGTGGCTCTTCTTGGCAATTTCCCCAGATTCAGGCTGCTTCTCTTTCCATTGAGAAGCTGATATCTACCTATTACCTACATCTTTTACAAGAGTCCGATCCACGAAAAGTATAAGTTACGGCTACAGTACCAAATCATCTACGTCTGACCTTGAAACAAGCTGCGGCTGCTTCAAAAAAGGTAAGACGAGGCATACCGGTACGGTACTGATACAGTACTAAGGTAAGTATCCTATACAAAACCAATCTGATCCCTTCTTGCGTGGAACCCTCCCAATCCAAGCACCCCGGTCCCGTTCTGGTGGCGTGTTGTTACCCCCGAGTAAACACCAAAACCTGCATCCTACCCCTACTCTTCCCCACTCGACGACGGGCATCGTTACAGGACATGCTACAGCAACAGCAACATCAACCTTAAGCAATAATATTTCACCTCCAGTAGCGAATTCTTCCGCCGTTGTAAGCGATCCCACACCCGCTATCAACGCCCATCAAATGAGCGTCCTGGATCCCTCAAAGACACCTGGCGCTGGTTCGCACAGTGGTGGTGCTGGTCTTCTCAACGACATCTCCATCCCCGAATCCTCCTCCCTAGACCCATCATCCCCCTCGCGACCCAGCGCAGAAATGCCGGGCGACGAGAATACGAGACCGGAACATGTCGCCGCATTACCCAATACTGCCAGCGCTGGATTAATATCCAACGAGCCCTTATCTACGAGCAATAAAGCCGCAGCAGCAGCAACAACAACGACGACGACGTCGAGCACAACGCCAGCACCGGCACAGGTATCGAGAGTGGATTCATTGGCTATTGGACCTTCGACAGAGGAAGTACCGATCGCACCGGTTGTTTCGCACAGCGTCGAGGCGGGACCGGTGCTCGTCATAACGTTGCTTCTTACATCTGGGGCGAGACATCCGTACAAGATCGACGAGCGGTACTTGACGAAGCGCAATGTGAACGTGCCGGGCGTGACGCAGGCGGGGAGGAAGGATCCGTATAGCATCAGTGTGTATACGTTGAAGGAGCTCATATTACGGGAGTGGAGAGACGAATGGGAGGTTCCGCCTAGTAGTCCGAGCAGCATACGATTGATTTACTTTGGTCGGCTTTTGGATGATAAGACGCCGTTGAAAGGTATGTTTTATGTTTATGTTTCCCTTGATTCTTTTCCATCCACTCTATTCCACTGCAAATGGAAATGAAGAACCCAACCGAAAGGACATTTCCTGAACCTAGACTGATTTTTGCGGGCGCTTAGATTGTAGATTCAACGAGAAAGAAGCAAATGTAGTGCACATGACAGTCCGTCCTCAAGACATAGTCGATGAAGAAGACGCGTCCAAATCTAAGGGAGGAGGGCGCGATAGAGACGGGAATGAAAGCACCGCTGGCTGCAGATGCATTATTCAGTAGCCCGACCACACTTCATTTCCACTTCCAGTTCCACTTGCAGCTTTTACGTCTACGTCTATGTCTCCTTTGATCTTCTCACCTACCTTGATATCAAAGCTTTTGGCATGCTCCCTCCCTTATTCTCCTGTTAGTTGGAGACAGATGCAAAGGATGCGATGACGACTGGGGGCGTGGCGGTTTCAGAGGCGTTTAGGGGTTTGGGATTCGATTCGATTTGATATGATGGGCTTGGTTGCTTGGTGCGTGGGTTGGGATTTGCATGGATAATGGTCATTCATTTGAATCGAAAGGGAACCAAGGATGGAAGCTATTTCATGAAACCTGACATGTACAGGTGTGGATTGATTTGATTGATATGGTAGTAGCTGAGGGTGGTTGGTTGTGGCAGTGGAAGTGGAGTAGGAGTGTATACTTAGGAAGCAAGCGCTGGATAGAAGCGCTGGATGGATAAATGGATGACATTATATATTGTATGCATTTGTACAAGGAAGGGCATGAAATGGACGGACCGACTTGATCGTGTCTAGCGATTGATGGATGAGCGAGCGTGCGGGTTTTCTGGGATTGAATTTCTTTTTTGGGAAGGGAAGGCGGGTGCTTGTATAGAACGGAATGAAATGAATGGTATACAGTTTTGAACTCGTTATTATTTGTTTGTTTGCTATGTGATGGAGAATACGGTAAGGAGAGATTTCGAGGTAGATGGATGTGTTTTACTCTAGGGATTATGGAAAGGTTTTGATATTAAAGCGTATAGGAGAAGTAGGAGTTCAAGCATAGGGTTTGGATTACTTGCTTACGGCACTGGACTAGGGATGGATTTCGAAGTTGGTTTGGTGGGGAGGTAGGTTGGTAGCTATTGTATGCTTGCTGTTTGTTCACTGTGGATATAAAGCGGAGGGTAGATGGAAGAAGCTTATTTCGTAGTAGCACTAGCAAGTCTATGGCACATATCATATCATACCATCTGCCCTCAACGCCTGGCCGGGCCGCTCTCTAACCCATGCCAAACCGCCATCAATCCATGATCGTACAATCCCTCCTCTCCCCACGCCCCTCTGCTTCTAATCTCTGCACCTTCGTCCAACAACAATAGCACAGTGGCCATCTCATCTACTGCATCCGCACCTTCCTCTCAATCTCCTCATGGAACCCAACCACGCCCCTCATCTCATCCCCCAAAAACACATCCTCCCACCCCATCTCCGCCTCCCTGCCCTGCAGAATCTCCTCATGCACACCACCCCTACTCCCGCCCAGCACCGCAGGCCGCCACTCCCCCTCCCGCGTGATCTTCAGCTCCATGCCGCGGCGGATCGGCTCGCTGATGCCGAAGGTCCGGCGCAGGCCTTCCATCTTCAGCGCGTGTTGCGTTGCTTGCCAGTTGGCGAGGCGGGCTTCGAGGGGGTGGGCTGAGTCCAGGGGTGCGGAGTTGGTGGATGTGGAGGACGTGGTGGAGAGCGTGGATAGGGGAGTGGGACCGACGCCTGACCGGAGGGTGTCGTGTAGACCGGGGGCGGAGGGCGCGGATGGGGTCGAGGTTAGGTGCGAGTGCGTGGTTGCGTAGGTGGAGGCGGGGGCTATGCGCATTGACTGGCGGTGGTGTTAGTTTTGTGTTTTGGGATGAAGAAGAAGTCGTATGTGGGATGTAGAGGGGCTGGTTAGAAGAGAAGTAGCTCCTTGAGCCTTGGAGAGGTGGGAGATGTTGGAGCTTCGAGGAGCGGGCTTATTTGTATATTATAGGAGCTTGCTTTGCTTACCATGATGGGCGGTTGGGAGACTTGAGAGTCTTGATATTGTTCGTTGAGGAGTTTGGGTCGGAAGTGTGCGACTTGTAGATATGTCGAGCTCTTGGAGTTGTTGAAGATGTTTTGGGTTTTGTAGGAGCTGTTGATGTGGAAGCTCCAGGCACGACGAGGCGGACGTGTAGGGTTGAAAGTACGCTAGCGGGTTCAAAGCCCGCATCCGGGGAAATCGTTTATTGACATTGACATCACTTCTTTCTCGTGGTATAATAACTCGCAATGAGAAGACCGCCAGTAAGACTATTACCACGGTCTATATATAACCGCAGATATGGCACATCAACAACTCGACTACCGATAATACGCATTTCCAATGGCACTTTCTACCGCCACCACCCCAACTCCAGCCTCGCATCTACAACTCCCAATCCACCCCTCTTCGAGAACCTCAATTTCGAACTTCCGTCTTTTGCTTCCAAGAAAGAATACTGGTCTATTCTCGGCCCTTCGTCTTCTGGAAAGACAACATTTCTACAAATCCTAGGCGGTAAATATTTTTCCATCCCACCTACGGCACGGGCCTATCCATACCTCGAATCAGACGAGATAGAGAAGAAAGACCACCAATTGCGGAACCCAGAACGGGATTTAAGACATGTAGGATTCGATGGGGAACAAGGACTTGGTGGACAGGCGCCGCAGAGCGCGTATCTTAGTGCGAGATATGAATCTCGGAGAGAGGACACCGATTTTAGCGTGCTAGATTACCTGCAAGGAAATACCGAGTTGAACCCTTCCCAGGATATCGGTGGTAAGAAAATAGATATAGCAAGTTTGGAGCGTGTGATTCGAGATTTAAGCCTGGAGGATTTGGTTGACATGCCCGTCTCGAATCTCAGCAATGGTCAGACTCGTCGAGCTAGGATTGCTAGAGCATTGCTGGGGAAGCCGGAAGTTTTGTTACTCGATGAGCCGTTCATGGGACTGGATCCGCCGACGCTGTTGAGTCTGAGTCCTATGTTGCGCGGTTTGGCTGAGGCGAATGCTCCGAGATTGGTATTGTCTCTTAGGCCTCAGGATCCGATTCCGGACTGGATCACCCACCTAGTATATCTCAAAGGCAATTGTCAAGTTGCATTCAAAGGCGCCAAAGCAAAGGTCCTGGAGCAAGTGAAGGATTATGTCGGGGCTGTTAAGAATGGTGATATTGAACCTGATGTTCAAATGCATCTCTATTCCATGCTTGAGGTGGGCCGTTCTCTTACAGAATATGGAGTTATTGATGCCGGCCCGCCTCCAAGTAGTCGTCTCTCTCCTCATCATCACCAAAACCCGTGGAGAGTTATGACGGATGATACTTTTGATATCAAAAGGCTTACGCCTACAGAGCTCCAACGTTACCAAGAAGCAAAAAGAAGATTGGATGAAGACCCGGAGAATGTAAGTAAAGATGATAAAGTAATTCTTGGATCGTCTCCTCGAAAAGCTGCCATGGAGACGGCTACTTTAAGTCGAGATGGTTACTTGCTAAAGGATCTCCAATCACCGGAAATTGGCAGTCCACTCATTGAGATGGAAGGCGCTTCGATTTCTTATGGATCTAAACGTGTGTTGGGCAATTGGAAGCAGGAAGTGGATGGAGAGCTCCGAGACGGTTTGTGGTGGACTGTGAAGCGCGGCGAGAGATGGGGAATCTTTGGACCAAATGGATCTGGGAAAACAACTATCCTCTCGCTGATATGCTCCGACCACCCCCAGACTTATTCTCTCCCTATACGACTATTTGGTCAGTCGCGCCTACCAGAACCAGGCCGGCCTGGAATCTCCATCTTTGACATTCAAGCTCGAATTGGCCATTCGAGCCCCGAAATTCACAATCACATTCCTCGGTCACACACTCTTCGCCAAGTCCTAGAAAACGCATGGTCTGATACTTTCCGAGGAGTTCCTAAACTTGATGCAAGTGCAAGCGACAAAATAGATGCTTGTTTAAGATGGTTTGAACAAGATTTCCGGCCCGGTGTGGATACAAGCCAAGAGTCTGCTGAGGAGGTTCAACTGCTGAAATCTCAGAAAAGCCATCTAGCTTCATCAACAATCAAAGCTCCAGTAGAAGCTGAGGTTGAGTCAAGACCAACTTGGGCAGACGATCTTCTTTTCGGTGGCTTGCCATTCTCCGCACAACGAGTTGCCCTCTTTCTCAGAGCTATCATCAAACAGCCAGATCTTGTCATACTAGACGAGGCTTTCAGTGGTATGGACGATGGGGTGAGAGACCGATGCCTGTTATTTCTTGCCCATGGAGAGGCCAAGATTTTATCTTATGTCACGGCTCACCACTCGGGGTCTCCCAGCATAAAATCTCGGCAACCAAGGTTTGCAGAGTCTGCTATTTCAAAAGCCGGAATGGTCAAGGTAGGCGGGTTGGCGAAAGATCAAGCGTTAATTTGTATTAGCCATGTTCGCGAGGAGATACCCGGGAGCATCCGAGAATGGATATGTCTCCCAGAAGCGAATACTGGTAAGCCTGCCAGGTTTGGAAGGCTGGATGGTCCGATTGAAGGGGACTATAAACGATGGGATGAAATCTGGGGGATGTAAACAGATGAAAGATGCTCGGTGGCTGGCGACTCTATTTCGGCATGATCAGAAATGTATATGGAAACAATTAATCTGTACCAAATGGTTCTGGCCTTGACAAAAGTCAAAATATATAGGGACCCCTTTTCCATTTCCCCCACTGTCCCCAGACCCTTGGCCAAGCGGCTCTGCTCTGCTGTGCCAAGTCGGCAGCTAACCCCCACCCTAATCCTAGCTACTCTACTGCTGACAACAACTTTAAATTCATCTCAATTATATGGCAATGAGGCCAACATCACTACAGCACTCATGATGTGCCCTCCTTACAAGACATCCTCTAAACACATCAATGACTGAACATCGTCAAATCTCTAATTTGTAGCTATGGAATCCCGCCACACCCCAATCCAAGAGCTCTCCCCAGACTCTAGCTCCCGCTCCCCCTCCAATACCCAATTGACGCCTGATACCGACTCAGATGGTTCGGATCTCGAGCTGAGCGAGATGGGCGAAAGCCATAAGTTGCAGCGCCGGTCCAGCGATCCAGAGAAAGTCTGGGATGCGGAGGGCGGGGAGGACGATGATGTGGGGGAAGAGGGGGAATATCCGGATAATAGTGGACGGAGACGCAGAGCTAGTGTCTCGACTGTGCAGTCGTATCAATTGTACACTCCGGATGAGGAACGGGCTGTTGTGCGGAAATTCGATAGGAAACTTGTCTTGTTCGTCGCGTTGCTGTATATGCTTTCATTTCTGGACCGATCAAGTATTTAACCCCCCCCAACCCCCTTTTTCAATCATAGCAGCGAGCTAATAGTTTGGGTATAGATATTGGAAATGCCAAAATTGCTGGCCTGGATATAGATCTAGATCTTGATTCTAATCGATATGAATGGGTTATAACGGCCTTTTATATTGCGTATATCTCTTTTGAGTGGATGTCCATTTTATGGAAGATCGTCCCTGCGCACATCTACATAACAGCCATAGTCCTCTCCTGGGGTCTCATCGCGTCTCTCCAAAGCGTAGCAACCTCTTTCGCCGGCCTTCTCGTGCTACGCATTCTCCTTGGAATAGGAGAGGCAGGCTTCACAGGCATCCCATTCTACCTATCCTTCTTCTTCAAGCGCGAAGAACTAGCCCTCAGAACCGGATTCTTCATCTCCGCCGCTCCCCTAGCGACCTCTTTCGCAAGTACATTGGCATGGGCCATCATCGCCCTCGGAAAACACGGCCCCATCGCTCCCTGGCGCCTCCTCTTCCTCATCGAAGGCTTCCCCAGCGTCCTCGTCGCCGTCATCGCCTGGAACATAATCCCTGACTCGCCCTCCACAGCACCCTACCTCACCGCGCGCGAAAAACGCGTCGCCCGTCTCCGACTCCGGAAATCAAAGTCCTCTCACTCTAAAAAAGAAAGCAAAAACGGCTTGAATGTAAAAGAGATGCTGTCTACGATCACAGATCCCAAAACCTATATAACAGCTGCTATGTTCTTCCTCACGAACCTCGCCTTCTCATCCCTGCCCGTCTTCCTCCCAACCATCATCCACGAAATGGGCCACTCCCCCAAACGCGCCCAAGCACTATCCGCGCCTCCCTACCTAGTCGCCTTCCTCGCCGTCCTCCTAACAGCCCACCTCTCGGACAAACACCGCGCCCGCTCCGCCTTTATAATTTTCCATGCGCTGCTCTCCGCGCTCGGCTATGCGCTGATCTGCATCTCGGGTCGCTACGAGTGGAACAACTGGATCAGGTACGCGGGCGTGTATCCAGCGGCAGTGGGCTTCTTTAGCGTGGTTACGATTGTCATTACGTGGTCGATTAATAATCAGGAGGGCGCGAGTAGACAGGGCGCTGGGTTTGCGGTGTTGCAAGTTATTGGGCAGTGTGGGCCGTTGGTGGGCGTTCGGTTGTATCCGGAGGAGGAGGCGCCGTTTTATGTGCGAGGGATGGGTATTTGTGCGGGGGCTATGGTGGGCGTTGCTGTTCTGGCGGGGGGCTTGAGGGTTTATCTGGGAAGGAGGAATAGGAGGGGTGAGTATGGGAAAATAGGGGATAGAGGGGGGAAGGAGGCGTTTATGTACATGCTTTGATTTCAAGTGAAATGATGGAATGAATGTTTCAACAACTTTAGGAAGGGATTAACGAGAGTGTATTCCAAACTACCATATCATCGGCCCTCGACACGGACAAATCTCCCTCTCACAGCGTCTAGGCGACTTCGGCATATCCTCAAACAACCACCACTCCCCCCTTCTAACCTTCCAACTCCCCACATACCTCTTCAACATCCTATACGCTGACTCCTCTTCCACCTCCGCATCCACATCCCCACAACCCCCCGCCTCCGTCGTCAAAACCACATACCCAAACAACCCGCCCAAATCACCCAACTGTTCAAAAAACCCATGCACAGACGTCTCATGCGTACATTCCCTCCTCAGCCTCCCCTTCCCTTTCCCCATTCCTCTCAACTTATCCAATCCCACCTTCCTCAACCCTAACTCCATCTTCCTCAACGCCATTGACCGTGACCGTTGCTGTTGACGAGGATCAGATTCCAATTTCAAGTTTTTAATACACACGGGACAGTGGAATTGGGCGGCTGAAAACTCCCAGCAGCGCGTGGATGCCGTGGCGCGGATGAGTGTCTTCAGGACATGTAGGGATTCGGGGGATAGGGGACGTGCGAGGGAGGGGGGTTTGGTAAGAAGATTCGGATGGGGATGGGGGCTTTGGTTGAGAGCCAGACTATGGGGGGAGAGTTAGTGGGGGTTAGGAGGAGTTAGTGGGGTTGGGACTGGATGGTCGTGAGGTAGGGGGAGGGGGAGAGAGAAAAGAGAGGGGAACGGTGGATGGTGGGGAGTTTGGTCGAGGATGAATAGGATGGGATGAATGTTTTCAAGTTTTAGATAGATTTGTATGGATATAGCGGGGAATAAAAGAAATAGAAGGTTGGCGCTAGCTTACAGTTGATGGTGTGGCAGATGGCTAGGGCTCGAGGGTTCGGGATGCTGGGTGTAGGATTTTTGGGGGTGACGAGGACGAGGATGAGGACGAGGACGAGGACGAGGTTGCGGGACGACTGGTTTTCTGTAGATGAGGAAGTGAAATGGTCAGTGAGTGATCTGGAATCTGCAAGATTGATGATGAGCAGGAGGGGGAGATCCGAGACGTTGACATACGATGCTGGAGCAGTATCTCGAGGTCGTGGGACGACTGATTTGCTGTAGATAAAAAACAAAAATGGTTAGTGAGCGGTCTGGATTTTAGAAGACTGAGGAGGAGAAGGAGGGAATCCGAGATGATGACTTACAGCGCTGGAGCATTATCTGATGATGATGAGAATCCGACGCCTTCTATGAAGGGGAAGAGTGTGTATATGGAGGGTCTTTTGGGTTTCTTGGAGAAGCAGCGTCTAATGGGAGTCATGTCCGGCTGAGGTAATGATTGGAGATGAATGTCTGTAAGGTATGTATGAAGCATGGCCTGCGTGTAGGATGCTTTGGGCGGTGGTGATAATAACTGAAAGAGAGAAGATGCATGGAACGTTAGTAACGAGTGACTAAGTGACTAATTGACAAATGAATGTTTTTGATAATGGCTATGGGACAAGATGGAGCGCGGTGGAGAGGATTTTGTTTACTTTTCTATTGTCAAATTAGTTGGTGTAGTAAGGGATGGGAAAGAGCGATGGCCTGCTATGTCACATGCCTGAGAATTGCGCAGAGGATTGGGAACTAGTGTTGGTTCTATAGTAATGATATTACGTTAACTGTGTATAAATGAATATCAAAAAGATCTTCCTATCCCTCTTTATGTAATATCAGAGCTCTCAGAAGCGCCTATTTTTGTCCCCTGTTCAGGTCTCGACTCTCGCATCAGGGGGTTCACAACCCCCTCTCCTCTTGCGCGTGCTGCAACAGCTTCTCTGGCTGACAGACATTCAACGTCAAAGTACAAGAACCACTATCAAGAAAATTTCACTTACTCTCTTCAAACGATATCAGAGCTCTCGATAGTGCGGACTTTAGTCTCCTTAGAGCTCGGCTCTTTCACCAAGGGATTCGCCAACTCGATTTCCTCTCTCGCCTGCTTCAGGAGCCTTTCCGGGTTGCAGACATTCAACGCCACAACAGCAATGACCATCAATGCACCATCCAAAGCAATTATGTAGACCTGATGCGTATTCAAGAATCCTCTCCAGCCCTGCAACAGCTCGATGCTGCGATACACACCTCTCGTAATCATACACACGATAGCGAGAACCATGGCCCCGCTAAGCCACCTCAACGGCTTGTTGTCCTTGATGCCCGCAAATCCGCGCACGAAGACGATGCTCATGAGGATGGAATAACTGATCGTTGACGCGAGCTGGAACAGGATCCCGGCTACCATGGTATATGTCCCAGGTCGTGTATCGGTGGCTTTGTGGAACGACTGAGCTGCCAAGCCACCACCAGCTGCTTGCAAGCTCAGAGATACGATATCGATGCCAAGGCAGAGCAAGAGACATAGTTTCGGCGGGAATGGCGAGCTGTGTTTGCCCAAGATCGGGATCATACGGAAGAGGATGATGTAGATTCCTGCAGTCGTGAAAGCGGGAGCTGCAATATGTTATTAGCATATGTTCACATGAAGAGACTGGGCTGGGGAGATATAGCGTACAGAAGATCAGGATCGCAATTTGCATGCTGAAAAGATCAGATGAGTACGAGCACTTCCAAGCAGCTGTTCGTGCGATCCAGCCTAAGCATTCACAACCGGCTCCTAGAACAAAGAGGGAAAGCCACCACTTTCTGTAGCGGATTGCTTGGAATAAATGGGTGCATGCTGAGAGGAAGAATAGGATGAGGAAGACGATTCCTGCGGCGAGGGATGGTCGGTAGCCAAATGGATTGTGTATTTCAGGAGAGTAGGCTTGACAGGAGGGGGTTCCGATAACCATTTTGGAAGAAGGTAGGGTAATTATTGGAGGGATTTATAGCAATGGGATATATGCTTCTTAGATATAGAATACTTAGAAAATAAACCGGATGAACTGTTAAGGAATCCGAATGAAGTATGAAAGAGTAGGATAAGATATACTTATATCTCTCTCCATCTCATACCAACCCACCTGTACTCAGAAGTCGTGACCACATCATCCATCATATTCGCGTCGCTTTAAGCCGCTGCCGATTCGTCTCTCACGTATTCATGCATGTATCTACACGCCATGTCCCGGCCATACGGCCGTTGTAGAGATTCTAAGAAGGATAGAGCCAAGTCTTGTCAGCGTCCGCATTCTATCGCATTCGCTTGCGCGGCGAATCACGATGCGCGAATCCTATGCTATGAACTTTCGCAGCGGAAAACACATTCGCTTAATGAACGGATGTAAGAGTGGGAGTGGAACTTGAGGCAGAGAGCATTCTTCCGCACCTTGATCTGTGAGGGGAGGCGGTCGTAACTTCATTTAAGAGGATGCAGATAACATAGCCACCTTCTGGATATCTATCTACGGATCTACGGATATGGAATTTCTGGAATTGCCAGTTGAGTACGAGCATGAGCATATAAGAAACATCTTTCGTCACCCGCACTGGAGGTACGGTATCTCCAAGAACCGAAGTTTGGTCCTCAATGTTAGCTGTAATATTCAGGTCTAAGTCTATGATCGAATAAGGTGGTCCGCTGAGTTTGCAGTCTGATCTGAGGCCTTTGGAAAGACTTATCTTATGCTGGAGAAAGCCTGCTCCTTGTATGAATAACCTTTCTAGAAATAGAAAGCAGTCTTTCACTTCTGGAGAAGTAACCTATACTATACACTTGCTTTAATAATAGACCCTTTGGCCTTCTACTTCCCTTGCTAAATACTCAAATACTTGAAGCAAATATAAAGATATCTATTTTTAGCAACTCTGTCCAAAATGTGGGGTTTCCAACAACGTGCTTTTTCCTAACACTACCCTAACACGGATTCTCACTTCTTTTTATTACCTGTTGCTTGAATCCAAATTAAAAGTTCTTTGAAGAAACGTTATTAGTGTACTGTCGTGAATAGTTGAAAGAGCTAGAACAATCTCATAACCCCTAGAACATGTCCCTTGCCAAGCCATAACCGAAATTATCCATGTCCTCAATCACATTCGGATTCAATTGCATGTTTCTGACAAGCACATGGCTCCTGGGTTGTATCAAGTTACCTCTGGACGGATAATTGGAATCGGCACCATGGTTACCACAGCCGCCTCCAATCGCGACCCCAGGTTGCACATCAAGGACACGGTGATACAACAAAAAGGCTTAGTTTGCTATCCCAGCACATCGCATTACAAAGAAAAGCTGTAACATTTAACAGGCTAGGTTCATCCCAGTATTGAAAACCGTTGTTGCCTGTCGCCGGACCCATGTCAGTCTTGCTGGTATCCATCTTCAATGGGATGGGGACGCAAGGGCGTTTTAATTCCAGGTTCCGTCCTGTTGGAAACTTTTGTTGCAAATAGTAAACCTTCCAGGTTGTCCAGAGCTTGAAATCACCTTGCCTCAAAATACGGACGCAAGGGCGCCGGCTCCTTTTTTCCAAGTTTTCGTCCTGTTTATTGAGCTTTTGTTGCAAGTCGTCAAATCATCCAGGTTGCGGTACTTCAAGTTTACCGTGTTCACTAAACTTTTGTTCATTTCATAAACCTTCCAGGTTTTTAAGATGGCTAGTTTGCTTGCAGTCTTATTCTTGCCGTGCGGACCTAGTCTCGCGGTAGACCGAAAACCGCCGAGCGTGATACTAGGCCTTGGTGCAGCTCTTTGTATCATGAAACTGTCAGTCAGCTTTGCGAGACTGTCATGACAATGCGTGACACTACCCCTTATCTCTGGGATTGGTCCAAATCGCGCATAACCTGTCACTTTTTCTTGGTGGCCGGTATGTCCCTACCTAGCTTGGTTGTTTTGGGATTCTGCCTTGAGGTTTCGTTGCATATCGAATCGCCGAGTCTGGGCTCATGGAAAAGAAATTTTATTCTTTCTTGTTAGGTTACGCTTAACATGGTACGTTCTAATCAAGGCTAGGTAAGTGCAACCAATCTTCAGCGTCTAAACCTGGATTTCACGGCCTGCCTTGCTTTGATAAGGCATGGGGTGTGAAGTTAATTTACTGATTTATATTGCATGTTGGAATTTATGTAGATGTCTAGCAGTTCATAGCTAATATTATTGTGTGGCATAACGATATCTACTTGGATGTCTCCAAACCACGGAAGAGGAAAGCACGACTCACCTTCACTAGTCCTTCCCAGCCACCGAGCTTCGGAACCATAGGAAGCTCTAATGAAACTGCGATTTATCTATTGCAATTCGAACTTTACTACGAAGGTTTGCTGGAACAGCAAGACATCCTCCTTTCTTCCATCCAATGTTGGCCAGCCCAGTCACCCTGATCCGCGGATTGGCTTCAGTCCCAATCGAGGAAGGCTCCTTAGACATAGGAACCAGTTTCGAGACCACGCCTATGACTCATACACGCAGCCAATAACCTACGTCGGACATGGTGGAGATGAATGGGAACTTTCATCTTTTGGACTTTCCGGGTTTTTTTGCTGCAAATCGCACCACCCCCTGTCACTTTTTAGTGTACCTGTTGGTTTTCTAGTGTACCAAGCAATATTTATGTTCCATAGGTACCCAAATCATCCTATTCTCATCCTATTGCACATCGCTTCCCGCTGTCCGAGCATCTGGCCAGAGTAGAGCCATGTCAATCCACAAGAACTGTGGAAGAAAAAAGTTAGAACAGATCCGGAATCCATGGTTTACCGTCCTTCCTTCCCCAAAAACGGCACTTCCAAACCTTCGTGGGGTAGACAGGTGCTAGCTGTGGCTTTGTGCTCGGCCCAGTCATTTAGGGCGGATTCTGTTTTACCTTGTATGCGTTACACTAAGCAGTTGTTGGACCACATGGAGTTTCGTTGCATTTCGCATACCCCCTGTCACAAAAACTAGTTCTCCTAGTCGTGCATGGCAGCATAGGTAGTTAGGCACTACCTAGGCGTTTATGGGGGCCTGGATTTATTGGTATGATATTTGTATTCACAAATTTATTGTTACACACGCCATAGCCCACCGTTCAGTCCTCCAGTCCTCTGCCCTAATTCCAGCCCTACATATCATCTTCAGGAGGCACACAACTTGTTTCCATTGTTTTGTTTGTCAATTCAGGAGCATATATAGGGTCTGCATACCTAGCATATCGTCAGTACAACCGACATGGTAGATTCGAGGCAACAACTTCCACAACTAAATACCTTACCCCGGCGAAATCGAAAACAAAATGTCTAGTCGAGCCTCCTTCCCCAAAGTAGCAGTCAAATCCGACTTCGACGCAGCATTATCATTTACACTTCGGTTAATTCGCCCTATATTATCTCACCCCTCCCTTTTCAAAGTGCTCTACTTTTTATACTAACATTATGAATTTGTGATTAATACTATCCCTCAGTGTAATCTCTTCATTGTAAATTGTAATTATAGTCTTAGTGAAATCTATATCTACGTCCAAGATCTATTATCCAGTTGTAGTTACGGTATTCAAGTATCCCTATAGTCTACATAGTTGCAATCGTAATATAATCATTCCCTGAAAGTGGCTTTCAAATATGCCAAACTCACACTCTTAACCCCCAAGCCCTCCTTACTCCTCTCAAAAGTCCACAACTCCTCCACCTCAAGCCCCTCCAAATACTCAAACGTCCTTCTATAATTCGTCCCCACCTGCTCAATCCCATGACTATCATCACTCAGCGTAAAACGCCCCCCCATCCCCATAAACGCCTCACAAACCGCCCTCCCCGGATACGGCTCCTGCAACCCCTTCCTCAACCCCGCACTATTAATCTCCAACAACCCCCCCTGCTCAACCACCACCCTCAAATTCCTCACAACCTTCTCCCAGACCCCCGGAAGCGAGCGCAGTGATATATTAGGCGTAGCGCACATAAGCCGAATCAGATCAAAATGCGCCACGACCTTCGGCCTCAGCGCCAGCAACATTTCAAACTGGCTGTCAAAATAGGCCTCGAAGCACTTCTCATCGCTGCCGCCTGATGCAGCGACTGCTTGCGCATAGAAAGAGGTGTCGTAGTCGATGGGGTGCCCGTGCACGTGATGTACGGAGCCGAGCACGAAGTCGATGGCTGGGTTGGAGGAGAGGGAGGTGATGAGAGGCCCGTAGGAGGGCCGGATCCATTCCCCTTCGAATCCGATGAGGATGTGCAGCTGGGAGGTGTATTTTGAGCGGAGGCGGAGGGCTTCGGTGATGTAGGCGTTGTGGTTGGAGTATGTGGGGTCGATGGTGTCGCCGGCTGCTATCTGGTTGGTAGGGTTAGGAAGTGTTTTTTTGGGGAGTTTGAATGATAATGGAAGATGCAGATGTAGGTATTTACTTCTTCGGGGTATAGATCTTCTTCGGAATTGCGGGGCATGTGTTCTGTGAGTGCGAAAGTCTGCATTCCTTTTGCGATGGCAGTGAGGATTATATCTTCTAAGCAGTCTTTAGCGTGCCCGGGACAAAATTGCCCAGAGTGGGAATGCATAGAGAAAGCCATGTTTATGTTAAAAAAGTACAAGAATGAGTGTAGAGATGTCGTTGAATAGGTACCCAAGCAGTTGTGCTACCTCAGGTTAAAAAAGCCCGCTGCATTCCGCCCCACTCTCGCTTGACATCCTTAGAATAAAAGAAAAGTCTACGTATTTAACTCCTATAGATAAGGTGAGCAGAAAGTAAAGGATTTACTCATACTGCCTAAAAGTCTAGTCTGCACGCATGTGGTGGGCTCGCTTATTGATTCTCGGGATTCAAAAAGAAAAAGGGAAACCAAAAAAAGAAGTTTGCTGCGAGCACCAAGGGACTCGAACCCTCAACCTCAGTCTTACAGCGTTTCCGCAGTAGGAGGACCGCGCGCTACCATTGCGCCAAGCACCCTTTGAGATCATGTTTTTCATGATCTTTGGCATCAACTTTGATAGCTTTTGCACTAAATCTGCTTATTTCGCCATATACGTAGTTTAAAAGTTAACCGAGAAGTTGTTAATCCGGGCCCGTTCACCTTATTAGTCATCCCTTAGTATACTTTACCCGATGATGAGTCATTCGACTGTACTCACCAGCAGATTTCTTTCACTTCCTTCCTAACAATAAAGTTGTATTTATTTACTAGAGGCTTGCATGTTGCGAAAACACTTCTACGGCTTATTTAATACAGCTTGGAGATGTGATTTGAAGAATTGGATTTCATTGGAACATGACTATCTTTCGTGGTCGTCCACCAGGTCCTTTGTACTTTGCATTTCAAGTCATTGAATGTGGATGCTGAGCCGATTTTCAGTTTCCTTCGAGTATAGAGAAGTCTCAAAGTTGGGTGCGCCGGAACTGGTTCGGGTGACAAAGATCCGGTTGTATTTCAATTTATTAAGCTTACTTCCTACGATGTCTATATCTCTTGTCCTTACGTAAGACCGATGAGGTCTTTGCCTTATGCTAAGCTATCACTTTTCCTCACTCCACCTTCCATTGTCCATTTTCGACACAGAATCATAGGAGAATCTGTTGATTGTGAAGTATCGCCTTGGCAGAATGTGGGCAGATGCAATAAGTGAGATCACGGCCTCATACGGCTTTAATGGAAATGTTAAAAGTATCTCCATTCTGTTTCAGTGAGCGGAACACGGTCCGTCAATAGCCTTTCCTCTTTGAATATATATGGATTCATTGCCGTGATTCACAAGAGGTAGCACGGTCCATTCACACGAATCCTCTGGGATTTGCCGACGCTGCGATATGGTCTTCAAACCATGGCTCTTGCAACTTCCACATTGGCTTGTACATTACATGAAAACCTGCAGTCATTTATCAAGCACATAGTATCGCCCTAACAATCCCTCATTGCGATGGATAAGTCCTCGAATATCCGCCCTAAAAAGATTTTAAGGAGAAATGCTGCGTCCACGTCTGTCTCGGCAACCCGTGCCGACCCAATTGAGTCTCCCTCAACCAAAGTCTCACATCCAGTAGTCCAATCTCCCTGGTCAGAGGCAAGCTCATGGACAACCGCTTTACCTACGACAAATCCTTGGTCAGCCCTTCCATCAGCAAATGTCCGTGGCACACTTTCGTTGGACTCTAAATCCTTGTCAAGTACGGTCGTTGCTTCATCTCAAGGTACGATATGATCCTCAAGGACGAACTTACAGTCGCATACTTACCCTGACAGACATCCATATACCCACTACCTTCCCCAAATTCATGGATCTTCCTCCTAAACTCCAAACCAAGATCATCCAGTTCGCGTGGGCAGCACTAAAACAATCGAACCACCAAAATGAAGTCCATCCTTGCGACTTCGAACTCGGCCGCATGGGAGTCGTCTGCCCTTCCACGCCATCTTTCAATAACTTTCGCCGTAGCTTCAAGTGCAGCAAGCTTTTATCTCTGGTGGAACAAGTTATATTCCACAGGTCGACACTGTTAGTCCGGGTAGAGCTTGCGAGAGACAGCTACTCGACCTTGCCAGTGGGTTATATCCCATCTGTGTTGGTAACCCTCAACAAGGTATGTCTGTTGCAAAACTCATTATTGAAAATTCATACCTTGGCTCTTTGAACCTAACGCTATCATCCCAGGAACCCATCCTCAAGGAGAACGTCGCTGCACTCGTCCTGGATATTTCCTGCTCCAAAAGCGGCAGGGTTTCCCGGGTCGACGCACTCCAACAGCCCTTCCCTGAACGAGCCCTAGAAGATCACGGCAGTAACCAGAACAACGCCTTGCGTCGCCGCGACGAAATCGACCTCCTCACTTCCCGCATCGTCCACGACTTCCCCAACCGCAACCATTTGTACGTTAAGCTGAATGTAGACTTCTTGTCCTACGATGACCTCCTCCATCTCTTTAGGATTTTCAGCTCCACCGATAGCAAATTCACCTTGAGGGAGACCGGTACAATTCATGGAGCCCCTACGACTTGGCCACGTTGGTCCACCATTCAGGAGTTCAACAAGGCGTATAGCCCGGTCTCGAAGAATGCGGCGAGGAACGCGGGCCAGAATTGGCTTATCCATACTCATCCTACGCACTCGGTGGAGTGGAGACCATGGGCTGAAAGAAGGATTGATGGCGAGATGTTGTGGTCGAGAACGGCTGTGTGGGAAGGTGTTGGAATGGACACACCAAGTGAACTTCCGTTTGATTATGAATAATTCGACATGTTGTCCGCCGTCGCATGACTTGTGGTTGTTCAGGTGGAAAGTGTAGCATTGTTTTAGATGGCAGAGCATAGGTGGATGTGGTTTCTTTGGGCTTTCAGGCCGAGTCACATCTTTTCTTGATTCCTTTCTTGGATATCACACACAGAAGAATCTATAATAATGACCCTATTTTGCCCTTCATCGGTATGTGATAGATGAGTATAATGGCCCTGGCAGAATGTTGGAAGGATTGTGGAGACTTTGATTTACCGTCCCGCATAAAGAAACAAAGAAATTATTTTCACTTTTCTCGGATCCATTCAGCGTTCTCTTGAATCCCTTTATAACATTTACAATTGCTCGACGAATGCGTCGATCCAGTGAACAAAGAACCCATCCGCATTTCTAAAAACCTTTCTCATTTCCAATTCTGCTCAAGTCTCTCTGTATCTCAACCCAATCCCCATCCACAATCTAACCAAACATCAACACTACAAAATGGATCCCTACGAAATGGACCCTTCCCAACTCGCCTCTGAGCTTGGTATCGACGATGTCCCCGACGTCGGCGACAAAACCTTCGACCATAAAGAGGACAAAGCCACGCATCAAACCGATGAGCCCAAGAAAGCACGCAACGAAGGCAGAAAAGCACCTTGGAAAGTGGGGCTCGTAGCTACGGAGTTGAGTGTAGAGGAGGAGGAGAAGAAGTATGAAGAGTTTCTGAAGAAGGAGCATACGCAGGCTGTGGCTAGTGTTAACGAGGGAGGGACGGAGATTAGGATTGTTAGTTTTGACAGGGAGGGCAAGGTTCGTGTACTTCCTTTCCTCTTGGCAAGGAGAATATGTGTTCTGATTGTTGTGGTGATAGGAGATTACCGTCGTTCTTGACAACAGTTTCGGCGAGGACACTGCTCTGCTTGCAAACTTGGTTTGTCCACCGCTATGATGCTGGCTCCTGGTTTTATGAAGGAGAGCTAACAACACACAGCCTGAAGATCTGAAATGCCGCACTGCAATACTCATCCTCGAGAAACAAGAACTGATTAAGTCGGCGCAGCACCTAATGGTGGAAGCCCACGCCATCTCTGAGTTGCGAGAAGTGAATCCCGATGCGGAGGGCTTCCGTCGTCGAACTATCCTAGCTGAGATGTTTGCGTTTCAGCTGGGGCTGCGGAGCAGGAGGTGGGATATCAAGAATAAAGCACTCGATGAGGATATCGAAAACCCTAAGCCGAAGAAGGAACGTGCGAAGGGGGAACGTGTAAAGGGGGATGGGAAGGGAAAACCGAGTGCTAGGCTGGGTAAATATGATGTTCTTCAAGGGAAAGGAAGGAAGGGTAAAGAAGGCAAGACCGATAGGTTTGGGAAACTTGATGCTGGGAGAGTGGCGAAAAATGTTGATAGAAGGGGGAAGAAAGATGGCAGGCCTAGGCAGGAGGGGAAGCCTGGGAGGGACGCAGGCGCCGCGGCAGGTGGAGATATTCTGCAATATTAATTGGGTACTGAGTTGCGGGCAGGCAGGTGGGAAATGATGCTATTTCGTGTTTTGTGAGCTAGGTGTAGACTCTATTTATAATCTCTTAGTCGTTTGCAAGTCTGAATTCTGGGCCATTGTAAGAAATATCGAGAAATTGCTATACAGCGACGAATCATTTGGAAACAACGGGTAATAATTACCTAGGTATTTTAAAACAAGCTCGATGCTGAAATTTATCACAATATGGGCTTTCTTCCAGTTTTTGGTGAAAGGTGGCAGTTTCCTGTTTTGGCGGCAGACCTCGCTTCCATAAAGGGGGGAGTTGCGATGCTGAACCTTTCACTTCAATTTCAACCGACCTGAAACGCGTAAACCAACTATCACCTAACACAGGGAGCGGCAAAGATGAGATTAAAAAAGAAGAAGCGCGAGAAGGCGCTATTGCTGTCATTGACGCAAAATCTCAAACGAATGATCCAGAGCGGTAATACGATCACGATCAATGAGCAAGTCATCGGTGTAAGTAGCCATTGACCCCCGTGGTACTGAAAATGCTGACCCCAAAATGCAACATCCTCGATCACCAATGCTGCTCAGATGCCCGAAGATGTCAAGGTAGCTTTAGTATTTATACTAATATCGGCAATTAGAGTTTCTACTATAGGCGAAGCTATTGCTTAACCCTATATTAGACTTATAAGAAATCCTTCTAGGTACCTTTACGGAGTAAGCTAATAAGTTGCGGGGAAACCTCGGCTCGGCTCGGGCAGATTAGGATTAGATAAGGCAAAAGTTAAGCGAGATCCCACAACCCCTCACTTCTACTCCTCGAGCTTGACCTCCTTTCTACTCCCAAAACATGCATTTAAAACATACAAATACTGTAGAAAGATGCCACAAGCAGCAAAAAGAGGTCGTACCCGGGCTCGAACCGGGGATTCGGGAAATAAATGATTTTGATGTGTCAAAATCCCACGTGCTAACCGCTACACTATACAACCATTGTCACATGAAGAGCTTTTGCGCAGAAATGCGTTATCTTAGTATATACATAGATTAATCATGTCTCGGAGGTCGGAAATTCTTAGTGGACCGCTACTGCTCCTCTATATTAGTAGCTGGAGCTGGAAAGGAAAACCGAATTGTCGTGAAAGCATATTTATATGCTTTTTTTAATTAACAGTTGGTGTTGGTATTACAGGTTTGATATCCGTGATCACTTCTCTATACTACATAGTAGAATTGATACTGGTTGATGTTGCTTGACTTGGTTATTGTCTATGCTGTGCTGTGGGCGAAGGAGGTGAGGTTATGCCTCTTCGCAAAGCGGCTTAGTCATCATGAGCCAGGTCACGTGGTACACGTGATATATACATCGCAACAGTCAGTCCTTTCTTCTTCGCTCGCTTTCGCTCACGAATCACTTAGCTGGAACGTTCGCTTACAGGGCCTTAGCAAATGAACTGCAACTTTCTACAAAATATGCTTTTACAAGGCTTATATGGAGTCCCGCTGCCGGAAACACCCTTTTTACAGTAGAAAGTGGGGGGTTTTAGCAGTTTGATCACCAAATAAGGCATAAATGATTTATCTAGGGGGTCTTTAGCAAATAGAAACCCTCTATTATCCTGGTTACATCCTGGTTTCAAGTGGAAAGTTGCAGTCTTTATGAAAATACCCTGTACCTCGACCATGAGCGAATGCGATGCAACAAATTCTTTACAATTGGCCAAACAACACTAATATATCTAATAAATGAATTCGAAGGATTTCACATTCTAACACCAAAACGCGGCCAATTTTTTATTGTCATTAATGGCCTGCTAAAACGCATCAAGAAAGTGTAAAGAAAAGGAGTACAACTTGGGGTATCAAGAACCAGATGCAAGTAACGCCAGTATGCTATGAAACTCCTCCAACCTGCAAAAAGGAAGTCAACCCCAATAACGCTTTTCTATGCATCTCCCAAAATAGTGCCCAGTGGTTAATCATCAGCAATCACAATCGCTCCATCCATCCTCACTCCAAGCGTCTTTGATAATACATCTCAATTTGATTCGCTCAGATATCCCGGCATCCAAACGCTGCATTCGATTTCTTCAGCCTAGAAAAACCAGCCTTCGACTAGAGAACTATGCCATCTTTGATCTATACTTGACGATAAACTCATTGGAATCGCGGTCCCCGCAATTGAACCCGTCTTTGTAGCTCCTGAAATGTTACGTTTGCTAATTGAGCAGCTCGCCTCGCTTCTCGGGCTGCGTGCTCTGCCTGCATTCGCTGTTGTTCTGCTGGCATTCGCTGTTGCTGTACTCGTTGCGCTATCTGCTGCGCTATCTGCATCTGCTGCTGCGCCTGGAGTTGCTGTTGCGCTGCCTGCATTTGCCGTGCCTCTGCTTGCAATCGCTGTTGCTCTGATAGCATTCTTGTTCGCTCTGCAAAAGATGCATGCCGTTCTGCTGCTATCGGTCGCCGATGATGATTCGCCGCTTCAGCTGGTCTTTCTGGATATTGGGCTTTTGGATGAGTGCGTGCCCTGCCTTGGTCATATTGCCGAGGCGCTGGCATGAAGTTGCCAATACGTGGCATGTTGTCGGGGATTACCCTTAGTCTTGCTGCTAACTGAACAGCAGTAGGTTGGGCGTCCATAGCCTGTCCTTGAGCTTGACTAGGACCTGGATCCTGGGCCAAACCTTGATTCATAAAGCCGAAATTGTCAAAACCGAATCTTTCAACATCAGGGACCAATGGCTGGAAATTCATATCTTCCTGGTTCAGGAAGTCCATGTCTAGGAACAATGCATCGACATTATGATCGAAGCCTATCTCCTTGTGCATTTGGACAGGCCTCATTACTAAGGAGATATTAGCCGGTGATTAACAACGATGGCCCCATTCCGATATGATAATGGGTAATGGCAAGACGAGGTGCGGGTTGATACTTGCCGAATACATGGGATTCAAGACTCTTCTCAACAAAAATTTACTTACGTCTTCTGGGTCGGATGAACTGCGGGGGGTTGCTCCCATATCTAGCTGGGGTACTGGGAAATCCCCCGGGTATCTTGCCATTGGCATTCCGTTAAACAAAGGCTCTGAATCACAATATTAGCATAAGCACACCTCTAAAGAGTATCATAGACCTGACGGGCACGTCCGGTCATTCACCAATAGAAATTGTTTTGCCAGGAGAAAGTAACACTTGATGAACTTTGGAATATTATTCTGAGAATTTGAGATGCTTCCTACTGACCAGCGAGCCGCATCTGAGCCGCGGCAACAAGATGAGCCCTAGGATCCCTCTGTTTCCGTTGTTCGTCATCTTTCAAGACATTTTCTGACATATGGACTTTCAGATCCTCTTCTGTATACTCGGGATGTTCGGCTCGGACTTTGTCGATAGCCTCCTTCGCGGCTTTGCCGACATCAATATCGTGCCTCTCAAATGTGCTCTCAAACAATGGGCAATTTCCCTTCCGGCCGCCCCGATTCTGATCGTCGAAGTGATTATAGCTGCAAGATTCAGAGCAAACGTAACATTGGACGTTGTGACATCCATTGCGAGTGCAAGTCATCTTGTTGCAACCTTCATCTTTGACAAATGGGGTACCGCATTTGTTGCACTTCCTGATCAATGCTGCAGACATTGCTTCCTCGACCTGGCGACGAATTGAAAGACCATTGTCCTTCATGAATTCATCGCAGCTCTTGGGAATATGAGATTCGAGCTTACACAGTCGACAACTCAGCCTCTCACAGTCAGGTGCTTCGCATCGGAATTCCTTGTTGACTTCGACGGGTGGATATTCTGCGGCATAAGGGCAAAAGGGGCAGCTCTCGAGGTTTTCAATGCCTGCCATACGCAGCACTGCTTCTTGCTCGTTTCTCTCAAGAGCAATTTGTGTCTTCTCGTCCAAGAAGAGTGATCTTTCTAGTTAGCAAGCGCGGAGTCATGTATCTGTGAGAACGTACCTTTGGTCTAGAGAGAATCCTCCTTCACAGCCATCCATTGACATGCAACGCAGTATATATTTAGAATTACCAATCTCGGTATCGGCAGTCTGTTTTGCACAGGCTTTGCAAAACCAATGCATTGTATCCGCATCGCAGTGGACCATTCTATTAAATGGACAGTCACCAAAGCAGCACCCGCACTCTTGCATCGTGCCCTCTGCTATGGCTTTTTGCTCATTAGCTTCTTCTTCACGTTCAGCCTCGCTCTCTAACTCCCGTTTCGCTTCTGCCTTGCTCCTGATACTTCTAGCGGCCTGTAATTCTCGGAGGATGTCTTTTCGTGCCGGATCTACTTCGGGGCTGACTATGTGCGCTTGAATACTTGAGTCCTTAAATTCCGCCTGTGATTTTCGGGCGTTCTTGATTTTGTTATATGGAGGGTCGGCCGGGTTGAATGCCCTCTGGGCCTCTTCAAGAATACGGTACGCCTGGAATAAGCGATGTTGAGATTGGTCGAGTGCGGCGTAGATGAACACCATTGGTGTTTCTGGAAACTCGACCTGTAGGATGTTTTTTCTGCGGAATGTTAACAAATACTTTCAAGACAAAGTACTTCGTAAGCCTTGGATCACACGCCCAAGTCAACGGCAGAAGCCGTGATTTAAAGGGTCACAAAGTTCATGTATTATCTCGTGATTGTAAAAAATATATGACTTACATGTACGTCCGGGTAATAATACCAAAAGGTACTACATGACCAGGAGCGCCATATTTGAGTTCAGCGGCCTCATCCTCGTCAATTTCTCTCTTTCTTTTCAAAGCTTTCTGCTTGTCCTTTGCCTTCGTGTATGGCGAGTTGTTCTCCATCTTGTCCAGGATATGCGCAATAAGTTGATCGGAAGACCGTGAAACTTTGTTCCAAAGCTCAGAGACATGATCGGGGCAGATATCAGGAAATAAACCTAGAACAGCTGCAATACACTCGTCTTCGGTCTCAAGTTGAGGTACTGGTTCGAAGGTTGCTGCTTGTGCCTGCGCTTGTGCTTGTGGCTGAACTATGGCACTAGGCTCGGCATGAGGTTGTGGGGCCGGAGCTTGGGGATCAGGGGGTTGGTAGAGTTGCTCATATGCCCGGGCGAAATTTTCGTCGTCAAAATCGTCATCGAGAATAAAGTCGCCCATAGCATAGGCAGCATCAAAGGGGTTTGCTTGCTGGTCGGGATCTAGTGCGGGAGGATCGAAAACAAGAGGCCGATGTGGAGGGCCGCGGTGAATGGCCTGGGGCACGGGTGCGGGTACGGGTGCGGGTGCGGGTGCAGGTACGGCATAACCATTGACATCCGGAGCTATGTTTGCTTGTGGTCTCTGTTCTGGAGCAGGAAAGAAGACATCCTCCTCGAAAGCATCGTCCAAGGGATCATCATCGTATATGTTGTCGTCCCTGATAGAAGGGGAGAGCTCAGAGAACTGGTCGTCATCGTCGTCGTCGTCGTTGTCCGCCGTCAGATCAATAACGTTCATTGCGTTGCAGGGTCCAGCCCTGGCGTGATCAACCTTGGTGTTGGGAAGGGACTTGGTCCTCTCATTGACCGAGGGCGGCCGTTTGTTCGATTTCCTCTTTGACCTAAGAGCAAGAAGGCTCTCAAGCTTAGTTTTGTTCAAGACGATACGAGGAAGTCGAACCGTACGTGACAGCTGGGCCAAAGGTTTGGGTTCATTGAGTGGAGGAAAGTTTACGCTATTCATGGTGAGTTTTTAGTTAAAGTTCTGCGTTCTAAATAGGAAAGACCGAGAGGAAGGCGGTGGAGGGAGGGAGGGCATGGACAGGCGTGCATAGAGCGTTCAGATTATGTCCAACAGATTCGCCAAAGTTGGGTCGATTGACGCGTCAAGATGGAATTGGAGATGGAGGTTGACAAACGGACGAAAACAGAATAAATAGATGGAATCTCTCTCACCTTCATCATCAACTTCAACCTCAACATCACACGAGTCGGCAACTACTCTAGTATCTGTCCGAACTATAGAGGCTGATGTCAGACAAGTCGATCGAGGCTGCTACCCCTACCTTGACGATTCACCAGAAACGGAAACGGAGCATCAGGAACATGGCATCACGTGGAGATAAGATTTCCACTCCACTCCACCCCCGCCCCACTTCACTCCACTCTACCCGAGCCCGAGTAACCGGATTTTAGTTGATGCGCTAATCTCCTTCCTCTCCTTCCTCTCTCTCCTCCCTCTCCCCTCTAGCCTGGGCTTTTCATCTCAATCTCTTCCTCGCCCTACATACTACAACATACACATAGTACATTTCCTCTTGATCTTTTGCTGGTATAGATCTCAGCAGCGTCACTATCCAATCAATAACTTTGTTACATAACCTACCGAGCTTGAGGCTCAGAAATCAAGCAGCTTACCTAGTAAGGAAAGGCGTTGCACCCATGTGAGGTTAGCAACGGCTTAAACCCAAACATTACCCTTACCTTCCTGTACGGGTTGGTGGGCGTCTTGCCTTCTTTCCTAGACTCTAATTTCTCACCTGCTGGACAAAGAAGTTGCAAATTACTCGCGATTATCTACCTAGGTACCTGCCTCTACCTAGGTACTCGTAAAACCTCTCCACTTGACGCTCTCAAAAAACATCAAGTGGGGCATGTCATGTTACGAGAAGGGCGCATCGTGCGAACTGTAACTTACTTATTAATGCCCTTCCTCTCCTTACCTTAGTTAAGGTAATTTACCTTGTCTTTTGTCTGCTGACCGTTTGGCCGGAACCAATTCCTCGTCTTCCTCTTTCTTTGTCTGGGATGCCATACGACTTTCCCCTCAGAAGTTCATCGTCTCCTTTCGCGTTTGTACATAAACTGTTGTCATAGATTCACAGATTGCGAACAAGACAGAATATATATATTTAGAGACCGAATTCGAGCAATCGATAGATAGGAACCTCCACAGAAACACTCCCTCACGAAATTTCCCCGGAAAACTCCAAAATGGCCAACTACACCAGCGAACTTCCCCTCGCATCTGCGCCCACGCTGACACTTGTTCACCCGACTCCCAATGAGAAACTGGAGGTGTGGACTGAGAATTGGAAAAATTGGGGTACTGCCCTCTCCCTCAAAGACTACATTGAACGAGAAACGCACCTCGCTGATATCCCACCCACAAGAGATGGCGGGGTAACTCGTACGTACCCCTCCGCACAAACCCCTCCCCTCTCTCTGGAGAAGAAACAAAGACTAACCTCAACCTTAGATTGGATCCTGACAGACCCCTCCCTCCCCCCAGACGCCCGCCCCATCCTCTCATTCTGCGAATCTCTTCGACGCCGCACATTCGTCAGCCTTCCCTCCGTAGAAGTGCAAGAAGGAATAGTCCACGGCATCGGCAGTGTCTTCTCCTCCCCCGCCTACAGAGGCCGCGGCTACGCAACGCGTATGCTCTCAGATCTTGGACCCATCCTGAACACATGGCAGCAAGAAGCAGGCAAGTCGCACTTCTCAATTTTGTACTCGGATATTGGCAAGAAATACTACGCGAACCTGGGCTGGAAGCCTTTTGCTAGTTCACATGTCTCTCTCCCTTCTGCTGCATCGCCGGCCACGAATGGTGCGAATGTAAATAAGGCAGAGGGTGTCAAGCTACTCTACGGGGAGGACCTAAAGGAACTATGTGAACTAGATGAAAGCTATCTTCGTAACGAAGTTGCAAAGGCTGCAAAATCCACACACAAGCCAGCTGTAGCTATCATACCGGACCACTCTACCATGACCTGGCATCACCTGCGCGAGCAATTCATGACCAGCAAACTGTTCCCCCAAAAGACCCCCCTACAATCCACGGCGCCATCTCAACTGGGGCTCCAGGCTCGAGGGTCTGGATTGTTTTCTCGCGAGTTTTCTACGGGCCTTTGGCGAATGCTAAGTCTGGAAACACGCTCTATATTCTACGGCTCGTTGTCGAGGACGAGAGAGATACGGATGAGAATGCACAGAAACTGAAGAGTGTGCTACAAGTAGCGCAAGCAGAAGCCAAAGAGTGGGAAGTGAGCAGCGTGACGGCCTGGAACGTTAGTGATGTTGTGAAGGGACTGTTGAAGAGGACAGGGCTGGAACATACGTTTGTGGACAGGGAGAATGACAGTATTACTAGTTTGATGTGGTATGGAGAAGGGAGGGGGGATGTGGATAGTATTGGGTGGCTTGGAAATGAGAAGTTTGCTTGGTGTTAGAATTGCTAGGAGGTCCAGGTAAAGAAAAAGTTTGGATTGGGTAGGTACTATTGTGTTGAGTATTGGGATACCACGGGCACGGAGGTACTATTGCGTTGAGTATTAAGATACTATTAGCATGGAATCGACATACAAGATACCAAACTTTCTCCTGTCGAATGATCAAGTGCTAAAGAACTACACGACAGGTCAGTCACCTGAAAAGCTCATCTCCAACAACGAATCCGGGATAGAAATACTTGCTTTTCCAATGCCACCGAGACAACTCGTTTCTACCGTCCGTACCGTACACCGACGCATGCATCTACAGCACCTACCTAGGTGTCCAACCCAACCCAACTACTCCACTCTAGCCAAGACACGACAAGAACCAACAAACACATAACACATAACACATAACACAATAACAAACATCAGAGACAAAAACCCCCACCAGCAATCAATAGATCAGGTGTCGGTGACACATCCAACCCAACCCCAACCCAACCGGACCATTGCATTGCATAATCTCACTACCCATCCGTTGCAGTATCGCTGTACCACATCACATGATTCACATTACCGTACCTTACTCTGCCTACCTGCCCTTGTGTACAACATACCTATGCCCGAGATGAGAAGAGAAGCACCGGTAGGATAGATCGAGGCGAGCATGGTATGTATGAATCCGATACTTCTGGAATGGGCAACGGGCAATCCTCGTACTGTGCAACGAAGTGAACGTTTTTTCTGTGGGGGCGCATGGATAGATGAATGGAAGTGGCTGTTTCTAGGATGGGACGGAACCGCGTGTTGTACAATGTGGATCGGACGCGGACTTATCTGGGTTCTATTGTACTTAGGGAGGTTGGAGTGGAGGTGGAGAGGATGGTAGGTAGGTGACTGAGACACGCATATATGCATAGTACGATAGAAACAGGGGATGTGAATAGGACGTCATCGATGAGGTGAAGTGAAATTAATGGGTGAGGATGATGGATTTGGAATGATGCTTCATCGATAATAGGATAAGTGAAAAAAGGAAGTTTAGTGAAGTGAAACCATTTTCATTTTCCCTTTGCAGGTAGGTAAGTACTCAGGTATCCCATCTTTCACCGAAGTAGATTAATCTAGATTACAATATCCCATACACCTAAATGGATAGATAGATAGACCCCAGATCCCCCATCCTATCCTATCCCATCCCATACGCCGTCCGTAAATGTTAATCCTGTTTGGAATGAGAAGGTGAAGTAAAGTAAGTTCTCGTACAAGTAGCGAGTGTGTGTGTGCACTTTTCGAACCCGACCAACCAACCGATTCGCCAGCCCTCTTCTTCCCGCGGCAATTTGGAAAGAAGGAAGAAATAAGGTTTGTGAAGTAAGTCCACCCACTCGCTCCCCCATACATGAGGCCCCGATCGAATCGTACAGTACCTGGCCCAAGTATGATAAGAAAATAGCGTCTGGCTCTCCTTGCGAGACTGCATCTGTCTGTAGAAGACTTGTACCATCGCCCTCCCCAAGCCGGATTTGTAAACCAGTCTCCCATCCCTAACCCTGCGGAACATGGTATCCATCAAATGCCCCCCAAATTTCCCCCACCCAACCATCCACTTTCCTATCGACTCCCACTCCCTATCCCATCCTTGCTTTTACCCTCTTCCTCCCCATCACCACATAACGCCCCTCCCACTCCTACTAAACCGCCTCGCATGCCACACCATCTTCGCTCCCAGCCCAAAGCTCGTACTGCCCGCTCTGCTTCTAGGTCTGCTCGGATGGCGTGATACGAAGTCGTCGTCGCTTACATCGTCTTCGGTTATGGCCGTAGAGGCTATGGCTTTTTCGCGCATTAGGGAGATGCTGTGAGATACGGTCAGTGAGTGATTCTGTGTCTGGGCTTCAAATTAGGGAAGATAGAGAAGGGTAGGGTAGGTAGATTAGGAGGGATAATTAAATTGAATATGCCGGAGAGACTTACTCATCTTCAGAATATCCTGGGAAGTTTACGGAAGGTCCGGACTGGAAGTTGAAAGGCGGTGACTGTTGGGTGTGTTAGCCGGAAACGTGAAGAGGAAAAGAGGGATTAGGAAGCAGGGAGACGTACTATAACTAAAGAGGGGCGTCTTTCTTTGGCTTTAATGCCTAGTCCGTGAAGGCATTTATTGCCTATTCGAGCCATGACGCAAGGCATCGCGTTGATGTTAATGTCGATGTTGAATATATGTTGGTAAGGAAAGTGTGTTCTCTCAAAGAAGTGTAGGTAGTTGTTGGTTGTTCGAATACGGAGAGCATCCGCGGTTCAAAAGTATTGCAATCGACCGGTCTTCAAACGAGTTATGGGTATTAATACACGTAAGTGAAGCGTAGAAAATAATTTGAGCAGCATATAAGGTCGATGATGTTATAAGGACAGTAGGTTGACGCGACATGAAAAGGGAACGCTGGCTAAACTGATGATAGAGGAACAAACGGACGATGCCAGAATGACGAACGAAAACCGCCAATATATAAGGATTGTAATAGGCAAGTTGAGTTTCTCGAAGGTATGCTGACGAGGAACTTGGACTTGAACTTCCACCGAAAAAGGAAGAAAGTCCGGGGAAATTTCAGAATATATAACGATCGAAGGAATTGAGGACATAGATCCACAGAAATGCTGCTAGGGGCAACGGACCATGAACTTTCTCGAAATTACCAAGAGTCAGTCGCACAGTGGGATGAAAGTGTCACAAGGCAGCAAACACCTGGGAAGATCTGCCCCATTCCCAAGAGTCGCGTAGCAACGGAGATCCAAAGAAAAAACGTGGCAGCGTGACACCCGGTCATCCCTTAACCTTGAGAATTCAGTTGCCACGGGCTGATAAAGTCTTTAAATTGGGTCGTTCCAGACGAAGAATGCTGTCATTTGGACAGCTTATTGAACTACTTCGGCATCCGAGCTGACGATTCGAAACACTCGATGGCTTCATGGGCTTTTCCTACGAAAAGCTGAGAGTACAGGAGCTGGAGAGGGGGCTGGAATGAGTCCCGTGAAGGGTGGTAAGATATAGAGCAATTTTAAGAATATTGGGTGAGCTGAAAAGGGTTCGACGCGGACAGTTCTCGTGCAAGACTTAGGGAGGGTACAGAAATAACGTGGAATGTAAGGATTTGTGATATTGGTGCAAAGGAGAAAGTCGGAATCTTATCACACTGCACTTGCAACCCTCTCATCAACCCTTCTATTTCTTTGCAGCAGGTGCAGCCTGTGTAAAAGACTGTGTTCAAAAGGGATTGCTTCCAGGGGACCAATCAAACGGCCGGTAAGGGATACTGTTACGCTTGTTTAGACTACCCCGAGGCTTGTGCTACCATATCTCAACAATTCGGAATGGACGGTGGCCGGGTCCTCTTCATCAACTTCTTGTGCTTGTGTAATGATGATAACGATTTCTATGCGTGTTCCATAAACCAGGCTCGTGGCGCTCCGTCGCAGCCACGATCTCACCATCACGATACCTCGCTCCATAGAAAGACATCGCGGCAATATGAACTCGGGTCTATTGGTTATTATCTTAGTGCTTAACGCCAAGTATTGCAAAATGATTTCAAATCGCAAGTCGGCGATGCTATAAAAGTGCATAGAGTCATGTGACCTCGCATTATGGTTCCACGAACCACGCGTCGTTTCTTTATTTAGGATAATCCTTGACGTGGAAGTTCTTCAGCTTGACAAATTGATCGAATCCAAATTTGCTCAGGGTGACGCCTTTTCCTGAGTTCTTCCAACCGGTCCATGCAAGATCCTACGCAAGTTAGCAGCAGACCTCGGGCTCAAGATTTTTGAAATGGTGGACTGAAAATTGTAACAGTATGTACTTACTGGGCTTGGGTAGTCGCATCTGTTGACAAAGACGGTGCCTGCCTCGACGGACTCGGCGAGTTCCGCACCTTTCGCCGTGTCTTTCGTCCAGATAGAAGCAGTCAGACCAAACTCGCTATCATTCATGAGTTTGATCGCTTCTTTGTCACTCTTGACTTTCATAACTGGAATTACAGGGCCAAAAGTCTCCTCTGTCATGACCGTCATATGGTGATCGACGTTTGTGAGAAGAGTTGGTTTAACGAAATTGCCGTCTGAAGGAGGTGAGTTGAATGAAGCGTTGTCTGGCGTCGCATCTTTAGCCCCTTTCTCCAGTGCGTCCTTGATATGAGCTTCGATCATCTCCTTCGAACGCTTCGAGACAACAGGACCAACATGTGTTTCCTTGTCAAATGGGTCGCCAAGTTTGTAGCCCTTCAAGACGCCTTGCACGGCTTCGACGAATTTATCATGGATCGTCTCATCCACATAGATTCTTTCCAAGCTGCAGCAGCTTTGGCCTGAGTTAAAAACTGCTCCATCAACAATTTCTTCTGCGACCCATGCGATGTCAACATCGGATCGAATATATGCAGGGTCCTTTCCACCGAGTTCCAAGCCAACATTGACAAGGCGGTCTGCAGCTGCCTTTTGAACTGCCAATCCGCCAGCAACTGAGCCAGTAAAGCATACCAATGCTATCTTTGGGTCCCTGACGATAGATTCGATGATAAGTGGTGAGCCACAATGGAAGTATTGAATGACGTTCTGAGGAAGGCCTGCTTCAGTGAAGATGGAGGATATATGCTCCACGATGGTTGGAGTCTGTGGGGAAGGCTTAAGTATAACTGAGTTCCCAGCTAGGATGGCGGGAATGAGGGAGTTGACCAGGATCAAATATGGGTACTAGAACTGTTAGCTACAAGAAGTATAAGCTATATGACTTCTCCAACTCACATTCCACGCAAAGAGGATCAACACTGGGCCCACGGGCACCTTGCGAATAAATCTCTTGAATCCCTTTTCCGCTTCTCCATCTGTGTCCTTCAATGCATCTTCGCTGATCTTCAGAAGATATTCTCCCCTCTTTACAGCTGTGGCAACTTCTTTCGCACCATAGGCAATAGGTCTGCCCATCTGCTCAGTAAGTTCTTTAGCCAGTACATCTTGCTTATCGTTCAAGAGCTTCAAAGCTTTCTTCACAATTGCCTGTCGCTCTGCCAAGGAAGTCTTGCGGAAACTTTGGAACGCCTCGGTTGCCACTTGCGGGAGAAGCTCAAGATCGGAGGTAGAAATACCATTTCGAGTGAGTATTGGCTTGTTGGTTGTAGGGGAAATAGTAGTGATCGTTTCGACTGACATTTTGACTCTTTATGGGGTGATTGTGAAGGTTCAAAGTGTAGTGTGGACAAAAGAGTATTTTGAACATCTTTCAATGCTTGAGCTCTAGTAACGTCTGCCCCGCTCCGCCATCGGACGCTTGTCATGCAGGGTTCCGCCATAAATTTTGGCTTCGCAACCCCATGTCGAAATTTCCAACCACACCTACCACCACCACTATCACCACCAAGAACACTCGCAATAATACAATATGGCGGCTCGCAAGCTCAATGATTTTCTCGATGCTGATCAGAGCGAAGATGATGGAAGTCAAGGTTACGACTCGGAATTTGAAGATTTGAAGAAAGGCGGCAGGAGCCCCAAACGAAGGAAGGTCGATAGCGATACCGATTCAAGCGGCGAGGAGGATGAAAAAGAGCAACTAGACGTGCAGGATGCTGGAGATTCAGAGGATTTAGAGGATTCAAAGGATACAACAGATATCACGCTACCTTCCATCCCAACAAGCAAAAAAAAGGACCTTCCCGGCGTCTCGAAGCCCCTCCTCACCAAGAAGAACCTCGTCGCATCCGAAGCGGCAATAAAACGATCCGGACTGCTTTACATATCTCGAGTACCGCCTTTCATGAAACCGACAAAACTAAGATCCCTGCTCGAGCCTTACGGTGCTATCAATCGCATCTTCCTGACTCCAGAAGATCCTGCTTCACATACACGACGAGTCCGCAATGGAGGTAACAAGAAACGGTCCTTTACAGATGGGTGCGTAATATTTTCCTTGTTTTCATTTTGACATCCAAGCCGAGCTCTCGATTACATCTTCCCCCCTCGGCTCGGCTCCCAAAGTCTTCTAAGAGCCCGTACTAATTATGATATTGTTCTATAGATGGGTAGAATTTGTTAGGAAGTCTCATGCCAAGCGCGCTTGCGAACTACTGAATGGTCAGATAATTGGGGGCAAGAAGGGCACATATTATCACGACGATGTCTGGAATTTGCGCTATCTGAATAAATACAAATGGAACCATCTGAATGAGCAGATTGCGGCAGAGAATGCGGCAAGGGCTAGCAGAATGAGGGCAGAGATCAGCAAGACCACGAAAGAGAATAAGGAGTTTGTGCAGAATGTAGAGAGGGCTAAGATGTTGGAGGGGATGGAAGCTAAGAAGGCCGCGAAGAGGAGAAATGATGACGAGGCTACCTCGACAACAGAGGAGAGAGCACCAATAAAACAAACAAAGAAAGGTGGAGAACGACCAAGGCATTTCAAGCAAACACAAGTTGCTGTGAAGAAGCGGCCTGAAAAACAGTCCGATCAGGTCAAGAGAGTTTTGAGTAGCATCTTCTAATCTCAAAAGCATCGAATGCACATCTTACAACTACAGGTTTTTTGTTAGGGTGAGTACTGTGAGTTTCGAAGTCTCCAGCTAAAATGGCAGTTGAGATCAAGAATTCGGACAAGGACCTGAATATTGCTTCCCCGGAATCACCATCCAGTGGTGAGAACTCTTTTACACTTTGACTTATTTTCTTACTATTTCCCACTCTAAAAAGGCATATGCAAGATTACTTGAAAAGTTGAGCTTGTACCCTTAAACTCCGAATGTAAACTGCTAGCCTTCTATGCACAGCATCTCACCTTGTTAGCTCCGACGCGGGTTCCACCACAACGTTTTCACGGTGGTATTCATATAACAAGACACGAACTAGTCAATTTGCGTCGTCCGAGACTACACAAGTTCTCGAGTCTCAGTCAGGACGAAATAAGTTCCGGATAAGGCAGTGACCTCCGGATACCTGTGAGAGGGCAAGGACCACTTTGACGTTGCCTCGTCCCTGGCTGTGCCCTTTCTCGGACAATTTCGCTGTGTATGCACAACACGGCGCTGCCCGCATCTTACTGATGCTGAAAACGAGCATATATGTTTCACTGCCATTGCAAATTCTCTTGTTCCGGTTCCAAGTCTCAGCGTGCAAGCTCGTAATGTCACATGCTGAGAGGCTTGCAATTGCACAGGTTCTCAATTTCAGAATCTCAAATGTCTCATAATATGTGTACATCACACAATACCTCTCAATAGCTTCACATCAGCCAGCTTGACCCACTCAGTAGACATCCCGAAGACCTTCAATTCGGCTTTATCCCATCATCTAAACACCATTACCCAAGTCTCTTTACTCAACAATCAATTATGTATCTGCATTATTTGTACCACCATCGATTCATATAATATCCATGTACCATATTGGCAATTATATATCAACTTTTAGTCAGGAAAACCCCGACTTGCACATCTGTTACCAGAAGGAAGTAGTTTTTGTTGAAATAAATATACTTATTTTGATATATATATAATCAATATTCAGAGCCGAAGTTTTCTAAAGCGTGACACTAAGCAGGTCATCAGTCTTCTAAGCCAAAAGATTTGTACGTTTCCTTTTCTCCCTCATTATGATGGATTAAGCGCCTTCCTATGCGGTCTGTTAGAGAGCAACGATACCACGTACACGCTCTACTGTGGAGAGGATCTGATCACATGATTTGATTCAACTTGACCTAAAACCATGCGCCCGCGGCCCTGCGCAAGCTCCGGGACGTTAACCATAGCAGTGCCATGAAGGAGGAAGTTGCAAATAGGTGTCTAGGCTTTTTCAAAAAATATACATATCACGGATCAAAGTTATGGTTCGGAGGTATTGCTTGAAGCACTAACACAATGTGCCTAAGACTTTTCACACAAGAATCACACTTTGTCATATATTGAAGATCCAATGTTCTATTCCATGTCCTTCTACCTAGCAGTGATTGTTCCCTCGGCTGCTTGCGGTGCAAGCTCGATCCTCAATGAAAAGAGTGGCATTGAGGAACGAAATCTGTTCCTGCAAGACTCGAGTGAGACCCAACTATTCCATACATCCTACGTTCGACCTTTCAAGAAGGGCCCAAGAACTTCGTCCTGTAATCTGCCACCAATCTCTCCAACGCGATGACTTCTAAAGCGAGCCTATCATCTACTTCCTGAATCTCCATCTCATTTGGATCATGGTTACCATTTGCGACTTCTCTCACGAAGCCCACGGTCCTTCTGTGTCTGTCCAAAGCTGGTTTCCAGCTGCTCTCCATCCATCGCAGTTGGTGTGTCCAGCTTAGTCTCGTGGCGGCATTCGGATTGGCAGTTGATGATTCCGCATTTGCGGCTGGTTGTGCTTGTGCTTGTCGTTCTGGGGCCTTTGGGGCTTTTAGGGCTTTTGATGGCATTGTGATGGCTTTGATTTACGAATGGACCTCTGGGTGGATATTTCAAAGAGTAATAGATAGTGAGAAGTTGTTATAGAATGGTGGAAGAGGAAGGACTGTTCTCCTCGACATGAAAGCCATTTATATAGTAGGGAAATCTTGTGGCTGTGCTGATTCATTCACTCAACTGACGTCAAAATCATTCTGCATTATCCATGGACAGTTATAATGAGCTGGGCATGAGTTGATTCTGACATGGAAGTCAACTCGAGCCTGAAGTGACTCGATACTTGCGTCAGATGAGGATGTGGCTTTGTGTTGGGAAGTTGTCTGTCTGCAGCTGGGACAAAAGCCTATGAGTATGAGTAAAAGTGACCATTTTAATATATGACGTGCAGGAGTCTGTAATACAGCTACTTTCAGATGTGTAGGTATGAAACGCATCCGAGCAAACACTACTACGTGTTACTAAAAGGGGCTGTAGCGAGGCAGATCATGTGATCGAAGTCTGCGATCCAGTACATGACATGTTCTGCTTGCTTCTATGGGATATTCGACTGGCGATCCCTTAAATCTGTCTATTCCAAGTGTCTTTCGCTAAGTTTTAGACCCGAATCTTGTTGGTTACGTAAAATGCTTGAGATACTGCCAGGCGTGGAGGTGTTTGTCGACATGGCCATAGTATACACGTAAACAGGAAATGCAATCTAAGGAGGGATCATTCTGATGGGAATCTCAATTTTGACTACCCAAACAATAGGTCACCAGTTTTACAGTTACTCGAAGTCTACCCTGCATTCATTCATGTAATATCTTTCCCATCTTCACCTGAAATTCGCAACAAATAAACCCCCCGACCCAACCTGACCAGAAAGTCATGCCCCCCCTAGATCACAACCCCGCCTCACTGCCCCGACTTCCTCATGTCCACCGTCTCCTGTGTCTCCGCCACCTTTGCAGCCAGATCCTGTAGCTCAATCATACAACGAACAACGCGGTGGATAAGCTCGTCGACCTTGCCCTCCACGTCAACCCTCGCAGGATTCCTAGGATCTTGATGTGCTATGATGTCCTTATAGCCTTCGTGGACGCGGTCCAAATGACGTCTGATTTCCCTCCCGTTTGAATTTTATCTCTTGGGGAACTACCATTGCTGAAGTGTTTTGTGCGTGATATAGGAATTGACTGTGGCTGTGAACTGAATGAAATTGTGTTCGTTTGGGGATTTGAGTATTGGAGAGAACAAATACAGTGGCTGCTTATTATATATTCAGAAAAGTGCGTGGTTACAACGATTACTGAATCATAGCTACTGTATGCACATGTGTTAAGTAGAGATCCCACAGAGGACGAACTAACGAAACGGTCATCATCGAGGACAAGGGGCATGTAATACGAGATACTAAGTTGCAAAATAGCGTCAATAATATGTCAGAATTTCAGGAAAGTTTTTTTTGATGTAGTTATGGAAGGAGCAAGACTGAATTCGTAGCTATATATTGCAGTAGTAGGAAAATATGTGCGCAATGGATTGGAATAAAAAGGCATGTGAAGATGGGGACTTCCCGGAGTAACATATGGGATTGACCGTCGTCCAGAAAATAAGACACAACTAAGATTTTTGAGGACTAAATCGGACTTTAATCTGTGCCCTTTTGTGAGACTACTTTTGCACCATCGAGCATGATACCCATTGCTACCTCACACAATGCCAACTGAAGTTCATCCTGCCCAAAACGCAATACTCTATCCGAACGCCATTTTCGTACCCAACGCCAGCAACATGATATGACGATATACTCAGAGGTTATCCTTGACATTAAGCTCATCAAACTCATCCAGCAACTCCTCCATATCAATCTGGGGCGTCTCGTCCTCCCCATCCTCCGTCTCGACCACACTCATTTCATCAGCTTCCTTCTTCGCCTGTTGTTGCGCTTTATACAACGCCATTGTAGCCCTCAACTCAGTATCTTCCTCTACATCCCTCAAAAACATCTCGTAATCCTTATCCATCTTCTCTTGATCCGCCTTCTTCGGTAACAAGTCCCCGTCATCCCTAGCCATACGCTTGAGGCGCCAGTTACGGTTCTTGGACTTCTTCTTGCGTGCATAGAACTTCTTGACGAGCATTACGTCGGGAATCTGCGAGGAGTACGTGTTGGATTCTTCGAGGGCGTCGAACTGCGGGCTGTTGAAGTTCGTGCCGGTTAGCATATAGCCCATCACTGAGTCACCAGGGTGTAGGACGTTTCCGAGATGGGTTCGGGTGTAATAGGTCCTGTCATTTGAGCCGAGATCTGAGGCGCGGGCTACTGTTGCTTCGGCGAGTAACCATTTTCCTTTTGATGCACCGGTGGGCTCAATGTCCATGATGATGAATTCAGTAAGTTCTGTAACGTTTGCGAGAGAGTGGAAGGGAGCACGCCAATATATGGGGGTGCTGATGTCGGCTGTTTGGAGAGTGCTTGGGTCGAGAATGTTTACAGAGGTTCCTACTCTGTAGCAAAGACCAAGAGGGAGAATGTTGCCAGTCTGCTTTGCCAATTTTATAGGTAACGCGACCAAATCATCCTTGCATATCGGTACCAATTCCACCGAGAATGTAAATTTGTAGGAGCTCGTAGATGTGTGGATATCCATGGATATGAGTTCTTGGGATTTCTTGGATCGAACTGGTGTAACCGAAGTCAAGAAGTCGACGAACTTCTCGGCTTGGTTTCGTGCTGAGTAATAGAAATCCAACCCATCTTTTACCTCCTTGATATTGATCGTGTCCTTGTGTGCGCTGTGCTTGAGAATGAGTTGTTCCAAGAAGAGGAAAGTTCGCTTATGAGGGACCTTTTGTCGGACTTGTACGCAAGCTCTCCAAGTATTCGCAGTGTAGGATTTCGCACAGTCGGGACATTGCTGGTAGGCAACGACATATTCCACCTCGAAAGACTGTTGCAGAACGACGCCTTCAGATACCGAATCTTGGATGGTGAGTTTGACCTTTTCTCTCCGAGAATGCGGCTCCGTCCAAATGAAGCTTGCGTCAATAATCCTGACTTTGTGTAGACCTCGTAGTTTCTTTAGGCAGAGGGCGAGGAGTTCTCTGGATTCGCGTGCCGCCACAATCCAACTCCCGGGGGGCAAGAGCCAACGGTCGCAATCTCTGCAGAAATGTAAGGTGGCCTCGCGTTGGATGCCTTGGGATACATCGACAGTCGTCTTCACGCAGTCGTAACAGAGAGCACCAGCTGAAATCGTGCCATCGATAGGAGCGCCACAGTTGCAGCAAAGAATTCTGGACGCTGTTAGCGAGTGCTGCGGGGAAGTGCAGAGAGGGACGGATGACTTACGTTGCATTTGTCTGTTCGCCTCTTATTTGAGGAGCAATAGACACCGGAGCGTCAAGGTCCATAGCAGACATCGTGACGGTTTCTGGGTGTCTTGTTTCTTGGATGCTCTTGGTATGAAGAGGTGATTTGACTCTTTCCCCTCGGTGGTGGGATTGATAAGAAACTTCAAAAATTATTTCCCCGCCTCTGATAATGACCGCACTTCAACCGAGAGAATCGCTTTCTCAGCAACGCCACGCACGGGACCTTGTCAAGCCACAATTTATTTATATTTATCTTCTTTGTATCCAGTAGAATAGAAGTATAGTGTTACCCTTCTATCCGTTTTAGCTAGTTGGTATTGTGGTGCAGGAAAGCAAAGTCATAGTCACGTGGTAAGCCTCACGTGATCACACCAGCTACAACATCTCATAGAGTGGGAGGGAGGGTCTGGCAGGGATCAAGTGTGTAGGACGGAGAGTCTATTTTCATTTTCTATTTGTAAGATCGAATTATCTCCAACTATTCCTGACCACCACCACCTATGTCCTCTATGTTGTGATATTTAAGAATGATTGCACCATCTCCTAGCTCCACCAATAACACTTCATACTGCCGACAACCCAATCTGGATACGCGGTCGTGATATGCTCTTTGACCTTGATAAAGACCCCTCTCGAGTGTTATCTCTAATGCTCCCCACCAATGAAGTGACGAAGAAGAGGGGTTATTGGGTCATTCAGGACGATGAATTGACGCAATCCCGTACGACATTCATCAGACGCCCATATAAAGGGCTTTGGGTAGCCACAACAGGGAACCGGACCTTTGGCAATTGAGTGACTGCTCTTACTCGACTACATCAAACAAAATGGCTCCCTCTGCAACTGAAACTACTACTCTCCCAGTTCGTGCTGTCGAGACTCCGCAGGTCAAGTTGACGAGTAATACTGGCCCGTATAAAGAACTGGCCCCCATTGGCTACGAGAAGAAGGCCGAAGAGGAAGGAACTGATGAATACCAAGCTGCCAAGGTAAGAGCAATATCAAATTTTCCTATCTTCATCTTTCTGACCAATCTGTAGTACAAGAATTACCTCCCGAATTGGGGCAATGAGAAATACCCACCACTTGAGAAGTTCGAGCACAGGGACCATGGCCTAGATGCCGACACGACCTATCCTGAGCTCTTAGCCCAAGGAGTTACTATCAATGATCTTACTCCAACAATTGGGACTGAAGTGACGGGAGTGCAGCTCAGCAAGCTGAGCAATGCCGGTAAGGATCAACTGGCCCGATTCGTCGCTGAGCGTAAGGTTGTGGCTTTCCGGGATCAGGACTTTGCCGACTTGCCCATTGGTGAGGCTCTCGACTATGGCAGGTATTTTGGACGTCTACATATCCACCCAACATCTGGCGCTCCAGAAGGCTTCCCAGAAGTCCATCTTGTACATAGAGGTGCCGGAGACAAGACCGCAGATTCATTCTTCCAAACAAGAACAAGTTCTGTGGCGTGGCACTCGTAAGTTCCTTCCCTTCATGCATGAGACTTTTCCGAAGAAGTAATGCTGAAACGAATCTTCCACAGGGACGTATCGTATGAACAACAACCACCAGGAACCACTTTCCTCTACATTCTCGATGTACCGGAGACTGGTGGAGATACTCTCTTTGCGAACCAAGTCGAGGCATACAATCGTCTAAGTCCAGGTTTCCAGGAGAGGCTCCATGGTTTGAAGGCTACCCACTCTGGCATTGAGCAAGTCAACGCCTCAAGGGGAAAAGGAGGAGCCGTTCGCCGAGAGCCGGTAGTCAGTGAACACCCAATCATTAGAACCCATCCCGTAACAGGAGAAAAGGCCTTATATGTCAACCCCCAATGTAAGTACAAACGGCACTGCATGTTAATACACCGCTGATGGCCACTCAGTTACTAGAAGTATTGTCGGATATAAACAAGAAGAGAGCGATGCTTTACTAGTAAGCAGAATCCACCTAAAGCAAAGAGCACTTGGAGACTAACCACACTATGCAGAAATTCTTGTATGATCACATCGCCTACGGAGCGGATTTCCAAGCACGCGTAAAATGGGCCGAGAAAACAGTAGTAGTGTGGGACAACCGGGTGACGCTTCACTCGGCGCTTGTGGACTGGAAGAGTGGACAGAGACGACACTTGGCTCGCATTGCACCGCAAGCAGAGCCACCGACGGAAACCCCTTTCAAGGCATGAAACTTCATAGCGTAGCATGATTATCCAGGCCATATAAAACTCGTATATGTATTGATTCCCCAATCACGGGCCGTCGCGGTGATGTCTGAAACCCCAATGCTTTCACAGAAACATAGGAATAACGTCACGTTTCTTTTTCTGTTGCTCGAGCTCTTGCTGCTTTGATTTCTGTCTAGCAAATTCCACCCGGGACATCCGAGGTTTAGCAGTATTCGAAACAGTCGTAGCCTTGGCCTCCTGAAAAGGGCGTCCCGATGATGACTTCTCAACAGCAACCACTTTGTTGGGCGAGGAACTGAAATCTGATTTGGCAACACTTGCTGTACCTTTCCTGAAATTAGTGGTAGGAATTGAACGAGAACTGGACAGCAAGCTATGCTTGGAGGTTTGCTTCGAATCGAGGGCAGGTAACCTTGGGGCCGGTATTGGTGCATCGAGGTCATCATCATCTTCGTCCGATGACGCTGTTGAGCTCTCGGTTCCATTATGAGGCGCTTTCCTACCCCGGGAAACTCTGGGTGGTTCTGGGGCAGACAATTGAGAAGACCTCAACAGCGATGATGGCCTTTGGAAGCCGGCAGCAGCTCGTGTGGTAGTGGTAGTTGTAATCGATGTAATCTTCCCCAAGGATGCAGCTTTCTTACGAGGACTATCCATTAAGCCGTGCAGAGTGGTGCCGACATATGGAAGATCTACAGCATCATCGCTATCATCGGAGTCCTTAGAATCTCCAGGTTTCTGATTCAGGATATTTTCAAGGGCATTCCTCTGAGTCTTTGATCGGTTGACACTTTCAACCTTTCGCCTAGTTTGATCAGGCATTCTTCCAGTGACTGGACGTGATATGGACTTGATTTCATCGGCTTTTTGAGCCTTTACACTCTTCTGTTGACGCTTGTACTCGGCGGTGTGGAGATGGACGGTGAACCGTTGTGCAGTCGTAAGGAATTCATCTTCTACCATACGGAACTTGTCGTCTTGCTCGATGCCCTCATCCATGAATCTAATTCTACGTTAGCTGGCCCAAAGCTAATTTGCAATGATTATACCTTTCTGTCGGTGGCTCTGGAGGAGGTGAACTCGAAGGGGCGCGAACTTAGACATGTGAGTTCAATATTACGTGCATCGACAGAGTAGGTATGCTTACCCTGCCTAATCGACTTTTCTTTCCTCGATGAAGCAGGGCCATCATCTACATCGCTTCCCGGGGTCGAGGTGTCGACCTTTTGCCGTTTCGGAGTCGACCTCGCAGCTGTGGCAGATCTTTTGGTCACGAGAGTTGTGGAGCTACTCGTTGCCCAAGGAAGTTTGCGAGGCATCTTGAATAAGTTGGAGATACTTCATCCATAAATGAAAAGACTTTCTGATCGTACTAGGTGTTTCGCGCATTTCATGTGTCTCGTGACCGCGTCTGGGTACATGTACCTAGGTATTTAACGCGTTGGCGACTTGCCAAGGACGCGACTCTCGCCTTAAATCCCGAGACCAAAGAAAATTGATCCTTTGCTACAGTAACAAATCAGATCCAAATATAAACCGATTGACGGTGAATGCGGGTATTCAAAATGTATCAGATTCCCAGGGTGTGTTTTTTGAATGGAATGAATACCCAGGATGAATGGGATGAAAGTTGCCAGTTGCACCCTGGACATCAGGCACAAAGGATTTCTGCCTGGCTCGTACTCGTGGCTGGTGCTGGTGGTAGCTTCGAAGGCAGTCGAACCTCCAAGAGTCATACTCATATCCAAAGGCCCCGTGGCCTTTGACATTTCAGCCTTTCACTTGACATGCATATCAAGTTTATATGAGTTCAAGCATTCATAAGTCCTCCAGTCATAAGCGCCTTCCTGTTTTTATAGCAATTTTCAATTCCTCTCTTTTGGCAGGCTGGGCCGATTCAACTCTTTGCCCAGACTCATTTCGTTTCATGGGTTCTTCACCAAGACATACGCTCTATTCTTCGGAGCTCTCGTGATGTCTTCGGTACCTGGGACTACTTTTGGTGAGGATGGGGCTTCACACGTGGATGCAAGTTATTCAAGTGCTCCGGAGTCTCAAAATGAGGTTTTGTCTGAAACAAGTTTTATTGAAGAATCCGGTGAGCCCGTGATAGGAAATGTTCCGCAAAATACAGATGTAAGGACTCTTGTCCGGACACTGGCCTCGAATTCCCAATTACCCCATAGAGATATATTATTTCTTTCTTTCATCGAAGCTCGTTGTAGAAAGCAAGCTGCCGCCGCTCTCAACGATGGACGCCGTGCTGAAGACCACCTTGCGGAAGATCACCCCGAAGTTCTTCATATGGCAGAGGCTGTTTTCACACAGATGTCACCACAACTGAGACAAGCTGGATGGTTCTCCGAAGATCTTAGTGTTTTGAGTTTTCACGAGTTGCGTCGCTATTCACAGTCTTTCGATACGGTACTGCAGTCAACTATTACTACACAACAGTCGGCCAACCTTTTTCAACAAGGTGCCCCTAGAGCCATTGCAGGAGACCCTGAGACGTCGCATCTAGGGTCTCTTGGTAGTGACGAAATGTCTTCTCTTTTTGAAAGATCTGCACAACAGCCTAACAACACGTATAATCACGGCACCTACGGAACCACAACGGATTCGAATTTCTTTTCTCGCTCCGATGATGCTGCTTCATCTTTATTCGAGAGGTCGGAAGCACAAGCACTCATTACTCAACCCTTTGGCAGAAACATTATTCCACAGCAAGCATATCTATCCGCTGAGCAGGGTCCCACAAACTCCAATTACACGACAAAATTCAAGCAAGGAGGTCGTCTTGGGAAAGGAGGATTTGGGGAAGTCTGGTCTGCTCTGCATCTTCTCGACGGCCAAGAATATGCTATCAAGAAGATACGAATTACGGCGGCTCAGTTGTGTTCAATCTCGAGCGAGCTTGATGCCCAATATTTACTATTGAGAGAGCTTCGTGCATTAGCGAAACTAAAACAACGGAATGTGGTAAGATACTTCGACAGTTGGATTGAGAGGTGTCCCGCAGCAAGAACAAATCAAGACATCATTAGTAATAAGGCCTACAATAGAAGTTCTGCGTGAGTTTCTCCTATGATGCGCTTTTGACATTTTCCTACTCACGAGATGTAATAGGGGAGGCTTTTCTGAAACATCGGAGGAGGCGCAATCTGTTTCCAGACTAGAGACCCAGGAAGATATCGCGTCTGGACTACGAAACCTTCAACTTGACCATGAAAAGAATCTGAAGAGAGATGACAAGAGAAGGCAAGATTCTCTCATGGCGTCTAGCGACGACGGTATGATCATCTTCGAAACATCAACCACTTCAAATCGAACAGACGCTGCGGAATTTAGCAACATTTCCACTGGGACGAATTCTGGCGCCAGGAAGAAGTCGTTATTTCGAAAGCCAAGTGAGATGTCCGATGATGACACTGAAGAGGTGCCTAGATCGAGTGAAGAAATCGAGAGCTCTGGATACGAGCACGACGTTATTATCTTCATTCAAATGGAATTACACCCAATAACCCGTAAGCACCGCCCATTTCTTCAAGTCCAAGATTTAAACTTTTGCTCCTGAAAAATGAGCCGTCTTTTATATATATTCCAGAACGTCGCACTGTTTGTTTCCCGTGCCTTCTGCCACCCAAAAACATTGAAGCAGGCAACACTGACTTTTTGGACGTCTTAGTGGAGGAATTTATGTGGCCAGAACAGCAAAGATGGAACCAAAGCGAGCAGATCCGCCACTGTTATCATCCATCCACAACTGCTCGCATCGCTCTAGCCATCCTCGATGGCATCGAGTACATCCATAGCAAAAAAATCGTCCACCGCGATCTCAAGCCAGGTAACATATTCCTTTCAGTCATCAAAGAACCAGTGCCCCCTGAAGGAGCTATCAACATCACCACATGCCCTCAATGTCCACAAAGCGGATCCGACGAACACATCTACATAATCCCTCACATTGGCGATTTTGGCCTGAACGCAAAGATCGACGACTCGGCTTCTCATAGCTTCGCATCCACATCCTCCGCTCAGCCATTTAAGATTTCTCCCCTCGCAACAGTCCTTTCCTCAGTCGCAGCTTCCCGCCAGCCTGGAACACGATTCTACTGCGCACAAGACGACCGCCCAAGTCCGAAGTTCGACATCTACAGTCTGGGTGTGATAGTATTCGAAATGCTATGCGAGTTTAGAACAAAATCCGAACGTCATGATGTCCTGGGTAAGCTGGCACATGGCGACCTGCCTGCGGACTTCGAGGGTCACGTAATGGCGCCTGTCCTTAAGGGCATGCTAGAAAGGGACCGAGAGAAGAGATGGGACTGCACTAGAGTGCGCCAGTTCTTGAATGGCGTTGTATAAAATTATCAACGTTTCTTTTCTTTCTTGTTTGTATAAAATACCCTGGGCTGCGGAGTTAGGAATGTTTTGGAGGCTGAGGCCTATTTGGGTGACCACCCCCCTCTCGGTTAAGCGAGTATTTGCGGAACTGTTTTAGATAGGTAGAAACAGCGTGTTAATGAGAATGAAATAGATATACCCAGAGGATGTGCCGATTAATAGCTCGGAATCAAACCGATTATCTAAAATCATTCTGTCATATATGCTGCAATACAGGAGTTTCTACTAAATGAGACAAACGTGCTACAGACATGTAGGTACTTGCTGGTATTGTGGCCAGAGTATTTTTATGAGGGGTGTGACTGTTAAGGGAAGGGAGTGTGGGGATAAAAGGATGTTGTGCTGGTGCTATTATGC